GCACTGTGCAGAAATTGTTTCCCATCTTCACTTCTTTCTCTTGTATGAGATTTGCTAAATAACTTTTACCCGATGCAGGTGCGCCTCTAATAAAAACCACAAATCTAAACAAAGGAAATAATTAATTAAAGTTTTTATTTTATTAAATTAACTTACTTTTCAGGTCGTTTAGATCTTCCAGGAGTCTCAAGAAATTCATTGATATTAATCACGAATCGATTAGGAGTTGATTTGAATACCGGCAATGGTGGTGAAACTTTTGGGGGTTCGTAATGCTCTTCTTCTTGTTCATCATCGTCACAGATCATTTCTGAATCTCTGACTTCTTGATTATTTGTTGTCGAGCTTCTTGCTGGAACCAGTGAAACTAAATCTAATCCTGGAATATTTCCCTTTCCTAAATTACCGAAATTCTTAGTTGACATGGCATTTGAATGACTATCTTCGAAACTTTCGTCAATAAAGTCATCTTGCGAATAGTCGTTGCTTGAATTTGGAATTGGATTTACCAACTTGAATTGATTTATAGGAATTTGCGTTGATGAAGCAGATGATGTGACGATTGTTGATTCTCCTAGTGGTTTTAAAGGATTTTTGTTTTTATCTTGCGAAGGTCCAGCCTGCCATTGGGACTCAAATTTAAGTTGTTCAGCTGTTTTGATTGCTGATGCTTTTTCATCCATTTTTTTCTTTTGCATTTCTTGTCGTCTCTGCCAAATTTTTATTCATTTTATACTTTAAGAAATATTTGAAATTATTTAACATTTACCTTTAAGAGCTTCTGTCGAACTGCTTCGAATTGCTGTTCATATTGTCTGTATGCGTTTTTGTCTGGATGATTGACATTGGCATGCTTCCATTTATCAAATTCTTCTTCCCACTTCTTAAATTGCTCATCAAAATCAATTTCTTCTTGTGATGTTGCTGTTTCTGAAGGTGCAACAGGTTGACAGACATTTGCCGGCTTTGTAGGTGACTCAGTTGTTGAATTTAAATTCTTTTGAGCGAAGTTATTTCTTCCTTGATTCTGATTTCGATTGTTTCGGTTATTCTGGAGAATATTGGAAATTTATTATCAATTCACGTGAAATTAAATTATTGAATAATTTACATTTATGGACAATATCATGATATGAAACTTTCTATCACTTTGCAAAGATATTTTCCGTTTAATTTCTATTTTAGGACTGCTGACGGAATTGTTAAAACTTCGATTAATATACTTTTCAAATTTAACTAATTTCACCATTCTGCAAATATTTATAAATTGATAAGAATAAAAGGTTGCTTAATCAGGGTAAAGAGCCGATTACGAAACAGCTCGATTTTCCCAGAACAATCATTATCAATTCTTCAATGCTTATGCAAAAGATAAAAAAGCACTCTCGTGGAATAATTTACCAGACTTGTTAGAAAATTCATTGGAATTCATTTTGAATGTCTTAAAATTTGTGATTTACCCTACTCGAAATTATCATAAAGATAACGAGGGCGTTTTACTTAGAAAGCAATAGAAATTATGCCGTGATTTATTTTTATTTCCTTATCACTTGAGATCTGTTCAGCTTGTTCAAATTTGATTATTTTAAAGATAAGAGACAAACAATGTTCTAAATCTGTCAAGGTCTATAATTCTATTAATAAACTTACTGTTGGCTTAAAATTTCCTTGATTCTGTTGAATTTCCCTTTGAGTACCAGATCCAAACGAGCCACCACCTCGCCCTCCTCCACCTCTACCTCGAGTCCAATTTTGTTTATTTCGACCACGGTTTGATTGATTATTAGGAATTTGTTTCTGTTTATTATTCCTGTTTTGATTTTGATTCTGATTTGGTGTAAACGTCGATGGTTGATTTTCCTGTGGTGGGGGCGGTGGGACGTTATAAACACCTACTGGGTTGCTGTAATCTGGAACAGGAAATTGCTAAAAAGAAAAACAAATACGTTAATTAAATTAATAAAAATAAAGTTTTCTCATAACATACTTGCGCTTGAGGATACGACCAACTTGCGACCATTGGGTTGTTTGCAAATTGAGGATTAAAATACTGTTGTTGTTGTTGTTGGCTGTAAATTGGTTGCTGATTGAAGGTTGGCTGATTCGGTGGCATTTGAGAATAGTTTCCGTAGTTATAATTCTGATTGTTCATCTTCCACGTTTAATTCTACAAACACAAGTTAACTACTTTAAAACTTAGTTAATCAAATGATATTTCAATCTGATCCATGTTTAATTAAATATTAACAAAAATTTATTGTAAACACATTTAGCCGATTTTGTATTTTTCAATTCTATTTTTAAAATAACTACGCGTCAAAGGTCTTTGAAGCAACCATGGTTTTCGTCTTTCACTATTCTTATTGAGAACTTCTCACTTATGATTCTTTATCGAAATTTAAAAATGTATTTTTTGTAATGTTTATGATTTGTAAGCAAAAATAATAAAACCTCAAGATTTCAACTATAAACCTTCAAGTTATATTAATGACTTTAAGATTTTACCATTCACGACAAGAACTATATTCAAAATATAAGATAATTAATTATAAATTAACACGTACAAGATATTTAATTAACTTCTAAATTTCTTAATAGTAACTTCATGAATTTCTGAGAGAGACAGAGAGAAGGAGATGTTTTGGATAGACGAATCGGTTTAAATATTAAAATTCAAAATTCATTCAGTTACAACATCTACCTCAGTAGGTGAATTTATTTGAATCTTATTAAAAGGCATACAATCAAATTCTGTCTACTCTGCAATCGCTTATCTTGGCCCGCTGAGCGAATGTGTGAGTTAAATTATGATTAAATATAAGTTTGAAGATACATTTTTAATGATTCCAAAGTAACGATTTTTGAATTTCACCATAGGCATAATGTAATAAGTACAACATGAATTATGATCAAATCAATCAATATCAAATGGATTGAATAATATAAGTCAAAATTAACAAACAATATGAAGATTTAGGTATAAATTAATTTACCTGAAGTTCACTAACGATTACTCGCTACTAATTGCAATTGACAAGAACAACTTTCTATCAAGTACAACTAAGTAAAGAATTAATTAATTAATGAACTTGACTTTAAAGTCAAGTGATATTACTTAAGTACGTGTCAAGTAATTTTTTTCAAATGAAACGGTTGAGCGGGGTATGTAACTGTAATGTCAACAATCATTAAGTCGAGTACAACCAATATTTTGCTTTAAGAATAACAAAAAAAATTATTATTTTATGAAAGAATAAACATGTCAACTGAACTAAGAAATCACTTAAGAGAAATAATCGAAATAGTGTTCAACAGATGGACAGCCCTGAGACTCGCTGTAGAGCATGGAATGGGAGGCCAAAATGGTTTGCAAGTAATAATTTAAATTTGCACATGTTTTAATTTCTCAAAATTTTAATAAAATATTTTATTATAGACTGCTATTGAAATGATCGATTATGTAACTGATTGCTGTATCTCAAATACTAAAATCGATGAAGAAAACATTGTAGATTTACTTGAAGACATAATGGATGAAGAATTCAATACAATTTGCGAGGATAATTCAATTGCAGAAATTGCAACTTTTCTCATTAAATATTTTAATATGTTGAAGAGTGGAAACATACAACAGATTCAACAAGAGCTAGGATCCCTGCCGCCATGTGAGAAATGGATCGTTCAAGGAAGAAAAATAAATTTTGTTTCAAAACCTGAAGACGAAAGTTCCTCGGACGAAGAAGATGAAGAAATGGTTGAGAGCACAATTGAAAGTCCGAACGTGAAAATAAATGATAATTCTCTCCCGCCAAGTACCAGTGGTAGTACCATGAAAGTAATTGAGGAAGAAGTAGATCCAGGCTGGACAGTTGTAAAAACTAAAAAAAGGAAGTGAACAATTTTGGTCTTCACATTTTGAGATAACTTCCGTTAAAATAAAAACTATCTATATTGATTATAGGTAATATTTATAAATCATTAAGAGTTAAATTCAATTCCATTTATTTTATAAAAATATATGCTTTCAATTCTTCACATAAACTGATAAAATCAAGAAAAATTTTGAGTTATTTAAGCATCAGTTGAGAAACTACTGACATCGAAATCAGATTCATCTTCACTCTTCGATTCCTCTTTATCGACAATTTGGCCTTGCTTATGATCATGAGGCTTATCAAGATTAAACAGAACTTTCTTTTTCGTTGGAAGTGGAATTTCATTTTCTTTGTTCTGTTTTGATGCCATTAAAATTTTATTTTCAAGAACTCGTTCTAAATCCTTTTTAAATAATTCATTATTAACTTGTTGCATTTTGTACTCGTGATTTATGATAGCTTTCTCATTGCTCAATTGATGATCTTTATCGTTTCTTTCTTTTATTGTCATCTTTTGATGAAAAATCTTATCGACTTTTGATTGAAGTTTCTTTCTAGTAACAAAAAACAATTTATGCTTCTTTTTGCTTTCATCTCGTTCATTGGCTAATTGAGTATGAACGCGATTAAACTCTGGTTGTGAAATACCTTCTTGATTGTGATGAAGTCCAAGAGTTTTCATGCGCTGTTTTAAAATTTCTTCTCCTGTTGGTTGTTTCTTCAGTTGCAGCTTACTCTCCACTTTACCAGAAGGTTTTTGGCTTTTCAAGCTTAAAATAAACTTCTGATCACTGAAAGTTTTCTTAACTTTGGAGCTTTCTGGTTCCTTTGGTGGTGTCTTGACTTCAATAATCTTATCATGAGGAGTTTTAAAAGGTTGCGGTGAAGAATCATGAGAAAGAAAATTATTTCTTCCTTTTGTAAATTGTTTTTTTAAATCTCCGATATCATCATTTGATGTCTGATCGGAATCATAAGAAGTGTCGGTGGATGTCGGTTGAGAACTCATCGATTTTATCACATTTGGAGTTATTGGTACAGTAGAGATGGAATTTTGGACAGCAATTGATTTGCTTTTCAGCTTCTCTTCCTTCAAATCTTTGACTGATGCTTCAATCTTTGAAATTTTCTCATCATACATTCTTTCAATGTTAAAAACTTTTGATGATATTTGTTCCTGGTATTTCTTTTCTAATTCCTGGAAACGAGTTTTCCATAAACTTTCATCTGTGCCTTGCATCATGGAAGCTTGAATGGTGCTTGAACTTTCTAAGGAAACACGATTCCTTGGCATCGGTAATGGTGGCATTGGTGATTGTTCTTTCTGAAAATTCTTCAAAGTTTCTATTGTTTCATCAAATTTATTGCGAAGTTCATCGATTTCGGATTTGTAACGCGATTCTTCATTAGCTTTCCACCTCTCAAAATTCTTGTTTTGATTATTTAGCAATTCAACAATTGTTTCCTTTTCAACATCATCAATTTCCTTCTCTTCTATCAAATTACTTTGTATCGCAATACTTTGAAAATTTCGTTTTGATCGTTCACGACATTTTTCGCAGTCATCATCAAGTTGCTTTTTACATTCCATCAGCTCGCTCTCTGCAATGTTTAGCTTTTCTTTAAGTTGACTGATTTCTAATTCAAGTTTAATTGTACTAATTAGGTGTGCATCCTTATCTTTTGATTCTTTAGAATTGTGAGAGTGTTTTCTTAACATGTGATTGTCAAGAAGTGGTTTACTTAGAAAATTTTTAGTACACTGCGAGCAAGGAAAGATTGCATGATTAAGCTGATCTTGACGCTTTAATTTTTTGTGAAGTTGTTCGATTTCCTCTTCGAGCTTTGTTATCGTTTCTTCAAGTTTTACTGTTTTCTTCTGATAATTGTAAAGATTTTCTCGAAGTGAATACACTGATTTATCAAGAAACTTTGTACAAAATAACAAATATTGTAGACACAGCTGAGATAAAATATAAACTTTTGCGATTGCAGGATCTAAGATTCTAACATTGAGTAAATTTCCAATTGATGATCGAATAAGAAATGGAATGCATTGATCTAATTTCTCAAAATCCGAATCTTTGATTATTTGTGTTGTATCGATTGATGCTAAAGGAAATTTGTAATATTTTAGATTTGTTTTATGTCTTTATTGATGAACAGACTCACCAATAAATCTCCAATCAATCGGTTTATCTTTCTCTTCAAATCTATCATCATGAAATGTAAAACCGCCTTTTCGTGCCAACTCAGGATAATTACAAAATAAGCCTTGAGACATTTCTCTTAAATATTTAATTAAATCATCCACTGTAAATCTGATTTTGGTTTTGTTAAATCGATTTAAGGATTTGTTTACCTTCCCGTTGTCATGGCGATTAACAAATTTAAAATTCGTCAACAAAAAACTTTTTTGGTTTCTTTTTTAAAAATATTTTTTTAATTAATTAAATAAGGCAGTGAATTCATTAAATTAATTGAATATCACCTTTAATTATCAAATCACTTATAAGTTGATATGGTAGCATGTGCTGAGAATCCTCTAATAATTCAACTTCTTCATCATTTGTGTTCACAACTGTGCCACAACTTTTGACTACACGAAAGAAGACATTGCTCATGAGATTAGGACGAACGATTCGTTTTGTGATGTCGTCCTGGTTTGGAGGAATGTGTCGAAGAGCTAAAAGTTGAAAATGTCTTTCAACACTTTCAAAGAAATCTTCAGCAAATTTCACTTCTGCATCTGAAAGGCGTTTTTTGTCTGGTGGACGTTTCCTCTCCTCTGTTAGGATATGTTGTGTGAATTCCTCAAGCTTTTGAAGACGACATCTGAGATAACTCGCAACAATGAATCTGATTCTTTCCAGTTCCATCTTATGAGTGATTTTTCGGAAATCATTTCTATCAATTGCCTCAAGATTTTCCTCCATATGAGCAAGTTGACCCAGCATCAGATCGACCATTTCTCCTTGAAAAGGAAGAATATCTGGAGAATGTTTCTCATTCATCCAAGCACTTTCTATTCTTTGCAAAAGCTTGAAAGAAAACATTTTATTATCTCATTATGCTTGCGAAAGTTGTATTTGAATTACCTTTTGAGGAGTTATCAACTCTTCATCCATATCTTCAGAATCGTTGCCATCATTACTAACTCTTTCTTCTGAGAATAATTGCAATTCATCATCACTCATATTTTTGTTAGGATGCACCAAAATCGAACGAATTTTCGTTGTTTTTAAGTAATGTTTGTTGATATCAACTGCAGTTAAACTTTTTCAGCATTTAATAGATAGCTAACATTCAGGAAAGTAGCTTGAAGATTTTTAATAAAATGCAAATGCTTAAAATAATTGATATTTTCTAAAATAATATTAAAGATTTCCAGCTAAATTGTTAATTCTGCGGTATTTAACGAATCATTTTTAAGAAGAAAAACATATCGAAACTTTCTTTTGAATGATTTTAAATTCAAACTGAAAACCGTTACATATTTAACGAGTTTTATGATCTGACGAAACTTCATATTTTTAAAACAAAATTATTTTTCAAATTTCCCTTTTTTCTAAAGAATTTCTAGCAAAATATTATGAACTTACTGCTCTTCTCAAGGTTTCATTAAGGACTTCACGGTCAATTTTTTTGTACAATGGGTAAGCTTCATGAAGCACTCAATAAGTAATCGCATTATTGCATGAGCTTATTGTTGCATATGCTTGACTGCCGCGTAAAGAAACGTGAAAATGATTTCCTGCTGAATTTTTTGCTAAACATTATTCACGGAAGAGTTCACTCAGTTATATCTTTATGAAGATTTATTATTGGTTGTAAAATGATACTTTTCACCCAAGTCTGATTTAAGCACTGATGAGTTTTCTCAACATGTGTTCTTAAATTTAATTACCTCTGTATTAAACCAGATATAAGACGAAAATTTAGGTGAAAATAAATTTAATCTTGATTGAGAGTTGGATAAGTGAAAAAGGAAATCGAGGAAAATATTTGGATTTTGATATTTTTCATGAAAAGTTATTAAATATTAATTGACATCTATTGCAATGGCTTACAATAGAAATCCCGTGAAATACACGCCTACATGGCAACCAAATTTTTCAGGAGGAAATTTAACTGTCGTTGATAAAGTTCTACCAGAGATGCTTTTCCTAATTGATCCCCATTGGAATCAATTTCCACCAATGAATTCATTGTGGCATGTAAGATAAAATAAAGAATTTATCATTTTGCAATTATTTTTACGCAACATTTACAGTCGATCCTTGGATTTGCTATTGGAATGTTTTCTGTCATGGCAATGCTTGGAAACATGTGCGTGATTTACATTTTTCTCAAAACAAAATCACTTCGGACACCTTCAAATCTTTATGTTGTGAATTTGGCATTCTCGGATTTTATGATTATGTTCACGATGGCACCACCAATGATAATCAACTGCTACAATGAAACGTGGGTGTTTGGACCAATGATGTGTCAAATATATGGAATGTGTGGATCTCTGTTCGGTTGTGTATCTATTTGGACGATGATAGTGATTGCTTTCGATCGCTACAATGTCATCGTTAAGGGTTTGTCAGCTACACCTTTGACAAATGGTTCAGCTGTGTTTAAAATATTCTTGGTGTGGCTCTCTTCGGCTATTTGGACTATTGTGCCCTTGTTCGGATGGAATCGTTATGTTCCAGAAGGTAACATGACTGCATGTGGAACTGATTATCTCAGCAAAGGATGGGAAAGTCGATCTTACGTGTTTCTTTATGGAGTTTGGGTTTATTTTCTCCCACTTTTGATGATCATGTATGCTTATTATTACATCCTAAAAGCAGTCGGTAAACATGAGAAAAACATGAGAGAACAAGCCAAGAAAATGAATGTCGCTTCATTGAGATCTGAAAAAGAATCGAGCAAAAATATTGAATATAAGTTAGCGAAAATAGCATTGATGACAATCTCATTGTGGTTCATGGCTTGGACTCCTTATTTGATCATCAACTTTGCAGGCATATTTGACGTCTTAGCATTGACTCCTGTGGCAACCATTTGGGGATCAGTTTTTGCTAAAGCCAACGCAATTTACAATCCAATTGTGTATGGAATTAGCCACCCTAAATATCGTGCTGCACTCGTAAAGACATTCCCATCATTGGGATGTGGAGAAGTTGAAAATTCTCACGAACTTCGATCAACAGTTTCTGACATTACTGCTATTCCAAATGAAGAAATATCAACTACAGCATAAATATGTTTACTCAAAATTTATCATAATACATTTATATTGAACAAAAAACCTAAAAAAATTATAAAAATAACTTGTCAGTTGTTGTGATAAACAAGCAAATAAATATTTTATCTATATGACATTAATCATTGAAAAATTCATTTGAATCTATTTAATAATTGAAATGTTTTATGTTTTTACACTTCAAAAATCCCGAAATTATGCTCATTATTCAGAAGATTGACATCAAATGTGAATGAAGCATAAACCTGAAATTTCCTTTTTAATGTTTGCCATAAAAATATTTCATCGCTTTTCTAATGTTCAGAATCAGATTCAGGATTGGACACCTCAAGGGACATTACCTGACATTAAGCAGCAACCCCTGATATAGGCTCTGATTTGGCAATCTTCTTAAATATTTAAATGAGAAATATGTAATTCAATTATGTACATAGAGTCATATTTAATATTCCCAAAAATAGGAAAATATTAAACCAATTAACGATACGACGAAAACAAATTAATTAAGTTATAAATTTGGAAATTCGGGTATAAATTTGTAGTGAATTTCATTAACAAATTGAGTTGTATTAGCAGTCTTGGTTCTGTCTGAAGTAGTTCGTTCTCAAGGCGATTTTCTTCAGCACTTTCTCAGCATCAAAGTGAATTAAAGCAAATTAAATCTGAAAATTATTCAAAATTCTTGAAAACATTTAAAAGTTTTGAAAAGAAATAAAAATGGCTTATAATCTTGGTCAACAAGCATTCAACATCCCATCATGGCAAATCACCAGTCCTGGAATTATGGGAAACTTGACTGTGGTCGATAAAGTGCCCCAGGAGATGATGAGTTTGATTGATCCTCATTGGTATCAATTTCCACCAATGAATCCATTGTGGCATGTAAGATTAAAACTTAACTTTCTTCACAAATATTTTTGCTTAGTAAAAATAATTTTAACAGTCAATTCTTGGATTTGCTATTGGACTCTTCTTGATTATTGCACTACTTGGCAACATGTGCGTAATCTACATTTTCACGAAGACTAAGACACTCCGTACACCATCAAATTTATTCGTTGTCAATTTGGCTGTTTCTGACTTTATGATCATGTTCACGATGGGACCACCAATGGTAGTCAACTGTTACCATGAGACATGGGTCTTTGGACCTTTGATGTGTCAGCTTTATGGAATGGCTGGTTCTCTCTTTGGATGTGTTTCCATCTGGACAATGACAATGATTGCTTTCGATCGTTACAATGTCATCGTTAAGGGTTTATCTGCCAAACCTTTATCTCATGGATCAGCTGTATTCAAAATCTTCGTGGTTTGGGTTGCCTCTGCTGTATGGACAGTTCTTCCTTTGTTCGGATGGAATCGTTATGTACCAGAAGGTAACATGACTGCATGTGGAACTGATTATCTCAGCAAAGGATGGGAAAGTCGATCCTATGTTCTTGTCTACGGAATTTGGGTTTATTTCCTTCCACTTTTGATGATCATCTACTCATATTACTTCATCTTGAAAGCAGTCGGAAAACACGAGAAAAACATGAGAGAACAAGCCAAGAAAATGAATGTCGCTTCATTGAGATCGGCTGAAAATTCAAGCCAAAGCACCGAATGCAAACTTGCTAAGATCGCATTGATGACAATCTCATTGTGGTTCATGGCATGGACTCCTTATTTGATCATCAACTTTGCTGGCATTTTCGATCTTACCGCATTAAGTCCATTGGCAACTATTTGGGGATCACTTTTTGCTAAAGCCAACGCCATTTACAATCCAATTGTGTATGGAATTAGCCATCCTAAATATCGTGCTGCACTTTTGAAGACATTCCCATCATTGGCATGTGGAAGTGACAATGACAATGACACGCAATCTGTTGCATCTGGTGTCACCACAGTAGCAGAAGAAAAAGCAGAAAAACCAACAGCTTAAATATTTCTCCTTAAAATTTATTTATTTGACCGCGGCTTCACTCAAGGATAATGAATTGGAAAAAACATTTTTAGATTAGTTTTTAATATTCAGCATTGATGAAAAAATAACAAAAAAAAATTAAAATAATAAAAATTTTCTTTGATTCCTTGCAAAAACTTTTTTTCTTCCTTTTTCAATATTTTTAATTTCATTTGCACACGTGGAGTTTTGCAAATTAAGCCTACCAACAAAGGACGACATGTCATCGATTTTTAAATTCAATTAAAGAGTTAAGCTTTTAAATGAATTAAACATAACTTTACATGCCTATAAAAACAGCAGAAATTTCTATTCTAACTCAGATTGTGTTTGATTTTCAACAATTACAACTCATTAAGACTGAAGTAGTTCGTTTTTGAGGCGATTTTCTTCAGCTATCTCTAAAAGAAAAGAATTAAAAGTGCTTTAAAAAGTTTTCAAGAAAAATAATCAACTAAAAATTTTGAATTAAACCAAATTAAAAAGTGATTAAAATGGCATCATTTGCAGCATATCAATCTTTCGGTGGAAATCATGGCGCCAACATGACAGTTGTTGACAAGGTTCTTCCTGAAATGCTTCATTTAATTGATCCACATTGGTATCAGTTTCCACCAATGAATCCATTGTGGCATTCAATTATTGGATTTGTCATTTTCGTATTGGGTTGTGTATCAATGATTGGCAACTATGTCGTCATAAGCGTCTTTACAACAACGAAATCATTGCGTACACCATCAAATCTTCTTGTTGTCAACTTAGCTTTCTCTGACTTCTTAATGATGTTCACGATGGGACCACCAATGGTTATCAACTGTTATCATGAGACATGGACCTTTGGACCAATGGCTTGCCAACTTTACGCTATGGCTGGATCTCTTTTCGGATGTGCATCAATCTGGACAATGACAATGATCGCTTTCGATCGATACAATGTCATCGTGAAGGGTTTGTCTGGCAAACCTTTGACAAATAGTGGTGCAACTTTAAGAATTGGAATCATTTGGGCATTTTCGCTTTTCTGGACTTTAGCACCATTGTTCGGATGGAATCGTTATGTACCAGAAGGAAATATGACTGCTTGTGGAACTGATTACTTGTCTCATGACTGGCGCAGCCGTTCTTACATCTTAATCTATGCAATCTTCGTTTACTGGCTTCCACTTTTGACCATCATCTACTCTTACTTCTTCATTTTGCAAGCAGTTGCTGCCCACGAGAAAAACATGAGAGACCAAGCCAAGAAAATGAATGTCGCTTCATTGAGATCGGCTGAAAATGTCAATCAAAGTGCAGAATGTAAATTGGCTAAAGTTGCTTTGATGACAATCTCATTGTGGTTCATGGCATGGACTCCTTATTTGATCATCAACTTCACTGGAGTTTTAACCAAATCGAAGATCTCTCCATTGGCTACAATTTGGGGATCACTTTTTGCTAAAGCCAACGCTGTTTACAATCCAATCGTTTATGGTATCAGTCATCCTAAATATCGTATTGCACTCGCGAAGAAATATCCATCATTGGCATGTTCAGGTGAACCAGAAATTGCTGACAATCAATCAACTGTTACTGGAACTTCTGAAGAAAAAGCTTAAAGATTCATGTTGTTGAAGATGCTATGTTTTATTAGGAATTATTGGCATAAATAAATAAATTTAATCAGAATATTTATGAATTAAGTTCTTTAAATGCTTCGGAAATTAAAGCAAATTTTCCATGTTTGCAATTTTCATTTGAATCTGTGTCAAGAGACCAGAACATCACCCCACCCAAATTATGTTCTTTCGCATATCTTGCTTTAGTTTTCACTTGTTGTTTAGTGTCAAAACCGAACCATGAATCATCCTTAACTGCATAGTAAGCACGATAATTGGTATCGAAATGTTGCTTCCAACCTAAACTTGTACAGAACTCGTTGTAGCCAATGATGCCGGAAGTGTTTTTTGTTGCTTCTACATCAACAATTGAACCTATTCGATGTTTGGAAATGTCTGATAAAACGAATGTTTTTCCATAAGTTGCAATGCCGAGGTTTAGTTTTTCAGCTGGCACTTTGTTTGATTTCCAATAACTTATCGATGCAGCACAATTTAATTCTTTGATATAACTTGAATCGCCATGATGTGGAAACATTTGAGTGTGATGTCCAACAGTTTCATCCCAACTGCCATGGAAATCATAAGTCATTAAGTTGATAAAGTCGACATATTCTACAAGTCTGGGAATGTCGTATGATTTCTCACTTCTCCATTTCTCAGGCGCGACAGCAATTGAAAGAGTGAAATTCGATAAAGAAAATCTTGAATGCAAATCTCTCAGTAATAAAATAAAATTTTCTTTTTCTTCATCATTTCTTGGATATTCCCAATCGATGTCAATTCCTGTCAGTGAATTTTCATTCATAAATTTAATGATTTCATTAATAAAATTTTCACGACCACTTTCAGTCTTTGACAAGTTATCAAAAGCATTCAAAAGTTCATCATTAGCACCACCAACTGCTGCCATTAAAGTAAGTTTTGGATTCTTAGACTTCAGTTTTTGAAATTCATTGAGTTTCCCTTTAAATTTTGAAACAGTTTTATTCAAAGTTCAACTGTATGAAAATGGATTGTCTCACGTTTGATTTCAGCTTCATCTGAATACAAATAAATCAAATTTCCAGAGTCATTCACACCAATAAAGCTGAATATTATGTGTGTGCATATCTCAGGAGTTATTTCAGAAGCAGGAATTATTCCCTGCCAATAGCAGACAATTCTCACTAAAAAAGGAACAGTTGAAGACATTTTTTTAATAATTATTAATTAACCTACTTTCACTCATGACCACTTGAAAGATTAAAAACAAAATTACAAAAATTGTCATTTCAAATTTTAAATCTTTAAAAAAGCAATGAAAATAATTTTAAATGTTTAAGCTCTTATTTGAACAACTTTCGTTAACAAAGTGACTAATAAATGAATGTCAGTTTAGATGTTTCAACCTTATCTTGATACACGATAAATTGTTGTTCACTCGATAACAATTTGTTTGTAAAAATTTAATTGAACAATTTTTGACTTTTAGAAACTTTCATGAAAAAGTTTTGAAGAATTTTATTGTTAAAATGAATTAAATATTTACTTCATTAAATTTATTCATTATTGTTTAATAACTTAATTAATTCATTATCTACATAAGATATCATAATTTGCAGTCTACTAATCAGACTTGCAACTTCAGTTTGGAAGTTATTGGAAAATTTGCCTCGACTATAATTAAAGCAGAAAACGCTCATGAAACTGTTCCATCGCATGGATGACTTCGTTCAATTTTGGTAGTATCCAACTTTTTGAAACGAAGTGTGTCATAATACAAATTTGATTATTTCGCTAAGCATAAAAGAAACAAAATCATGGCGAAAAAATATTACGAAGAGAGACAAAAGTTGAAAAGTTATTTGAATAAATAGTATCACAATTTAAAATTTTTATTTGTCAAGTTGAGTGGGTATGAAAAAAGTCATTGATTATTCAATTATTCAAAAAGAAATCCATCTGCGATGCCAAAATTTGAAATATTAATAATTAAAGTTGAATTTAAATATTATTATTAATTCTTTTAAATATTATTATCAATTAATATAAACCAACAGAGGTAATTTGATCGCACCAAATATGTAATTATTTGTCATTGATCAAACAGTACCTTGAATGATTTTTCTGTTATTATGACCAACAAGGAAAGCCACAACAGTTTAATTATGCTAAAGAGATACAAATAAATGTTGTCATCTCTCTAAAATGTTGAAAAATTTAATTCTTCCCACTTGTTCTTATTTACAACTTTATTATTAACACGATCTACTTGCTACTTTGTAAGCATTAATGAGTATAAATTATTACCATGTGCAATTGATGAAATCATTTTACTGGCTGTTTACTAAACTTGAAATCATGAAAGAAAGATACATATTTATGTATGTGCCAAGCATTTTTAAATATGTAGATATCTAATTATCAAATCATATGAAAACCTGTTTCATTTTTCTATTAGAAATAAATCTGCTATTTTGAGGAAAGAAATATTTCTGCATAGACTTGCTCGTATTTGTCTAGCTAGTAATAAGCTTATTTACAAATATTTTGTAAGCAAAATTAGTTTTTCAATTCGTTTTCTTCTATCTAAAGTTAGGAAACGAAGTTGGCAGAAAAGATATTTAAACATAATTCATGTCTCTGCATTACAATTGGAGCGATTTTTGAAATGTCGTGATTTATAATCTTCTAAGAAATGAAGTAAATATTGCATAATTTTATGTTTGATCAGCGTTTTTCCTACACAGTTACACAAAGAATATTTTCAATTTATTTGGAATCTATTTTAAGCAGACATTTCCGCCTTCAAATCAACTTTTAAAAAAATTCTAAATTTCAAACATTTACCGAAAAATGTCAACTCAATTTGACGATCTTCAACTACCTTGTGCCAAATATTTAACTTCTTTGAAATCAAGCATGCAAAATATATTTTACGCTCATTATGTATTTCTTAAAAATCATTAACAAAGAAGACTCAATTGAAATGCAAAAAATAAAATTGAATTTTTAATGAAGTAAAATAACCGAAAATAATTTCAATTCAACGGAAATATCAGCATGGATGTTGTCGAGGTAATTAAGCCTTGGACTTGGCTGGTTATCGAGATTTCCAAATCAAAACTTCAATTTCTAGGTCGAGAAATTGAATTGCCGTTTTAGAATGAGAAAGGATGAAGGTGGAGATCTAATCGAGAGAATGAATTATGAGTCCATTAATGTGAAGATAATAAATTTTCTATTCACGCCATACCTGACTTGATGCATATCAAAAATGTAAATATTTTGTTTATATAAAAGGTTACACAACGATTTAAGTTTCCGCTTCAAGATTGTATCGGAAGATCAATAAACTGCAATGCATTCATTTTAAAACAAATAAGTTATGCCGGCATGTTCACCTACTTTTTAAAATTCCATAATTTGCATAATGAATATTAATTACCGTTGACTTTGGAACAGCTCGTATCGCGTAAACGAAAATCAAGAGAGAATAAGAGAAAAGTTGAATTGTTATCATGCATATCTGTTTCCAATCATTCATTAGGATGTTTTTGTGCAGACTCTTAAATTAATATTTAATTAAATGATTTTCGCTGAGATATTTCCACGCAATTTCTTTTCTCTTTGAGCTTCTCTCTCGCGTGAATTCATAGCCAATGGAAAATTCAACTTGAATTCTCTTTACTGTTTACCGGTGCTTTTATTTCTTTCAGTTTCAGTTATCGTTGAACACAGCCTGAGAGTAGGAGTGTGTCTCGATTTGGGACGTACTAAACTTATCGCTAATTTTCAATTAAGTATTAAATAAAATCGAGTGAATGAAAAAGACAAAAAGGGAAAAAAGCATTTAAAACTGTGTCATAGATAAATCTTTTAAAAAAATGAAATAAAAACTTGGATAATGATATTCAGAAAAGTGAAGCAGAACAGAAATTGCATAAGTTGTACACAAAGTTAAAAAACTTTAAATAAGCAAACAGAATCTACAGATTTGAAGTGTGTGAAAAAGGTAAAACAGTCAATGCTTGTAACGTGCTCCTGAAAAAGAATCGAAATGAAATAAAAACAAGTTTTGGGTTTGTGTCATGCGAAATAAATAAATAAGCAAGTCAATGGAATCAGTGATCAAAACGAGATCAATCGCTCAATGAATGAAAGTGAAATTTATGTTAAACTGCTTTGCATGTTCGAGAACGACAGCGTTCACCTTAAAGCGAGTAAAAAGCTTGGTAAAATAATTTACGTCGCTGGCTTTTGGTGTCACAATACCCATAAAATAGCATGCTTAGTAAAGTTTTTTTTTTGCTGCAGTTTCGTCTAACCTTCTTAAAATATGAATTTGAAGCATCCATGTCGTGTCTCTTATTTTTCATTGTCTGTTAATTTATTTTTTCTTTCTCACACCTGAACTCAAACTGTCATAATGATCAGTTTAAGCAACGCAACTTGCTACGTTATTTGATAAAACCGACTTTAATTGCCGCCACAGCTTCATGATTAACTTTTCTTTGTAAAAATGCGAATTATATATTTCAAAGGGTTTTCTCGAATATTGCGAGATGTTTAATGCTCACGCAATGTTGAGAGTTATAATCAAAACATTTCACAACAACTCTAAACGTTTGGATCAAGTTCATTGTTCGAGTTGGTAATTCTACTCATGTGTCACGTATGCTTTACCGTTTGCATTACCCTCGACATGATACTGATGCTGAATTTTAATTTTCAAAATTGCTTTAACTTGAGTCATTTTTTGGTGATTTTGTTTTGAGAAGCGAATTTATGTAAAGAGTTTTGATATGAAACTGGCATGTTTAGCATTGTGATGTATTAACAAAAGATAGCAACTTCACTCAACCGTTGCAATTCCTACCTACAAATTATTTCCAATTGAAAAAGCGAGTTAAAAATTAAAAAAAAAAGATTACTTACTTTTATTCGCGTTAAAAGATTGCGCAAAATTGGTTCAAAACACTTTCAAGGTCGAATTTGTCCATTTCAATTATTGGACTTTAATGCTTTTAGTTTCAGTGTCGTAAATGAATGCCTGAAGCAATGTTGTCAATTTATCAAATCAACTTTTTTAAGAGTTTCAGCTGATAGCCAATTCTGCGATTTTATTTCATAAAGTAGCTCATTTATTTGATAAATATGTACTTATAAAGAAGACTCGAGAAGACGTTCTTTATTCATTCTGCTTCTCAATAAACTACCTACTACTGTTAAATAGATCTTATCACAATAAATATTTTCGACCTTCAATCTTTCTTTATTTATGGTCGCTTCAAAGTTGAAGAATCTTTTTGAAAATAAATATCAATTACTCACATGTTTCTTTCACGATCATATGTGAGCACAATGTGACAACATTAAATGCTAATCTCTTGTTCATATTTATTAATGTGCGAATATATTTCGTGTCTCATTTGCGTTACATAACGAATCTTTCCATTGTTCGTGTACTTTTTTTGTGTCACAAGCGCAACAAACAAATCGGAAGATCGAGAAAGTGTTATACAAGTTGAGAGAGTTTACCCACTTCATTATGAATTGCTATTGATTTACATATGAAATTATTATAATGGAATTCATCTAATAACTTAAATATGAATGATGCTTCGCAGTTGGATATGAGGGAATTCCCTTTTGTACTACATATGAAGGTGATGTTGCGCAACATTTCACCTACTTCTTGTTATCCACCATAAAATATTATATCAATAATTGTTGGGTTAGTTACAACGATATGTTAATTGCGAAGATGGATGATCGAATGATATTCAACAAGAAACATAAATATGTTTGAAAGCTTTTTTGATCAAAGAACTTCAACATTTAACAATAATCGACAACATAATTGCAATAATGCTGCATATTTATGACCTGACCCACATTATTACGCTACATTACCTACATAATTCACTTCATTGTTGTGACTTCAAAACTTTAGTAATGTCTCCAAGCTAATAGTGGGTTTACTTTGACTGATGCAATTCTGAGACAAAAGAGTATTCGAAGCAATTGGTTGGAAAAATGATAATAAATTCTCTTGATGATTGCTCAAGTCTTAAAAGGTCCAACCACAATTTATTTGTACGATGAAACGGAGGTAATTATAGTCTATAAATCGTGATTGTGGTCACATATCGACTTGTACAATCTGATCTGTTATTTGCGACGAGAGACGATGGCGATATTTAAAAGGCAAATCAAGTAACCGAAACTGTCATTATTCGTTGCAAACGGCATCATCATCATCATCATCTTTCAAAAGATGTTCATGACATGTCAACTTTTAGTATGCAAAGGTCACGTAAGAGTTAACTGCCATGAACTTAATGAAATTTCTAACATTTCTCGTGGGATCATCTTCTGCATAAGTGACTTGCAATTATTAACACGATAAATTTTTTCAATAATGACTTAAAAAAGCACTTTCCATTCAAAAGATAAATTTTTTAAGCTATATTTGTTCCACTGTTGAACCATTGACCCAAATCACAGCTTTGAAATGCTCAAAATCCAATGCTATTGTTGTCAAAGGTCAGTTTTTCTCTAGATCGTTATTTTGGTGTTTTCATGCATTTTTTACGGTTGAGTCGTCATCGAATGTCGGAAAGATTTAAAATATTTTCATTTTATAAAATAAGCATTTGATTAATTGACTATTTATGTTTATTTTTGTAAGGATGGAACCAACGATGAATAAATATTCACTTTATATCCCACGAGTAGCTCTTAGTTCGTCAAGTTCATCAAGTAAAAGTTCAAAACGTCACGAAAATTTCGCACAAAATTTCTCAAATACGAAAGGAGAAGTCTCGGAGACAAGCGGAGAAAGTGAATCGGAAGGAATTTATGGATCAACATTTCATCGTTACGACAAAGATTCCGAAACGAATCGTAACCAAATATATCTTGTACATAAAGCTCCAAAGCATGGATCACAATCAACACAAAGTTCGTCTTTGTCATCTTCTTCGAAAAGCAATTTTGTGAGTTTGATTTGTTATGTAAATCTTGGGACGATATTCTTGAAATATGAAATTGATTGAATGAAATCATGTCAATTATTTAATTATGATTACTTTCACAGAGCATGAATCTTGGAGTCAATTCGTTATTGTTAAGTGTAAAAAATTTAGAAGAGTTTAACAAGATGTCAACGTTATCTCATCAGATTTATAATAAAAATGAACGAAACAATTTCCAGTCAAATTATGAACAGAAACGTCAAATGCTTGAAAATATTCGGACAATTCTTTCGATTGATGAATTCAGCGTTAAAGACGCAGATGAAAAAGTGAAAGACTCTGATGAACTCTCGACTGCCAGTTCGATCACAACAACGAATTTCACGGGTAAATAAAATATAAATGTTAGATAATTATGTACATAATAAATGAATTAAACATTTTTACGTCTTTTCCAGTGGTAACGTTCAATGGTTTCAATAAAAAGCCAATCAAGTCAAAATCAATTTGCAGACGAAGCCATCAAGTAACGATTGTCATCATTGTCATGAGTCTTTTACTATTTTTTCTAATATCTGGTCTGGTTTGCATGCTTGAAATGAGATATCAAAAGATGCCAAGATGACAACTCATTTTTATAAGAATTTCTGGATCCACACAGCGGAATTATTGTGATTATCAAACAGACATATTTTTAAATTATTCATCAAACTGCTTGATGATTTTACTTATATATAAAAAATACTTACTGGCTATGATACTGGAAAGAAATTCCTGAAACATTTAATTAACAAATCAAAAGACTCAAATTTACATTTAGTTAAAATTCAGTTAATATTTTCCTCAATTCTTTTAATTTTATAAGTTTTCAAAATGAAAATAAAAAGTTTTGCTGATTAACTTAATCGGAACATGCTCAGTTTGTTGGTATCATAACTAACTATATCGAGGTCCCGATGAGCGTAGACAAAATATATTTTTTTTGTTTGATTTTCCTATTGCCAAAAGCACTTAAAATCTACAATTTTTTTTTTCTCTTCTATCAATTTAATTATTACCAGTTTTATATGTAGATATAAAACAAATTAATCATGTGCAGCTATCAAACTTTAAGCCGTTTGTTCCGATTAAGAATCAAGCGATTTATTTTATAATAAAAAGAAGCAACTTTCGTTTTCCTCCTTTTTGACACTTTGAAGGCATTGAAAGTTTTAATTTAAATAAAGAAATTTATAAATCTTCTGATTTCTGCGCTTTCGAAAAAAAAGAAAAAGTTACATACTGAAACAGCTTTTTTGGATACTTTAATCTAGAAACATGGAATTAAATGGCAAAAGAAGATAATGCAGATCTCTTTGATTCATTGCCAGTACATTCTAAACACCAAAGCAACTCCCATGTTTAAAGATTCCCAAAAGAAGAAAACTTAAAATGTTTCGGCGGCCGAAAGTTTCATTTATAATCTTACATAACTTATAACAAAATGATTAATTGATTATCGAAGTTAAAAAAAAGCAGTAAGAGAAGAAAGTAAAATAAAATATTTTACATTTAAAAGAAAATGTTAAAAACATAAACATACATTCTCCCATTATCAACAATTATCGCTTATGTTAATCACTGATTAGTGGTGAATCTTCTCCAAAATCGCTTCAAGGATATTTGTCATCCATGATTAATTATTTTCTAATCGATTTTAGTATAAAATGTTCTTTCAGTAGCAATTTAATTTTATTAATAGTGTAATTGATGCGCGCACGATAGAACTTTTTATTCTTGAAGAAATATAAGAGGAAAGGAGGTGAATGATGTTAATTGGCGATTTTCCTAACATCTCTTTTATCAATAATATGTTTCGATTGTTGTTACAACATTTTTTCCACATTATTCTCACACTTTTGTACGATCAATCGTGTTTTATGCTTTTTATGCTTTTTTTTGTATAGTTTGGTTGATGTTTTTTTCTTTTTTTTGCAAAATGAGAGGCAGTTGACATCTGACCGACTTAAAGCAATGTACAACGACGTTTCGGCTTCGTCATGACAATCGGACACAAGACAGCGCGGATTGCTTCGTCGAATACAGTTTTCAGACCTTTCTGCGTAAGAGCTGAACACTCTAAATACTTTACTGAACTAATCTCCTTAGCCATGGCCAGACCCTAAAATGGTTACGACAAGTTTTCGTTAATTAATATTACGCGTGCATGTCTATATGTGAAAAGTAATGTCAAGTCTAAATTTCGACATCTACTCACTTGTGGATATGTAATTGGCTGTAATTTCTTATCGCGCAATTTCTCGATTGTATTCTTATCATCTCGTAAATCTAATTTGGTTCCCACCAAGATAATGGGAGTTGATGGACAATGATGACGCACTTCTGGATACCATTTCGCTCTAACATTTTCAAAAGATGCTGGATTAACCAAAGAGAAACATATTAAGAAAACGTCAGTTTGCGGATATGATAAAGGACGTAATCGATCATAATCCTCTTGTCCAGCTGTATCCTGAAATATTAAATCAAAATTTAAAATAAAATTCATTTAATTTATTTAAAATCTTCATACCCAAAGTCCCAAATTTATTGGCTTTCCATCAACCATCACATTTGCCGAATAATTATCGAAGACTGTCGGAATATATTCTCCAGGAAATGCATTTGTAGTATAACTGATGAGAAGACATGTTTTACCGACAGCTCTGTAGAAGAGAAATGAGAATGAGTCTTTGCATACACTTCCGTAAATGATAATTCCAACATAAATTTCTCTTTCACTCATGATTCATTTTTTATTTCTTCATTTTAGTTTTTTCTTCATTAATTGAATTAAATTAACTGAGATTCTGATCGAGTTCAACATTGTAATTTTGTGTCGAATGAATGTTATTGGACAAGCGACAACTCAACACAAATTAAGCATATACTCAGTTATGATGTCATGTGGGGTGTTCAAATTACTTATGCTGATCATAGCAAAGTTTTTTTTTTGTTTTATTACTGTTACTATTTATAAAAAATGTTTTTATGCAATTTTGATAGAAACAACATAATAAAAAGTAATTTGATGATCACTATTAAACTTTTAAATAGTTGATGCAAATATTATTTATGGATAAAAAATGCAACTGACATTCATATCACACTACCTAGAGGCATACACGATGATTCTGTTATGTACTCACCCATCTCCAACAACTACACATTTGATGGCCTGCATTGCTGTTTCTTTATGCGATTATAATATTTTTGTTATCCAAAAAGAAGTGGGTTATCCTTTAGGGAGGTGAAAGATTAACATTAAGAAGAAATATTGAAGTTTAATAATAAAAACAAATTCATGTTCAAGTTTGAGTATGAGTAGAGCGAAAAGACAAGCTCAGTTAAAACTCATCATCTCCCAGTGATGATGAATGAATTCACATAAACATTGTTTCTCGCAAGACTATAGCGCGACTGTGAAAAACTGTGGGAGATGTGAGTTTAAATTGGATAGAAAAAAAATCTGTATTAATTCTGAAGGTCATTTGAAAATGTTTTCAAGGTATTTTGTTTGCGAAAGACTTCAACCTGACTACTTTTTCTTTATCAATGAGTTTAATCATTTTAAACTTTTCTTTCCTTTTTTTTGTAATCATTAAAGACCATGAGAAAGAAAAATGTAATTGCGCTGATGATGAATCACTTGAATTTGTCCGAATCAAAACTAAACTTTGGAACGTTTTCAATTTCCGTCCCACACAGTTGATTTGCGTAATTGAGATATATCGACAGATGTTTATCACACATAACTGATAGCATAAATTAACAATATCACTTGAAAGGGCGTTTGTTTAATTTTTATTTTCCACTTAATTTTTCTTTCGAAGCTTTTTTTTCATGATAAAATTGTAGCATCGGAATTTTGGGTATAACACTCGGTTTTCACATCTCAATACTACTTACAAGGCTACTTAATGATAAGCGATAATCAAAACTGGTCGTTTTAAAAATTTAAAGACACAATTTCACCGTAATTTTTTGCTTATAAAACTAAATTTTTTCGAAAGAAGGAGAATGATGATAGAAGACAGTCCGACGTTTTAAGTTAGCAATTGCCGGAAGCTGCTGAACGCTGAATAATTTGAATCTGTAACGAATTTTCATTCTATAGTTTTGTACGCGTCTTATCTTCATCGCCTTATAAAGAAGTCTTTATTTTTGTGATTTCTCTTTCAACTTTTTCGCAGCGTTAGAGTCTTACGTTTTTCATGTGTTTAATTAAAATTTTCATTCTCTCATATTTTATGGTCACATCTTAATTATTGCAAAGTAAGGAACATCATTCTAACTCCAGCCACATTGCAATAAGCGCACAAATAAATATAAATTAAATAAGTACAAAAAAAAGATGTCATTTCGGGTTGTGAGAAGTTCAAAATTTCGTCACGTATATGGACAAGCGCTGAAACGGGAACAATGTTATGATAATATTCGTGTGTCTAAAAGTAGCTGGGATTCTACATTTTGTGCCGTAAATCCAAAATTCCTTGCAATTATTGTGGAATCTGCAGGAGGAGGTGCATTTATAGTTTTGCCCCACAACAAGGTTATATGATTTATTTCATAAAATGAACGAAAGAATTTTAAAACAGAATTTTTTATAGGTCGGACGTATTCCTGCTGATCATCCACTTGTCGGAGGACACAAAGGTCCAGTTCTAGACATAGCATGGTGTCCACATAATGATAATGTTATTGCTTCTGGCTCAGAAGATTGCGTGGTAAAGGTGAGAAATCAATGAAAGCTTGCGTCATCGCTTAATCATTTGGGAGAAGATCACATCCAATTGCGATTTTTCTTTCTGAAAAAACCGACCGAAACGAACGCGGGACGCTAAAAATAGATTCCCATTGCCGACCTTTCACTAAAAGACTATTTTTCGAAAATATTTTTATATTTATACATTATATACACTTACATTATATATCAACATGTCTTACTCACTCTCATAATGATGATTCCTCCATGAAATGTTTTATTTATGAAAAGGAGACATAATTCATTGAAAGTCATAGCAAAATTCTTTTCTTTCTTTAAGGTGTGGCAAATTCCCGATGGAGGTTTATCGCGTACACTTACCGACCCTGTTGTTGATTTACTTTATCATCAACGTCGTGTTGGCCTTGTTTTGTGGCATCCATCAGCACTTAATGTTTTGCTCACTGCTGGATCAGACAATCAAGTCGTCATCTGGAATGTGGGGACAGGAGAAGTTCTCATTCATATGGATTGTCATCCCGATATAGTATTCAGTGCATGTTTCAATTGGGATGGCTCGAAATTGGTGACAACCTGTAAGGATAAGAAAATTCGTATCATCGATCCAAGAACTGGCGATATTGAAGCTGAAGCACTTTGTCACGAGGGATCAAAAGCAACCCGCGCTATCTTCCTTCGACATGGGCTTATCTTCACGACTGGGTATGAAATATGATTTGAAGGTTTTACCTTACTTAATGAAGGGAAAAATGAAATGACGTCAATGAAATTCTTTCAGGTTTAATCGATCTTCTGAACGTCAATACAGTCTTCGTGCACCTGACGCGCTTTCTGAACCAATAGTCATGGTAGACTTGGATACGTCAAATGGGGTGATGTTTCCGCTTTACGATCCAGACACTAATATGGTTTATTTGTGTGGTAAAGGGGATTCAGTCATCCGATATTTTGAAATTACTCCTGAACCTCCATTTGTGCATTACATCAACACCTTCCAAACACCCGACCCACAACGTGGTATTGGTCTCATGCCAAAACGTGGATGTGACGTGAGCTCTTGCGAAATTGCACGATTTTATCGACTCAACAACAGTGGATTGTGTCAGACAATCACAATGACGGTGCCAAGAAAATCTGAACTTTTCCAGGAGGATCTCTATCCAGACACTTTGTCTGATGAAGCAGCAATTTCGGCTGAAGAGTGGATAGGTGGAACCAACGCTGATCCCTGTCTCATTTCTCTCAAGGTAAACTTTGTTTTCCATGATTTTCCTTCATCTTCATTGTTGATTCTTGTTCATTGTTTGTGCTTTGTTTTAAACAAGAAAAAAAAAGGAATTTTGTGTGATGCTTTTTGCTAAAATGTGTACATTTCCCTAACATTCAGACACATTGTGTGTACGTTTTGTTTGTTTTCATTCTGACATGAATTTCATTTCCTTTCCCTATTCAAGTTCATTTTTTATTTGAAAAGTTTTATTTATAAATTTGTGTGTCAAGAAGTTATAGGAAAAACGTCCTCGATGTCATTTCAAAACATCATTGAGATGAAAATGTATGAAAAAATTTATATTTCATCATTAAATTGAATCAGGACACTTCACTGCATGCCATGTTCAATAAATTTTATTCCAAGTCGACAGCAATAGAAGATTTCGAGCCAACATAAATTAAATGTGATCATTAATAATGTCATTTCATTAATTTGTCTTCGTACACATATTTTATCAACGCATAAGCAAAGTTAATCACATAATCTTTCTTTTTTTTTCTTTTTTATCTTAATGCCCTAATTCTTCTGCCTTAATTCCTACCATACTCGGATTCTCTGTGATTAAAAACTATAGGATCGTGTTTTAATTGTACAGGGCGGATACGTTTCGCAATCGCAAGGTCAACAGCTCAGTGTTACAAAGAAGTCAAATGTGCTTGACAAGCCGAAACCAAATATTTTGAATTCTAAGAAGACGGCTGCTAACCATGATCAGAGTAACAATAACAACATTAGTGGTGGTGCTGAAACTACCGACAGTGGATCGAAGAAATACGAGTCTGCGTCACAGCCTGTTCAGGTGGCATCAGCTGTTCCAGAAGTAACTGTGAGTTGATTGTCATTCTTGAAATCAAAATCAATTTTTAACTTAAAAAAAAATCTCTTTCTTCAGGCTGCTGATTTGAAAGCAATTCAAGATGAAATTCGCAAACTTAAAGCAGTCATTGTAAAGCATGAAAATCGTATTCGAGCCCTGGAGGCTCAAGCAAAAGCAAGAGATGAGGAGAATAATATAAAAGCGGAGAAAGATAGTGTGGAAGACTCTAAAAGATTAAATCCTGACGAAGTGTAAATGATATGAATCCAGCATAAGTTTTTGTTGCTATCTCAAAACATCAAGTGTCTCATGTATCGTCTCAACAAGTTTTCTTCGTTTCGTTTTTAAAAACTTTTCATTAAATAAGTATCAATAACAACATCACGACATGACTCAATGAGAAATAATCGTGCCTAACTTTTTACGTACCTACTCATTTGAGACCTTCATGGCAAGGATTTCATTCTCACAACATCAAAATTGCGCCTTTCGAAGAAAATTATGTGATAACTTTTAACGTTACTTGTTATCGGTGACATTACACGTCGCTTTGTTGTCTGGTTCAACGTCTTAAAAATTTTGTATTATTCACAAATAGCATGTTTAAATTAATGAAACGTCGTCGCCAATCTTAATCGCATAAAATGAACAAACATTTTTAAAAGAAGCAATTTTGTAAATTCGTCATTTAAATTAAAAAAAGAAATCGATGCATCGAGTTAAAGAGATTGAAACTTTTTTTAAATTAATTATTATTATTATTTTCATCATTTATCGTTGATCCATCTCTAATAAATTATTCTTTTTAAGTTTTATATTATAAATAGTTCCGAAAAACAAAACAAATATATCTAACCGCTCAATTGCTTTAACTTTTTGACTTTTGTGTTTAATTAAATGTAACGCGGATCATTTTTTGATTTAATATTAAGTAAAATTGAAAGGAAAATAATTAAATTTCTGTATTTTTATTATCAATCAATGTAAATGAAAAGCGAGACAAAAGGAAACAAATTTAATTGAATTTGCATTTGCTGAAATCCATTTCGGGATGTTCTTTCATGAATTTTTGGAGAACGTCTTGCTTCTTCTGATCTTCGCTTGTTGGTAATCCCATTTCTTTCTGACGTTGATCGTACATCATTTTCTCGACCAATGATCGTGTTTCACCATCTAAATCCGACAACTTTGAAGGTTCGGGATTGATTTTTCTTGTAGAGATCGGAGGATCAGTTTTGACAAGTTTATCCCACCACGACATTTGGTTTATCTTCTCAAAAGTTATGACAACTGAGTTCTTATCGATGGTCCACAAAGAGTCTTCCGTTTTAATCTCTGCGTTAAGTTCGCCATCAATGACTGGTGTTTGATTTTTTAATCCAATTTTAAGAGCTTTCTTTGATATAACACAAACTACATCACGAGATTTAAGATTTGTGATATTTTTGAATGGTACACGAAGCTAGAAAATTTTATAAATTTTAAGTCAAGTTTCACGATAAAACTTTTTTTGATAATTTTACCTCAACTTCTTGTAAAGTTTGTGTCCATCGATAATTTTCAAGATCGCATCCGTTTCCGGCATTTGGTTTCAATTTTCCTTTTTCAGCTTCGTCATCTTCATCAGCTTGATCGCCAAGTGGTTTGGAAACCTCCACCGGCTCTTCGACTCTAAATTATCCAACATGAATTTTTTATTCTCTAAATAAATCTTTAAAGTTTACCCTTTCTTTTTACCATCGAGTTCCATTTGAAGTTTGGTGGCTTCTTCATCAGTAAGTTCAGTGATTGAGGCTGATTGACGAGCCATTGCTGCTGCAGCTTCTTCCTCTTCTTGCCGCTTCTTTTTTGATGCTTCTTGACGTTTCTTTTCAGCTTCTTCTTTCTCTTTTCGTTTTTGCTTAGCAATTGTGATTGCATTAGCTCCTTCACTACGGAAAATTTTCAATAGAACCTAAATATGAATGTTGAGAAAGATCCAGAATGTTCGGCATGAGATATTTAACCTTAATTTGATATCAAATCTTGTTTAACTTACTTTTTCCCACTCGCCATCATCGCCACCAGTGAAAAAGTCTGTTTTCCGTGCAAGAAATCCAGCAATAGTATGTAAAAGCTACGAAAAAGAATCATTTTGTATTTTTTGCAATTTTTGATTTCATCTGCAATCGAAATTTATTTTAAAACTTACATCTAAACATCCTTGTGGGTGCTGTTCAGCAAGGGAAAATAAAAGCCCATCAAATCTTTGCTCACGTTCTAATTTATCCATTTTTATTTCGCTTTCTTATATTCTTGCTAAGTTTTAAAAACTTTTATTCATACCTAACTTTTTTTACCTCTTTGTTTACAATGTCTTGACTACAAAAATTGATGATTGTAGTCAATAGAAACGAATAAAAATTGATGATTGCAACAAAATTCAAAATCTGAAATACCGGTAAAATATTTAAATTCAGTTCAACTTTCTTATCAATGCGATTTTTACTCTCACATTTCTCTCTTTTTTTTCAGGTTTAAACTGATTCCTCTCCCGGATTGTTTTACGAATTTCCACAGAAAATTTTGAAATTCATCTCTAGTTTCATTTACGTTCTCCGTCTATTCGCACGTGAAAAAGTAAAGCTCCCTCAGTGAAATTGTGAAAATTAAATAATTTAAAAATATATTTTGAAAACATATTAATAAAACTATCAAACATAAATTGATTAAAAGCGAGTTATTAAAGGATTGCTCATAAGTTTTTATCATTCGTGTAAGTTTACAATTTAGACAAAAGTTATGAAATTTTCGAGAATTCTAAATGTTAAAAATAGAAGGAAAGTCTGCTCCGTCACTCTTACAGTCATTGAATACTTTCGTAAAGAAAAAAAAGTAATAAAAAGAAGGAATCGCATTAAAAAACACATTGTTTGAGTTTTTGTTAATATTTATTTTACATAATTAAGAAAATTCTTCATAATATTGCTGAACATAAGACAAGTTTTTCTCAAGGACAAAGTTCCTTTAATGATGATGAAAAGGATCCAAGGAAAATTTTATTGATTTTCTAAGTTGCAATTTTATTTTACAAAATCATTTCTGACGTCGAAGAAAATATTAACGTGTGAGCTATGAAAGTTATTGATTAAACGTAGTTAGGGTTATAATTCGGATTATTTAAATGAAAATAGGAGAACAAAAATAATATTGTGGGAAGTTATTCAAATTTGACGGAATGCTATTAAAAGAGATTTTTTGTCGTGGCTGGGGAAGAAAAACGAAAAAGAAAAAATGAACTTTGAGCTTGCTTGAAAAAGTAAAACAAAAATTGTTCAATGTGCCCACGTAAAAGAACCATCGAGATGCATTCCCGAATCAATGTATAACATTTGAATGTCGAACAAACATTGAAAAGAAAAAAAAATTATGTAACATTAATTTATCATCGTCAATGAACTGTTGAAAAATTGAAAATGATGATAAAAGACGTAATAATATAAGTGCAATGTGGACATAAACAAATCAAAATGGTTGTAATGATGAATTAAATAATTATAAGAAGAAAAGGTCGAGTAACGTTATTGCCGTTTTGCAATGTACAAGATCAAGGTCAAAATATTGCGTATCAGAAAAGAACTCAACTTTCTGTCTCACTCGATATTGAAGTGTGCAATATTCTGAATTTTCATAGCTCTGCAAAAGAAACTGAAACTTCTTTTTACTCTACTTCAGTTTCATTGAACCCCATGAAATTTTCTCACTGCTTCGCTCTCCGTTGAGGATAAGAAGATGACTAGGCGTGAGCAATTCCAAGCACATTTATTTCTCGTTTTATCATACTTTCGGAGTTTAAGCCTTCGACAATATGATAAAACCTCAACAAAATAAATCTACAACTGTTGATTTATCGCGCTATCATGATGACATAAATTCTAAAGTAATAAAGAATGATATCAATGAAATTGTCCTTTCCACGACCTTCATATATTAAACATTCATTTACACGCCATATCGTACTTAGCAATTTTGCACAAAAATATTTATCAGTGTCGCACTTTAACCACTTGTGATCAATTGACGGTTTATTGGAATAATTTTAGACATAAAATTCTCATAAAACTTTTGCAAAACATTTTTTGGAATTAAATTAATCAACGAAAGAACGTCGTCATTTTTATGATAAAATGTATCACTGAGATGCATGAAATTGCGAAAGATATTCGAGTTTGGTTCTCATTGGTTAAGTTTACAAAAAAATAACAACGCATTTAGTTAAATATCTCTTAAAATAAATCTAATAACGATTTTCTAACATCTGTCATCATATTTTTCACAAAGTTCTGTTCACATTACACAAGTTAATGGCGCTAGACGTGTCTTCAACTAAAATCAATATTTGTGGTCTTCTTCTATCATATTTGTATAAGTTCATCATGACGTAAGCGAAACATTAATTTGTAACCAAGCAAAGGAAGAAAGTCTGTAAAATTTGAAATTCTTACAAAGAATTTTCCACTTAAATGAGGATTAATATTCTTTATTATTTTGTTTTTGTCATCAAGCTAATATTTTGATAAGACTCCGCCTAAGTATCTAGTTGCTAATATCATCAACATGTCTCAGTATATGCACACAAATGAAAATTTGTGACCGCTCATTTCAAGTGTAATGATGGCGCTTACAGTGTGCTCGTTTTAATAGCACAATTGTTTTTTGAGTTTCAATTTTGATGTCAGTGTTTTTCCAAACAAACTGTTTCTTCGCAAACATGATTCGTTGCCAAATTCTTAAAACTTTTATTGCGTCTACTCTACTCGTTTGCGTTTGTTAATGTTTACAAGCTTAAGCTTCATTAAAATAAATATTGTTGACAGAAATCTTACCAGAAATCAAAGAACTTAATAAATCATTAAAAAGAATCAGCGTCTAATAATGAAAACATTTCTTTCAAGCGAAGTAGTTAAGTAAATGCCATCAACCTTTTTATTTTCTTTTTCTGTCAATGATCGCCAACTTGACTAATTCTGTCACAAGACAGTGAAATAATAGAACGTAATTCGTATGCAAAATTGTTGCTTAGCTACTTCTTCTCCCATTTTTTATGGTTTCATCAGAATTCCTCACTCAGTTTCGAGTTCGCCTAAATAAATAATTTAATGAAGAGCTAAGAAAATAGAAAGGAGAGAATCGTTCCAACTTGAAAACTTGATTAGTCGTCACTTCGTCTAAAATTCTTAAGGATTCTCTAAATGAAATTGATTTCTGGTTTAATTTGATTGAGATTCACATGTTTGATATGTAAATAACGTTAAGCTATATTTGACACATTTATCACATCGAATTTGCACGACAATACAAAATTATTTCGGGTCAATATACCTTCGTATTCCAAAAAGCAAACGGCACGTGAAACATATAAGTAAATACAACGTCGACATGTGGAAAGTATTTTAATCGTTGTAAACGTTTTTGTTTCACTCTTCATTTGCGGAAAATTTGCCTTAACCACGATGCGGTGCCACTCACATCTGTTCAGTTCAGAAGAAATATTTGAAGTCGTTTGATTTGTAAGGAACAAAACGTGAAAGTTCCAACTACATGAAGAAATTAAATTTACTTTCTGAAATGTGTGTTAATTGTTTAATTAGGTATTACTTTTTAACTTTATCGACATTGTTTCATGCGAAATATGAAAACATCATGAAGCAAATCGAATAATATTGGTGATAAAAAAATATTTCTTTTTATATGCTTAAAAACTTTGCGATGAAGTTGAATAAACAGCAAAAATATTCAACACGCTTGTGATAAATAGCATCTGAACGTGATCACGTTCTGTTATTCATTCGAAAAATATTAAGATCAGCTATCGTCTGAATGTTCATGATATATCAGCTTAACACAACATATTTAACATGTGAATCTTTCACGATTAACTCGCGAAAAGTAGCAGCGCTTAATTTATTTTTATCAGTTTGAAAATTCAATTTTTCGGTGTGAAGATTTAACCCGTCACTGTTCACGGAAATTCGCGACAGACGAAATAAAAATTAATCTAAATTTAGAATTTTCTTTCTCTTTTTTGGGTTGCCTTTTTATTTATCTTCAGCAGTCGAGGAATTATGTACACAGAAATTCATTTTAAAAGAATTATTTACGGTTACGTAAACTTTTTATTTTAATTGCTATGGAAAGCCCCAATTCAAGAATGTTAATGACATAAAAAGTTGTTGAAAAAGTTAATAAAGAAAAGATTTGTGACGCAATAGATTGATAAACCCTGAAGAAGTTGATTATGCAAAGAATTACATTAGAAGATATTCAGACAGAAATATGAAACCGTTCAAAGTCCCTCCGAGTTCGACGTTTTTGAAAAGAATTCTCGCGATTTTCCTTCTATTTTAACTAACAAATATTTTCTAATGAAATGAATAAATTCCCTTACAGGTCTTCCGAATTTCATTTGAGTACCGCAGTTTGCAGTACTCTTGCAGAAGTGCTAAATATTTCTTTTGAAAGTCATTTCAACAAACTTTTCATTGACAGAAGAAAAGAAATTCAAGGACAATTCTTTATCTGCTACTAAATTTATTTGTAAAACTGTAAATAAAAAGTTTAAGTGATTATAAACTAGTAAACAAAATAATCAGTAATCTGTTTATCATAGAGAAAGAAGTAAACAACATTTCTTCATCTTAAGCTGAAAGAAAATTAATTTGTTCAAAATAAAAACAGAATTGTGAAAATATCGAGAAAAACAGAAAACGTTCAAAAGAATTTAGAAAGTTTGTCAGGTGTAAAAGGAATGGCACCGCCGAATAGCCCACCGGATGATAATGTCAAGTCTATAAAAAGTGTTGATAATGAGTTGCTATTGGACTGGGAGGCACCCAAGGCTCAAGGACTTTACGATCCACAAAACGAACATGAAGCCTGTGGCGTTGGATTCATCGTAGCGATTGATGGAAAGCGTAATCATAAGGTAAGCATAAGAAATTGATTATCGCGTCAGATCATTACTTATACTCTAATTTACGTTGTCATAATTCTTATTCGTTTGTCACCGATACAATCTTTATGTGCACCTTCACAGTCGTAATTCAATCGACGAAGCTTTCATGTTAATGACAATAATTTGTCACTTGTTGTACTCCCCACCATTATTTCAATACTTATAGTCCTTTTTATGTATTAACTAACTACAAATTCGTTACTTACCCTTATGACTAATTTAAATAAACGCAATCGACCTTTTATCCCATTACATCTGTTCAAATATTCACAAAAGTTTCGCCTGTTGCGTGCTGATATGTAATTTGAAAAGATAATTTTCATTACAGTTTTCCCTTTAGTTAAAAGATAATGTGAACGGCATAAAAAATGTGAAACTAGGTCATGGAAATGTTTATTAATATTTTTTTCCTTTCGTTTCATTTAACGCTGATCGATTTTGTAAAATTGAAAATTATTTTCCATTTTTCAGATATTACGCGATGCTCAAACGCTGGCTGAGCGAATGTATCATCGTGGCGCTTGTGCCTGTGATAACGACACTGGTGATGGTGCTGGAGTCTTGACAGCAATTCCACATGAATTGTATGCTAAAGAACTGTAAGTTTACATTTGCATACACTTGAGTAGATTGATTATTCATTTTGTTGTTTACTAAATCGTTATCTTGTTCGTTCGTCTTGATAGGAAATGAAAGCTTTCAAAAGTGTTTTCGTCATGTCTTATCATTTCAATCACGTCAATATTAATTTTATTGGAAAATTTTCATTCATTTATTTAACATTGAAAGGAAGACAGAAAAATTCTTTTTAATCACGTTTCGCTCTCGTGGCTATAACAAAATAATTAACGAAAGAGATTTGAAATTGATTTATAAATCAAACAAAAATTCTTCTCGATAAAACCGACATTGTCACATTTCCGAATTCGATTCCTTACTTTAGTTTTCTTACACAGAATCGCTGATAAGATAATATTTCATGAAATATGAATGTTTCGTTTGTAAATATTCGCGTTTGGGTTCTCGCGCCTGGTTTTGGAAATGTCTCGCCCATGAATCATACAACTGACATTGATAGCAGTGGCAAAGAAATTTGACACTCACGTCGCGATCGAAATTTACTCTTATCGCTCGCTTTTTTATTAACATGAAGCAAGACGGCGCGTTCTTATTTGTAATTAAACCCGAAATATCTCCGCTTTATCGCGTTCATTCACATTTTCGTCTGATGAAACTCGTAGTCGTAACTACGAATTATTTCTTTTTTTCGTATTTCGTACTCGTAGGAAGTTTGACACACTTCCTCTTAATCTTAATGTTTGATGTTGTTGACCGCTCGTATCTGATGTCGACTCTAATGACTTTCGATTTCGATTGAATTTTTTAATCTTCGAGCCCTACAGAGACTGTCCGAGTCTACTAAATGTTGATGCAATCAAATGTAATTACTGGAAAGAAAGAGAAGAGAAAAAAAACTGGCAATGGGACCTTGAAACAGTTTCGTTCTCTCTTTTCATTTTTATTCTGTTCAAATTTTCGAATAGTTCAATTTCTATTAATAAATATTCAAACAGGGCTCGTGATTGAATTTCACTTTTAAAATATTTCAAGCAATTGACGTCGTTTTCAATCCCTGATCTAAGCTGACACATTTGTCTCATGTACATTCATCTTGTGAGATAATTCGTCGCATCTATTTATCGTAATTCCAACAACTCATCATCCACACGATTAAAAGAGCACAAAAATTATCTTTTCGCTTCATGTGTTCTGAAAATTTTCCATTGGTGACTGTTGACTCGACTTAAATAAATACATTCATTTATCCTAGATTTTGTTTAAAGAATGCGACTCTATAAGCCAAAATTATTTATTTATTTTGCGCGTTTCGTATTCTCTTGTTTCTAAGAAACTGAAAAATGTAAAAAAATCTTCAACGATTTTAGACCGCTTGTTAATTACTTAATGGAAAAATAAAGAAATCATGTGAGGCAGATATCTGATTATTCTTCTCACTCAAATCACGGACTATACTTTGTAGATATTAAATAAAATAATTTAGCATGTAGATGAGAAAAATGACGTTGCGGGGTCAACCAGATTTTAGTTTTCAAAGACCAAGGACATCTTTCTTACAAAGGTTGCATAAATAATTATTTATGTAGATACTTACATAAATCTAATACGAATTGTTAACATTGAAAGGTTTCATTTCTTATTTCCTAATTTAAAATAGATGAAAAGAAGTGTAAACAAGCAAATGTTGTAAACAGACGCAACTTTTCTAAAAGTATTTTTATTAAAATTGAAAAGAGAACAAGAAAAGTATTCGTGAGTGTTTTCACGCGACATGTTTTTCATATGTAAAATAAAATTAGGCGTAAACATCATCTTATTAAACAATTCCACATTGCCAACTCTTTAATTTTGATGATAAGCTATTTGTCACGTTTTCTGTTCAATTTAAATTCTTCTGAACAATAAATCAATGAATTAAATTGTTTTTGCTATTTAATTGAATTGTCAGAGCTTCGGAGGGCATTCAATTACCAGAATTTGGAAAGTATGCTACTGGTATCATTTACATGGACAAGAACAGTCATTTGGAAGCAGAAAAAGACTTTGAATCATTGGCAGCATCGCTTGGAATAAACGTGCTTGGCTGGCGTGATGTTCCAATTAACAGCGATGCGATTGGCATTGTCGCTCGTAAAAGCGAGCCGTTATCACGTCAAATCTTCGTGAGTGCAGATCTTGATAAAGAAGCTTTGAAGAAGCAAATTTTTGTGTTGCGTAAGCGAGCAACTCATGAAGTGACACAGCCTGGCCGACGCTTCTACATTTGTTCACTCTCAACATTGACAATCGTCTACAAGGGATTGTTTAATTCGGATCAACTTTGGCAATACTACACGGACCTTCTCAATCCTGACTTTGACACTTATCTTGCACTCGTGCATACACGCTTCAGCACCAACACTTTCCCTTCCTGGGAACGAGCTCATCCCTTACGTGTGCTCGCTCACAATGGAGAAATTAACACTTTACGCGGTAATGTCAACTTCATGAAGGCTCGCGAAGGTGTCATGAAAAGTGCAGAATTTGGAGCAGATTTGAAGAAACTTTATCCAGTCGTTGAGCCTAATTTGTCTGATTCTGGATCAGCTGATTGTGTTGTTGAATTTCTTACAATGACTGGTCAAAGAAGACTTCCGGAGGTGAGAGAAAAATTATGAAAATGTAATTAGAAATTAAGTTTTTGTATTGTTATCGATAGGCTGTCATGACGATGGTTCCCGAAGCTTGGCATAACGACAAGACAATGAGTCAAGAGAAACGAAACTTCTATCGTTGGTCAGCTTGCGTTATGGAACCTTGGGATGGCCCAGCATTGATTTCATTCACTGATGGTCGTTACATTGGCGCTGTTCTTGACCGTAATGGCTTGCGACCATCACGCTTCTATGTCATGCGTGACAACATTCTTGTCATGGCATCTGAAGTTGGTGTTTATGATGTTGATCCTAAAGATGTCCTTTTGAAGGTAGGAGAAAACGAAAAATATTCCTAATTTAAGTCCTCGAAATCTTTATAGATCTTGTAGATGAAAGACTTCGAGAGCGCGATAGAAATAAGAGAGAAAGTGATGGACGGATGAGCCATAAGTATTTATATATCAAATTTTAGGATTTAAGAACTTTTTTTTAAAACTTATTTCTTGATTTTTATTGCACACAATTATATAATGTTGTAATGTCGAAGAAAAAACAAAACCAATCGTCAACTGTTTTCTAGGCCCCCGCAATTCTTTTGCTTTCGGTCTGGTCGCTTTAGTTCTTGCAAAAATAATCGTCGCATCGACTTCATGTTTGTTCGTAGATTTTCCTACTTGATAGTTGATTGTCTTAAAGAAAATCGGTTGTAAGTCCTCCAAGAAAATGCCGGTAACATTGAAATATGATTATATTTATTCGCATCCACAATTATCTATAAAATATTTTCATTTTGATTAATTTTTTATCTTGAGCCCCTGAAACATAAGCATGTGTAATAAACATAAACAAAAATCTCGAACTTACATTATTTTGCTTTTAATTACAGAGTCGCTTGAAACCAGGAAGAATGTTGCTAGTCGATACTGAGAAGAAAGCGCTGATTCAGGACGTCGAGTTGAAGACGAAGATCGCAAAGTCGCGACCTTATGGCGAATGGTTAGAACAACAGGTAAAAGCTCTTAATTATATTCACTCCTAACTTAAATCTAGTCTAAACATCTGCTAAGGAGTTCTAAGCGTCGTTTGTACTCGTTTCAAGTTCTTTCATCTCTTTTGATGAAAACAATCAAATTGTTAATTAATTTAAAAATATTTTCTAATCACACAATCAAAATTTCTCGTTTCTTCCAAAAAAATCTATCAAAACTTTTATGTTTCACTTGTCAGATGGTAAGTTGAGTTTTCCCTAACAATCTTATTTGTTTGTTGATTTTTATTCTTAAGAATTCTTTCTGCTTCGCTTTACTTTTTCGCAAGAGTGCAAGCTTCATTTCGTGACAACTTAAATTTTGTGAATATCTTGACATTCACTTGTAACGAAATAAAGCAAACACCAAAAATATTTTATCGAATTATCGATTTTCTAACTTTTATGCTTTTGTCAATAATTTTATCCTAAACAGACAGGGAGTTGACACAACTTGAAATAATCTTTCAGAAAGTTGAAAAGTTGAAGCAACTCTCTGATCGAAATAAATAAAAAAAGCTATCGCCTTAAAGATTGACATGATTGGGAAGAGAATCATGAAAAATCTTCTTGTTGCTGCGTGGAAAAGTTTTAATAAATCTTAATAAAGCTCATTAATAATAGAAAAAATATTTCTCCAGATCTTTTTGGACGATATTCGTCGTGAAGATTTACTGAAGCATGGAAATGTCAACGGCATAAATCTCCCCAATGAATTGAAAAAGTACACAAAAGGTCTGTTCGACCCACGTTTGTCACTTCACGGCTACACCACGGAAACCGTTCAAATGCTTCTTGTTCCAATGATTAAGAATAAGAAAGAGGCTTTAGGGTCAATGGGCAATGATGCTCCACTTGCTTGCTTGTCACGATTCCAACCTTTGCCATATGAATACTTCAAGCAATTATTTGCACAGGTCACGAATCCACCAATTGATCCTTTCCGGTGAGTTAAATCTTAATTTATTACTTTGTTGTTTATCAATAACAATTAAATATTTAGCGAGAAAATTGTCATGACAATGCAATGTCCAATTGGACCTGAAGCGAACATCTTAGAGCCATCAGCTAAGCAAGTTCATCGCTTGTGGTTGAATAATCCAATCTTGAGTATTTTCGACATCGCTATGTTGAAACGAAGCAATCATCGTGACTGGAAAACTGATGTGATTGATATAACTTTCGATTATCGTGATGGCATCGAAGGATACATCGACACATTCCGTCGCATTTGCAATGAAGCTCAAGCTTCTGCTGAAGAGGGTCATCAACTTATTATTCTTTCTGATCGTGCTGGTGGACCTGCTAGATGTCCAGTGTCTTCATTGCTTGCACTCGGCTGCGTTCATCATCATTTGATTGAAACACGTCAACGAATGAAAATTGGCTTGATTGTGGAAACAGCAGAAGCTCGTGAAGTTCATCACATTTGTGTTCTTCTCGGTTATGGTGCTGATGCAATTTGCCCTTATCTGGTCTTTGAATTAGCGAAGTCACTTCGTGACGACGGCGTTTTGGATCCATCACTCAGTGACGATGACATTTTCACAGCTTATGCCAAGGCAATTGACACTGGCATTGCTAAAGTCATGGCTAAGATGGGAATCAGCACATTGCAGTCATACAAAGGTGCTCAGATCTTTGAAGCTGTTGGCTTGGGAACGGAAGTCATAGATCGTTGTTTCCGTGGTACTCAAAGTCGCATTGGTGGTGTCGGCATGGAAATCTTAGCCAGGGAAAGTCTTCAAAGACATGAAATGACTTTCTACAATCTGTCACCAGACGCTCACATTCTGCGCAATCCTGGAATTTATCATTGGAGAGCTGGTGGTGAAGGCCACATCAATGAACCTGGTGCTATTGCAGCACTTCAGGAAGCAGCTATAAGCGAAGACAAAAATGCTTACAAGAAATTCCGCGACACGACAATGTTGAGTGTCAAGCAATGTGCACTTCGCGGACAATTGGATTTCGTCACAAATCGTGAGAAAATTGACATTTCTGAAGTTGAAGATGCAAGTGAAATTGTTAAACGATTTGCAACTGGTGCGATGAGTTTTGGAAGCATTTCATTGGAGGCTCATGCGACACTCGCAGTTTCTATGAATCGAATTGGTGGTAAAAGCAACACTGGCGAGGGTGGTGAGGATGCTGATCGTTATTTGAATCAAGATCCGGAATTTAACAAACGTTCAGCTATTAAGCAAGTCGCTTCAGGTCGTTTCGGTGTGACAGCTGCTTACATTGCGAATTCCGATGATTTGCAAATTAAAATGGCGCAGGGTGCAAAACCTGGTGAGGGTGGAGAACTGCCAGGCTATAAAGTGACGAAAGAAATCGCTTACACACGTCATTCAGTTGCTGGCGTTGGTTTAATCTCGCCGCCACCTCATCACGACATTTATTCAATTGAAGACTTGGCTGAGTTGATTTATGACTTGAAATGTGCAAATCCCAAAGCTCGAATCAGCGTCAAATTGGTGAGTGAAGTGGGTGTTGGTGTTGTCGCAGCGGGATGTGCAAAAGGAAAAGCTGAACATATTGTTGTGTCTGGTCATGATGGTGGAACTGGTGCAAGTTCATGGACTGGCATTAAATCAGCTGGTTTGCCATGGGAATTGGGAGTTGCTGAGACTCATCAAGTTCTTGTCCTTAACAATTTAAGATCGCGAGTGGTTTTACAAGCTGATGGTCAACTTCGCACTGGATTTGATATCGTCGTTGCAGCATTGCTTGGTGCTGATGAATTTGGCTTCTCAACAGCTCCACTCATCGTCATGGGCTGCACAATGATGAGAAAATGTCATTTGAACACTTGCCCAGTTGGAATTGCCACACAAGATCCCGTCTTGAGGGAGAAATTCGCTGGAAAACCTGAACACGTCATCAATTACTTCTTCATGATGGCAGAAGAGATTCGAGAAATCATGGCGAGTCTTGGAATTCGCAAATTCCAAGATTTAATTGGACGAACCGATTTGCTGTGTGTCAAGAACGATCTGACAAATGAAAAGGCCAACACATTGGATCTGCAAATGGTGCTTAAGAATGCATTGGACATGAGACCGAACACCAACATTGTTGGTGGTTCTGTCAAACAAGAATTTGGGTTAGAGAAACGTTCAGACAATGAGTTGATTGCCAGATCGCAAGGCATCATTGATGGTTCAGAGAAATCGGTGACTATTGACATGAAGATCGTCAATGAAGAACGTGCATTTGCATCGACATTGAGTTATCACATTGCGTGCAAGTATGGCGAAGATGGCTTACCCGATGGAAGTTCAATCAACATCAATCTTCGTGGATCGGCTGGTCAGAGTTTCTGTGCATTCTTAGCGAAAGGCGTGAATGTAAAATTGATCGGTGATGCCAATGATTATGTTGGTAAGAGTTTGAGTGGCGGTCAAATCATCATCACGCCACCACCAGAGTCACCATTCGAAAGTCATCTCAATGTCATCGTTGGTAATGTTTGCTTATACGGCGCGACAAGTGGAAAAGCTTTCTTCAGAGGAATCGCTGCTGAACGTTTCTGTGTTAGAAATTCCGGCTGCACTGCTGTTGTTGAAGGTGTTGGTGATCATGGTTGCGAATATATGACTGGCGGAATTTGCGTTATTCTCGGATTGACTGGGCGAAACTTTGCTGCTGGCATGTCGGGTGGAATTGCTTACGTTTATGACATTGACGGGACATTTATTGGTGGTAAAGTCAACACTGAATCTGTTGAACTTGTGCCAATGGATCAAAAAGCTGATCGTGAACTTGTTCATGGACTTTTGGAAGAATTCTTTGAGCATACTGGCTCAGTTATGGCTAAAGATATTCTCAATTCATGGCCAGGAATTTGCTCGAAGTTCGTTAAAGTTTTCCCGTACGAATATCAAAAAGCATTAAAAGCTTTGGAAGTTGAGAAAGCGCAAGTCAAGGAACCGATCACAAATGGAATCGACAGTGAACCAAAAGTCAAAGATATCGAAGAAGCAGTTCAAGATGGCGATGCTGAACAACGAAAACTTGACAAGATTCTTGACAAAACGCGAGGCTTCATTAAGTACAAACGTCAAACCGGAATCTATCGTGATGCTACTGAACGTCAGAAAGATTACAACGAAGTTTATAACTTCCAACACGTTCGTAAGAATCTTCGAGTTCAAGCTGCACGTTGCATGGAATGTGGCGTTCCTTTCTGTCAATCAAACACTCACGGATGTCCTCTTGGTAATATCATCCCACGATGGAATGATTTGATCTTCAATGGCGAATGGCGTGAAGCTTTAAATCAATTACTTCAAACCAACAACTTCCCTGAATTCACTGGTCGTGTCTGCCCAGCACCATGCGAAGGTGCTTGCGTCTTGGGAATTTCTGAACCTGCTGTTACGATTAAGAACATTGAATGTGCTATCATTGATCATGCATTTGAACAAGGTTGGATTGTACCTGAAATTCCTGACTTCAGAACAGGAAAGAAAATTGCAATCATTGGATCTGGTCCCGCAGGTTTAGCAGCTGCACAACAATTAAACAGAGCTGGACACACAGTCACCGTTTTCGAACGAAATGACAAACCAGGTGGTCTACTTCAATATGGAATTCCAACAATGAAGCTTTCAAAGGAGGTCGTTAAACGACGAATTGATTTAATGGAAGCTGAAGGCATCAACTTTAAATGCAATTCAAATATTGGTGTTAACATTAAAGCGTCTGATCTTGTCAGTGATTATGATGCTGTTCTTATAACAACTGGAGCGACATGGCCAAGAGATCTTCCTTTAGCAAATCGTGATCTTAAAGGCATTCATTTTGCGATGGAGTTCTTGGAAGCTGGTCAGAAGCAACAACTTGGTACACGCAAAGATTGCATATCAGCTCAAGGCAAAGATGTCATAATCATTGGTGGTGGTGACACTGGCTGTGATTGCATTGCGACATCATTGCGACAAGGTGCAAAATCAATTACAACTTTCGAGATTCTTCCAACACCACCAGAAAAACGTGCTGCTGACAATCCATGGCCACAATGGCCAAGAATCTTCAGGTAAGCTTCTGAAAAATTTAATTAAAATTTGTTATGAAAGAAAAATAAAATTCACAGAGTTGATTATGGTCACGAAGAAGTCAAAGTGAAGTTTGGCAAGGATCCACGTCAATACAGTACAACGACAAAGGAGTTCCTTGACGACGGTAATGGAAACCTGAAAGGTGTAAATACTGTCGAAGTTGAATGGACAAAATCTCCAACTGGTCAATGGCAAATGAAGGAAGTTCCTGGAACTGAAAAGTATTTCCCAGCAGATTTAATTTTGTTGGCTATGGGTTTCTTGGGACCTGAAAAGAACGTCCCAACAGAAATCGGTGAGTTTGAATTTAAAATTGTGTAAAGTTTAGAGTTGACAGATGATTCATTCGACAACAGGTTTGCCATTGGATAATCGAGGAAACATACAAACACCGAATGGAACTTATGGAACGCCAAACCCAAAAGTTTTTGCAGCTGGTGATTGTCGACGTGGTCAATCGCTGATTGTTTGGGCGATTTCTGAAGGTCGTCAAGCAGCCCGTCAAGTTGATTCCTTCCTTACTGGTCAGCCAAGTACATTGCCTGGACCAGGTGGTGTTATAGATCCTAACAGACCGTTCTAAATTTGTTTAGATTTTAACTTGCAAGCTTAAACACTCAAGTTTAATTCATTTATGTTTTTATGACTAGGTGGCAATGGCATGTCATGAAATCAACTTTCATTAAATGATGATGAATGTTCAATTGAACTGCTTTGCAAAGTTGTGAATGCATTTGATTAAAATTTCAATTATTCAATTAAGAGCTTTGGAAATCTCGGAAATCAGAACAGCATTTGTTGCTGTCTTTGACATGAAATGATTTCAGCACAATTTCTTTTCTAATTAAGCTTTTTGTTTTTAAAATTATCCTTGAAAATTGAAATTTTCTTTTTAGTTAAACTTACTTTTTATTTGAGAAGGTAGAAAAACGAAATATTTAAAGATATTAAATAAAAAAGATTGAAGATGTAACGGAAAACAATAATTAAATTTTATCTATGGTAATATTTAAAGTGGCATTATGTGATTAAAAACATTAATGTTTAAGATATTATCCACATCGATTGATGAAGGAGAATAATTTTGCTTTAAAGCATCTAGCTGAGATGTTTAATTAGTTATCTAGATCATTTTTAAGTAGATTCTGTGCAAAGCACAAATGTTTTGGAATGATCTCGCTTTGAAGCTTTTCTCTTTATTCGCTCTTTATAAGCAGCATTTTGATTCTTTCTTATTATTTTTTTTACTTGAATTCTCATTTTTAGAAACATTGGAGTTATTTAAATAAAGTAAATATATAAATAAATATGTCATTGATTTGTTGTTGAAAGATTTTTCATTTTAAAAAAATATATCTATGAATATTTATCACCTAAAATTCTAATGTTCAAATTATAGTTATAGAGATTTGGGAGTGAGTCGACTTTCCCAGGGTGCCACCATAACGTTAAATAACGTTAAAATAATGTTATGGTGGTACCCTGAAAAGGACACTTTAACCGAGATTTGTTCTGTATCTGCTTGAAACCACAGCCGTCTACTACACTTTAACTATCTAATTAATTTTCAAAATAAAAACATTCATTTTTTCCATAAATTTATCACCGTTTTCATTTACAAATCTGCATAATTATCTTACTTAGTTACTAGTAACGATGGTTATATCGTCGTATAGAACATATCGTTGATTATCAATGATGAAAAATAGTTGAAGCAGTCCAACTGTCAATGCATGATTATTTTGTTTAAACAAAATTTAATGTCAATTAAAATAATTAAAGTTTAAAAATATTTAGACGTACTTATGGATATACTTTGGGTGGAAGAAATCCTATAAAAATTTAAACACCAGAAAAAGAAATCACTGTAATAATATTTATTAAAATCATATTCTGCATCCCAACGCACTTTCACTTGAAAATTTAATATTTTCTGTAATCTAAATGAAGCAGATGCTTCGAAAGTTTCTGAAAATTTAAAGATTCTATTGAAATAAGAGAAATATCGACTCTACAATGCCGAAGTCAGAAGACAATAATTAGAGAAACATTAGAATCATTTCAAAATAAAAATTTCACAAGACATTTATTAAAAGTTAAGCTTGATCAGAATATAAGACTCTTCATGAGAGAAATAAAAATGACAGAAAGAAAACAAAAATCTATATTATATGATATGTTAACTTAATAATTAAGATTATTTGATCAATAAAATGCAAAACTAGGGGAACTGTTGTCTTTCTTTTCAAACACTTACCTACCTATTAGAAGTGAGCATCTTAATAATCTCTGTAAATTAAAACATCGATTTCTTAAATGTACAATTTGAAGCACTTTTATCAGTAGATCTACACTTCCTTTATTTTTGTGTTAAAGATGATTAACAAACACCAGAATGTTAAAAGTAAATGTAGAGCTTCAAAATATATTTTGTTGAAGCATTTTACAAACGACGACCACGGCGACCTCCCTTTCTACGTGTGCAATCTGATGGAATTGGTGTGACATCCTCAATGCGGCCAATTTTCATGTTTGAACGAGCTAAAGCTCGTAATGCTGATTGAGCTCCTGGTCCAGGTGTCTTAGTGCGATTACCACCAGTTGCTCGCAACTTAATGTGAAGAGCTGTGATTCCGAGTGTTTTACACTTCTCAGCAACATCCTAAAAACAAAAAGATTTCTTTAATTAAGATTTATAAAAACGAATCAAATATATTCATACTTGAGCAGCTAACATAGCAGCATAAGGAGAAGCTTCATCACGATCGGCTTTCACTTTCATGCCTCCTGTGACACGGGAAATAGTTTCCTTTCCAGATAAATCCGTAACATGAACGAAAGTGTCGTTGAAACTTGCATAGATGTGTGCAACTCCGAAAACAACTTCACCCTCACGTACTTGTGGTCCAAGGGATACTTGAACTTCTTCTTTAGCTACTTTATTCTTACGAGGAGCCATTTTTTCCTCTTGAGTCTTGTATTTATATCTAAAATTATACAAAAAAATTGCGTTTTAGTGAGGTTATTAAATCTGTATTTTCTTACTTTTAATTCAAAAGGTAGTATTGGACAGAAAGAGATATGTTTTCCTTATTAATTCAGTACATTTATAACTGATAAGGAAAATAGATATGAATTTAATTCGATAGAACTTGAGATCTTTAAGAAATTATTAAAAGTTTCAGAATTAAAAATTAATACTTGTGTACCTCGAGAGAATCGAACGAAAAAGAAAGACCCCTCTCAAAATGAAGAAAAAGTTTCAACCCCCTCTTGTAAGAATTTGAGCGGGGTATTCCATTAATATTTTCAAAACAAAAATCTTCCTTTGATTACTTATAAATTCTTTATATTTATCAAAATGGGTTTCGCCCTCAAAATAAAGACAAAAAATGGTGATCAACATATCATAAGGTAAGGGAATTATTTTATTTATTTATTATTTATACTAAAAACCCTAATTTTAGTGATTTAAATGAACAAACAAAAATTGAATATCTTAAAAATAAAATTCAAATGTTAACGCAAATACCACCTCCTATTGAGATAAGAAGTGGATTTCCTCCAAAATTACTATCAGCTGAAGATGATGCAACATTGAAAAGTAGTGGAATATCTTCTGGAGGTAAGTTTTCATTTTTGCATAATCATCTTTCATCATCTTACAAACATTTTTATGTTTCGAATCCATAGAAACATTGATAGTAGACACAAAACCTTTGAGTAAAGAAGAGAAGGAAGCTATTGAGAGAGCGAAGCGACTAGCAGAAGATGAAATACTTGCTAGACAATTTGCAGATCCAGATGGTTCAAGTGTTCCAAATGGAATCTTATTGAAACAAGTTGTTGATGCTGACAATTCATGTTTGTTCACAAGCATCGGATTTATTCTATCAGGAAAAGTTGATACAACATGTGGCAATTACATGCGACAAATTATAGCACAAAATGTACATAATGACAAAGAAACGTATAATTCAGGAATATTAGGACGTGATAATGCTGAATACTGTGCTTGGATCATGCAAGAAAGTAACTGGGGTGGAGCTATTGAAGTGTCTATCTTAAGTCAACATTATGGAATTGAATTCGATGTCGTTGATATAACAAATGCAATGATCAATCGATTTGGAGAAGATAAACAATATCCAATGCGTGGCTTTCTTCTTTACGATGGCATCCATTATGATCCTCTCTATCTAGAATCTCTCAATGGCGATTCCCAAAAAACATTGTTTTCAGTTGAAGATGAACATTTCGTTTTTGAAATGGCTCAAAGCTTGGCGAATGAAGCCAAAAGTTCACGTCAATACACTGACGTCGATAAATTCACGTTGAAATGTTTGCAATGCGATACTCAACTTAAAGGACAAAATCAAGCTACCGTACATGCAAAAGAAACTGGACACACACAATTTGGCGAAGTGTGAACAAAAACTGAAGTTTTGAAGTTTGCTTTCCATTTCTTTTCATTTTTTACATTTTCATAATCACAAAACACATTTCAATTCGAATGTAAATAAATTTTTGATCTTTATTGAATGCTTTTTAAATTTAAATAGCAAATAAATAATAATGAAGCTTGATTAGAAACAATTTTTAGAATTTGACTTTATGATATTCTTTACTTCAGAAAGAAACTTATGATTTTGCTCATCTTATTACTATTTTTAGTAGAATAATCTTTCTTGATACACTTTCGACGCTTCATGTTTGCTGCAGGATTTTTGTTGATCAAAGGTTCGTCATCACCAGCTAATGGATCGTAAAAGTCCTCTGAGAAGGAATCTTCAGTGATCATAGTTTGTGTTGCTTTCAAATTACTGCACAGCTTTGTTCTTATCCTCAATGAATTACTTTCATCAACTTTATATTTCTCCAATGTCTTCATGAATAAAATCGCTGATGGGGGTAGCTTGGAATTATACCGGTGACGGATACGAAACGATCTTCTTGTTCTGCTTCCACGTACGAAATATGTTGGTGAAACTTCGTTTGAGACTTCTGCCATGTTCAGATTTTGATGAGAATTAAAGAATTTAATGTGTGAGGTTTGAACTCAAAACGACAACTGATTCTAATGGAAGAAAAATCGAAATTTAAAACAGAGAAAATTTAATTGCAGGTTTAGGTACTTGTCAAAAGAGAGAAACGAGAGAACGTAATAAACATAATCTTTATTTACCTGTTACAAATCCTTTGTATTTAAACAGGTCCTTTAAATTTTATATCCCATGCCACTCACCTTTCTCACTTATTTAAATACACTCAATAAAATCATGAAATTTAATGAAACAAAAGAGTTCTTTTGTCTACCTGACTATCCGTTGGAAAGTCATTAAGAAAACTGACCAAAAAAGAGAATTTTATTAGCGGAAAAACCATTAATTTATATTATACACTTGGAAACGCCTCCTTTTCATGAAATAAATACTCACGATCGTGTAAATATTTCAATCTTTCCATAACTTAACTGAAAAACATCTTTAAGAGATTCACAAAAATAAAATCGTTGAAAATTTTTCTCTCTTTATTATTCTTCTTTTTAAGTAAATATTTATTCTTAAAAAATATATCAGACATAATACAGCAGGATATAATTAACAAAATTACAAGGTAGAAAATTTTCCATCTTACACAGAAAAACTAGTTGATGTGTGTGTGTGTTTGTGTGTGAAAAGTTTATCTCTTAGTCATATTTAATCACGATTTTGAAGCTTTCTAATAAAATATTTTCATAAATTACAAAGAAGGACTCTCCAGTAACACTACAAGACTATAATTAATTTAATTCTTATTGGGATCGTTTAGACAATTTGGCCATCTTACAAAATCTTATTTGTTTGTACTTAAACTAGTTGACGATTCCTTTCGTCTTGTCGGAAGCTCAAAATGCCAATTTTCATTGCCATCAGTTTTGTTTAGTGGTGGTCTGTAAGCAATGCCATATGTTGTTGGACGTTCAACAGGATTTTTCGAAAGCATCATTTTCAAAAGATCAAACTATAAATTGTAACAATGTAAATAATGAAAAAATTCTCAAAAATATAAGAAAACTTACTTCGGCTTTGAAAGTTTGTGTGAACTCCGTTGGGTAAATGTTCTTGCGAATATTTTCCAGAACTTTATAACGCTCAGATTCAGTGTGGAAGAAGTTGAGTAGCTCGAAAAGAATTAAACCAAGTGAAAAGATGTCGACTTTGTAGTTGTATGGCAATCCTTTTGCTTGTTCTGGACTCATATAAAGTGACGTTCCAACCCTTTGTGTATGCTTCTTTTGACTTATACTTGTTAGATCAAATTCAGAGATTTGCGTCGATGAATTTGAATTCGATGATGACGATGTGAGAGGATCGAAAGGAATCTCTGCCATATCTGTCACAAGCCCAAAATCTCCAATCTTAATCTGTCCGTCTAAGGCAAAGAAAATATTGCTTGGCTTGAGATCACGATGAATGAGTCCCTTGAGATGAACATAATGAACAGCCTCAATAATTTGACCCCAAATCTCAAGCGTTTTTCCATTTCTCATTGTAACGTCGTTTTCACGAAGCCAATCTTTTAAACTCGTCTTCATACAAAGCTGCATTAGAATGTAAAGATATATCTTCCGAGGAGGTAATGCTGCGACATTCACATTTAATTTCTTAATTTTCAGAGCATTTAATGATTGAAGATTCAAAGACAAATCATTTCTATGACTTTTACTCAACATTTGATTTGTTTGCGAAATACTTTCATCATTTGGAACTTCAATTGTTATCACATCCTTTTTATTATTAACACTGATAGATTCGTGAGAAGGTTCTTTGAATTCGATATCAAATGATTCATCAGCGGAGTTGGAATCGTCTTCATTCTCTTTATTAGAGTCATTTGTATCAGCCTTAAATTGAATGAAAGAAGTTGAATCGTCGTCATTCGGCGTATTCTTATTGAAGTTAGTAAAATCACTTTTACTGAAATCTGTAAATTCGTCATGTTTTTGTAGATTCATCAGCATTAAGTTACCGTCACCAGTCTGAACACTGAAATCATTTGCATTCTTTTTCAACAAGCTTTCTGACAGAAAAGCTTTCGACTCTTCAGTTGGTGATGGTGAATCAATTGTTATTGAAGTGGAAAGAAAGTCTCGTGATAAAAGTTCTTTATCTTTAAGCTCTTGCCAACCTTTCGGTGGCTCTTCCACCCACGTATGAAAATATCTCACGATGTTTTTATGTTCGCAAAGTGCTAAAGTTTTAACTTCTCGCAAGACTCGATCTTTCGACTCTATCTTCGATGGCAGAAGAATTCTTTTAATTGCATAACGACAATCATCAAGTTTATTTTTCGCTTCAAACACGACACCAAATCCACCTTTCCCAAGACATTGCACCAGATCAAAATCAGTGAGAAATCTTGACTCATAAGGAACATTTTCTGGATTGCTTGACTCAGAAGCATTTCGAATCTTTGATTCAATTTCATGCATAAGAATTTCGTTTTCAATTTTCTTTTGCTTCTGTTCTTCTTCAAATTCAATGGCATCTTTAGCATAAGGAACAGCGACATAAACAACGCCTGTGTCGATCTTATTTCTTCGGTTATTCAACATCACGTTAATAACAAACGCTGTTGTCAATGCAATCACTGATATCTCTCTCCAATAATCCCAAAGCGAAGTTTGTTTTATTTGCAATGATCCTTGTTGATTAAATATTGGAAGTGGTTCATCTGTGTTGATATTTGTGCTTCGGGTTGGTTTAGTCGGATGACATTGCATTGAATGATTGAAATCTTTCTCAGTAAAAAAGAAGAAACCTTTTCCTTCCGAATATTGTGACGCATATAAAAGAGATTGAGCATAAAGTTCTTCATCTTTCTTTGTCATTCTCGAGTCTTCTTTATTCTCATTTTCTTCTTCTCCTGTGTTAATAAACTTTACAAGTGCCGTGTTACTTGCTGGAAGAGGCTTAAATGGAATCTTCGGAAAATGCTGCTCTTCATGTATTAAATTATGTTCAAGACTTAATTGATAACTTTTATACGAAGCTGCAATAGCTTCTGATTCTTGAATGTAAAGTTGTTGCTGATACATTCCAAGATAAACCGATGGCATTGTTTCGATATCTGGCTTAATAAAATCTTTTCCTTTCCACAACCATTGGATATTCTTGAAAAGATCAACGCTGTATAGTTGATTGTTGTCGTTCATTCGATAAATGCTCACAATTGGTGAATCAAACTTTTGTCTCCATAAAATGTCATTCGGATTTTTCTTGCTGTATCCACAAATGATTCCGTCTGGAACAATAACACGTAAATCAATGTCTTGAATGAATTGATTTTGTTCTCCTTCGTTATTTTGAGATCGACAATTCTCATTGGAATGCAAATCAAGCTCATGGTGGCCTATTGAGAAATTCCATCGTTCAAGACCCGTTCTTGGTTCGATTGCTCGAACTGTTTGAGTCTGACGTTTTACAACAAGAATATCGTCGATCAATGGATTAAATTGTGATTCGCCTTCTGATTCTTGATCTTCTTCAACAACATCGCTATGGTTTTTGCGGTTTTTGCAATCATTCATTGAACATTCATAAATAACATTTCCTGTTCGAGTATTGATGCCATACAAACGAACTTCTTTACCTCCTGATATGACCATGTCTTCCGAAAATTTAAAAGATGACTTCAAGAGATCATCAGCTGTCATTGGAATGGCTTCAATTGATTCGCCATCGAACTTGTAAATGCCACCATTAAGAGATGGAATCATACGCACATATTTTCCATTGTTTGTTAACTCAAGCCGATGAATTGATGATGACAATAAATCGCCTGGTTCCGTTGGTACACTCCATTGAAGGGTTCCAGCTTTCGTTAAATCGAGAGATGATATTCGGCCATCAAGCGTCGTTACATACAAATGTCTGAAATTTCATCAAACGTAAGAAGTGTTAAGGTTGTGAAATCAAAAGTAAGCCAATGCGAAAAAAAACAGAGGAAACCGTTAATTGCTTGTATTTTGACTATAAACATGAAACAGTAATTTATTTAGGGAATAATTAGTGTGAATCATATTTTTTTTTATGAAAACAGGTGCTATCTGAAGTTAGAAAATGCGATGATAAGTCAGATAACAAACAAGCGACAAAAATGTGACCTTCATTCAAACATTCAAAAAGCTTCTTGCGACTTACGTTTTGCTAGCAGTTCTGTCTTTAATTATATTTTCGTCACAATAAGGCAAATTTCCAACATTATTAATTTGACTGTTTTTCACTTGAGAATCATACAAGTTTGAGCTAACACTTTTAATAACAATTCCGACAATTAAAAAAAACGGTAACAGATACTTCGCATTAATTTTCACAAGTTTTAACACAGATAGGATACTCATATTAGCCAATAATTTAATCCATAACTATGATAGCAATGGTGATGCTTAATTTTTTAGCTTTTTTTAAACAATAAGATATGCGGAAATTTGCGAAAACACATAGAAAACACTATTGGAAATTTCTGTTGTTTTGTTTTGCACAACTTGTTTGAGTACACGTCATCTTATTAGAAAGTTTTGTCACCTCAATATCTTTCCAAATATGGCGCACGTTTATAGAAGGGGTCGTTATCAGAAAGTTACATCACCTAATGTGTCGGTGCGACTCATAAAAATAGCGCACTTAGGTTTGTTTACATTTTCTCTTCAATTTAAACTTTTGTTTTTCTTGCTGTTTTTGACATAAAAATTATGAGAATTCATCAATCATTACGTCAACAAATATTATTGAAAGTTGGTGATTTTGTGAAAGAAACAAAAATCGTCTCTCAAAAGGATCTCGATAAATTTGCAGCTATAACTGGAGATTTCAATCCAATTCATAACTCTGATAAATCGATTGTTCATGGTGCTTTTCTGAATGGTCTTACAGCAGGAATCATTGGAACTAAACTGCCTGGACCAGGAACAATTCTTTTATCACAAAATCTAAAATTTCCATCAAAATGTTATGTTAATGACCCAATTGAGATTACAGTTGAACTTATGGAAGTAAGAAAAATCATAAAAGCTAAGTACAAATGTGAACAAAATGGCATAGTCGTTTTTCTAGGAGAAGCAAATTTAATCATGGATAAAGAAGCAAATAAATAACATTTTTCACTTTATTTATCTTCTATATTTATTTGCATATTTTATTTATAATCAATTGAGAAGTTTTAAACCAACAACATTCCATAAGAGTTTCTTTTTAAATTTGAAAATAAGAACACAGAAGAAAAGTTAAAATCATTATAACGACAATAAGAATGACAGCAGCCCAAGCTGGTAACGAATCTGAAAGAAGGGATTAATTAATAATTTTAACACGAATTTGCGAATTAACTTAATGGTTGACTCACGTCTATATTGTAAGCTGTGTATGCAAATTCGGTTGTCAACCGAATATGAGACGACAGATGCTTCAACATCGCTTGAAATTGGCGGTGCATCTTTTGTCATAACAGGAATGAATTCAAGACCAGTAACAAACATTGAATGTGCACCGGGAACATGAAGAACTTTTTGTAAACTGAACGCTATATAAATAGAAACAGACCCGGAAAACATAGTCCCAACAGCCACGAAACGACCATCATCACGAACAGCTAACGCTGATAAACTTTCATCTATTGCCACAATATTGTTAAGCCGTCCGGTTTCAATATTCCACTGTTGTAAAAATCCTTTTTGTTTGCCTGATTTTCCGAATGGATTGGATAAAGTGAAGAGACGATAATTATCGGTGTTGCCTTCGATTGTCGCATATCGACATCTCTTGAATAAATATTTCACTCCTTCTGGTGGGGTCCATTGTAATTTCATTAATTCCTTTCCTTTCAAAACTGACCAAATAATTGCCATTCCATCTTTCGAAACTGAAATATAATTTTTGCTATCGGGACTGAAATCGATGTCATCAATCTCTTTTTTATGAGCTGGTACATCAGTTAAAGGCGTCATTTTAGGAAAATTCCAAACTCTCACATGACCGTCAAGACCACCAGTTACCATAAATCTACCATCAGGACTTATTCTCACAACTCTCTGCAATGGTTCAGATTTTGTGAAATCTGTTTGAACAGAATCTGCAGCCTTAATTTCAAAATAAACCCTTTTCATCTTTTGACCGTCGTCTTGCTCTTTTTCACTTCCCATTGATTCAGTTCGTTCACGATTCTTTCTTTGTCTGACCTCTGTTGACGATTCCCTTCTGTGTTGAATTTCTCTTGGTGGTAATTGGCCCACTTTTGGATGTATAATAAACATTTGGCTATGACTTTCCTGACCAACAACTAGCAGCGATCTTGTTTGAAAACTTCTCATGGACATATTCATTATGACCTCTATAATTAACAACACATGAATATTTGATAACTGAAAGCTTACACAAATATTCACCTGAACCAGTCTCATGTCTCTGAATTTCCTCTGCTACGAAATGCTGACCATTGTGAAAGAGCTCATAAATTTCAAATCCATTTGCAACACCTGTTTTAGCAGATCCACCACCACCAGCTACCAGTAAATGTCTAAGAGAGAAATTAATAAATGAAGAGAATTGACTTTTTAAAAAAACTTTTCATGGAGACCTGCTTGTCAGCATTTCAGCAGCATATAAAGGAAAGTTAACTTTTGCAAGTAAACAATCTGTCACCATATTCCTATTTGACCCCATTATTGCTCAAATTTCACCGTGATAAGGTTTAAATTAATCTATTTTAGTTATTTTTGTGTAATGACTTATGTGGAACTGTTGTTGACCTTGTATTCCAAATTAAAAAGTTGGCAGCCCCGCGATTGTATTCCAAAAAAGTACGAGTCCCATCATAATAAAAAAAATTGTCTTAAATTTTACGAATTTTCAAAATCAGCGCTTTAAAGAGAAATAAAAACTATTCATGAAGTTAAATAAGCTATAAGTGATAAAAAACGAAACAATCAATAAGAAAGTATAAGAAAAGTCACTTAAAAACACGAGAACATAAAGTATTAAAAAATTGTAATACTTTATAAGTTATTTAGCATTTCGGCTTATTTGTTTCATCTTAAAGGTGATAATGACAAGGTAAATGATCATTTAAATTTCTCTTCATTTCTAACAAACACTTGAAAAGAAATTATGTAAGCATAAGTAACATCAAGATTTTTGATAGCGTCCGCTTTCAATTTATTCGAATGCTTTTCTCTGGATTTATCTATTGTAGTCAATATTAATTGCATTTCATAAATTTTAAGTGCTTTACACAATTAAATAAAATATTTTTGCTTATATTTTAGAAAAAACCAGCATCCTATTATATTATTACGAGAATTAAGATGAATTAAAAGATTCGGTTCATTGTTTGTAAGACTTTTCTTCAATTATCATCATTTCATCGGATAGTTTACACACTAAAAAGTATCAAAAAGTATAAAAATGAATAATTTGGGAATGGCGCGACCTGATATGTACAGAGGAGGCCCTGGAATGTGCCCGCCGCCTGATTTTAAACCACCAGCAGAAACTCAAATGCCTGCAGCTCCAAGTAACCCGAAAAAACGGAGAAAAACTGCTGCATCAGCTGCAAACAATGCAATTCAACCTACTCCGCCTCCAACACCTGCTGATCTTCTTCCACCGCCACTTACAGGATATGGTGATACAATCGTGGCATCAAATCCTTTTGACGACACACCACCACAAAGCACAATGAGCCCTATGGGTATGTCGCATATGTCTCACATGGGAATGAACCCTCATCATCATCATATGAATCCTCATCATATGGGACCACATCCAGGTGGTCCCGGAATGCGCGGAATGAATCCAATAATGATGAATCAAATAAATAATCCAGGAATGGTCGGTCCACATATGGGAATCAATCATCACATGAATAATCGAGGCAATATGTCACCAATGGGAGCACCGATGGGTGGACTTTCGCCAATGGGAAATATGAATCCAAACTTATCACCAATGGGCCTCCAACATGGACTCTCAAATCATGGAATGAGTCAAATTGGACCCGGTCCAGGACGACCAATGACGAATTCTCCAATGCCAATCGGCTCTCCAATGGGTAACTCAATAAGTTCACCATTAAATTCGGGCTCTTCAATGAACAATGGACCACCAATGGGCCCTCCAATGCACAGTCCTCATGCAAATGGCCCAATGTCGGGTCCGGGGAATATGCCACCAGGAAATCGAATGAATGGCGGTCCAATGAATCCTCAACAATCTCCACACCAGCAAATGAGTAACAGTGGCGGGCCAAATATGATGAATAACAACAATAGTTTAACACCAATCAACAATAACAACAACTCACCAACAACATCGATGGCGAACAATCAACAGAGCAACAATAACAGCAATAACGGTCCCAATTCAATGCCTGTAAGCAGTAGTAGTGTAGCAATGAGTAATGCGAATACAATCAACACATCGAACATGAATCAAATGGGTGGTCCAATGATGAACATGATGAACAATCCTGGACAGATGAATATGGGCCCGAATCAGGGGCCACCAATGGGGATGTATGGTGGACCAAAGCCAATGCCTGTTAGTGCTGGCAAAGTTTATCCTGCTGACACGCCAATGGTATTCAATCCCCAAAATCCAAATGCACCACCAATTTATCCATGTGGAGTGTGTCATAAGGAAGTTCACGATAATGATCAAGGACTCCTGTGCGAGTCTGGTTGTAATTTCTGGTTTCATCGGTAAGTTTAATTTACGTCTTCCATTTCATTTAATATTTGATTTTTTTTAATTTCTTCTTTGATCACAGCACTTGTAGTGGTCTTACGGAATATGCCTATCAACTCATTCATTCAGAAGTGTACGCTGAATGGTGTTGCGATAAATGTCTCTCGTCAAAGAATATACCTATGGTGAAGTTCAAACCATAGAATTTAATGTTTCAGTGAGTAAATCCATAAAAATGCAAAATGTTCAATTTAGCTATCGTAGAAATGTGAGAAAAAGCTCTTAAGAAGATGAAAGATTGAAGAAGCATTAAATGATTTATTGATGGATTTAGTTATGTTAAAGAATGTGAAAGAAGTAATAATGCCTTAAACCACTTTAAAGAAGCAGTAAAGATTTGCGATGAAGAAGCATCTTTAAATAGCTTATAAGGATAGCATAATAATTTGTAACACCCGAGGTTCTGTGTATTTAGAACGATTCATACTTACACAAATAATACGAACACAAAACCTTCTTTTGAATCATTAATTAATCTTTTTTTTTGAAAGAGATTCATAAGCTTTTAAGCAACGTGAAAATTTAACAAAATTTATAGTTTCATATTTAAATTTACTACGTAATGAATGATAGTTACATCCAGTTTTAATAAAAAGATATTTTTTTTCTTTTATTTTTATTTTCCTTCACGGTATACACAAAAAAAACGATTACGAAAACATTTGATGAACAATTTTTAATTAATTGTATGATTGAACGAAGTATTATCGTGTTGAAGAAAAATTAAATAAAATACTTTTTTTCTACTTACTTATTTAGTATCACAAATGAGATTAAAATTAATTTTTTTATCCGGGAAATTTATAAGAAAAGAGATGAGAAATTTTCACAATTTGTTCTTGATTCTTTAATGAAAATCGGAAGTCATGTTAGAAACGTTTTTACTTACATCAAAGTTTACATGCTTTGTTGCCATAATGTTTAGTTTTATCTCTTATAATGAAGAATGGAAAAATCTTTATAATTCACCATTTCTCATGAAAACACTTTCGAATATCATCAACTCTTGACTTTTCAACAGTTTCTTTTAATTTTTCAATTATCTAAGATGTAAATATTTGAGCTAATTATGTAGATGTATCTGTGATGAAAGTGAAATTCATCAATGTTTCATATTTTGAAAAGAAATAATTCATCACATGCAAGACCTTCTTGCACTTCACATTAATCTAAAATTTAGCATTTTCAACTAATTAACTAAAGTTCATTCAATTTTACTTCACATTGTATAAAGGTATGAAAGGAAACAAGAAAATTTTAGGAAATTAAACCCAGATACATAATAAAAACGGAAAACAAAATTAAAAAGTAAACTTTTTTATTATTTGAAAGAAAAACATTTTGCAAAACCATCGTTCAAGTTCTTCTAATCTAAATAATTCAAAATAGATTCAAAAATATTTTAATAATAAAAACTTTTGAAAAACATTTTTTTGCATTTTAAATATTTCTTCGTTGTGGATGATACTTTGGAAATGCAGGAAACATAATAAAGATTTATGTTGAGAAAGTTCATGAAACGAGAGATGAAGGTTTGGTCTACGAGATGTCCTAGCTGTTGGCTATTAAATTTTTCAAACAAGAAATTTACATCTTCGAGTCATATTTGAATTTATTTTTTTGTTAAATAAACAGAACACATGCAAGTTAAATAAATTTATAATTAAACATCAATCAATCTTGACGCTAAATGGGGTTCGTTATTTGACGTTTTAGATTCTTTTTTGACTTTGCTAATCTCGTTTTTATCAACATTGGCAGTTGAGGTCGAAACTGTATAGGTGTTTCATTCATATGAAGGCAGTTGTGGTTTGAATTCGAAGTTATGTGAGAATCACCACCAGTTGTCCCACTAGAGTTTGTCTTTGATGAATCATTTTGATTGGTTGTTTGTGTAACATCATTTGCTATCAATGGATTTAAATTCGTGGGCATGTTGATTGGAAAAAGATTTGTTGGTCCTTTAATTACTTTGGATTTTGATTGTATACTACTTAAAATCGGAAGACTCGTTGTTTCGTTATTGTTAATCAGTTTCGCAAAGAGTTCCTTGTACTTTCTCTTATCTGATTCTGTCAATATTTGACTTCGATGAAAATTCACATAAATCTGAGTGAATTATGCAAAATTATTAAATTTATCTCATGAAAATAATTCAAATCTACTTACAGCTTGAAGCAATCCACAACTTTTAATCAGATATTCACGTTGTGAGAGTGATGTGCATCGATCGCGTTCATCGTTTTCATTTATGTCATCAGGATTAAAATAATTTCGTTTATTTTTTCTCATTTTCTTCTTTTTTATAACATCATCTTCGCCTGTCACATGTTTTGAAAATCTGAAGTGTTTAAGAATGTGTTGATTGTGTTTAAATTTCTCTTCAAGTTCAATTCGTTGTTGCTTTGCACATTCTTCCCGTCGCTTGCTGGCAGCAGTTTCCGAGTACACTGAAAGTTGATTTTGTTGAACGTAGAACTTTTTATAGCGATCCTTGTCGTTGGGACATGGCATGATCCGTCGAAATCCTCCCAAATGTGTATCTTCCCAACCAATTTGTTGTGCCCAATTATGATGCTTGTCTAAATAGACTTCTGATTGAGAGTCATCATCGTCGTCTTTAATTGGGTTATTATTATTGTTATTTGAGTCTTTCGTATCTTTTATCCTTTGCAGTAATCGATCTCTTATCCTTTTTCGATCTTCTTCAAGTACCTTTAAATTAAAAATGTTTTTTATATTGTTCGCAAAATATTTATCATTTACCGTTTTTTTAATATCCTGACAAAGATTCAATATGAGAAAAGTATCTTTAATAAGTCCTTCCTTAACTTCCTTATCAACTTGTTCGTTGGTATGAAAACTTGGTGAATGATTAACCTCGAGGATATAAGGCTTTAATTTAGAATCGATGAGAATGTCCATTCCAAGAATTTCAAAACAAGCTTGAATCATATCGTGAGATGGAAAACTTGCATTGTAATTATGTTTCAACATTGGCAAAGCACTGAGGATTGTTTTAATGATAACATCGTCAATATTTGCCCAAAGCTCAGTCACATCGTAACCTTCGTTAGCTAAAATTCGATTGAGCGTTGAAAGTTTCCTTTTAGTTCCTATTTCATCATCCTTTGAATACATTCGACTGTTCTTATTAATTGAATAATTCGTCAAGTGCATGAACATATTGTTGCTATTATAGTCAGATGGTTCACGATATTTACTTGTTGCAAATCTATTGAAAAATTATAATTTTTTAATTAATTTTGAATCACAAATTTATGTTTGATTTACCTTGCTAAACCTTCATTATAAACAAATATTCTCAAAGGATCAGTTGAAGTGATTAAAGCATAAACTCGTAAATCAAATTTAAATCCATCAATAAGTAGAGGTTTGTGTAAATAAATCTGACAGATCATTCGTTCGTTGATTTTCACTTCTTTCAAATTTTTTGTAATCCAAATTCCCCGACCTTGCGATCCTTGATCAGGTTTGATGATGAAAGTCTTACTTTTATGTTGTCTGCTGTACTGTATTGCATCTCCTAGACTAAGAAAACTTTATGATTAAAGAACGTTTCAATCTGAAAATGAAATTTATTTACTCTGCTGGAAAGCACCAACTTTTCGGGAAAATGTTGTAATCGTTTGGAAAAAGTTTCATCATTCTGTTCAGGTTACGAGCTAAGAGATCTTTTCGTGAAATTTCAAACATTCCAGGAAAATGCTGAAAAAATAAAATTGAATTTATGAAAATTAAAAAAATCATTTAAACCCACATTAATTTTTTGAAATCGTCTCATTTCTCGACAGAAGTCAACAGCAACAAATGAATCTGTCCAACAAATATTCCACATGTCTTGTTCATGCTTTCGATTCTGCATCGGATATTTCATTTCATAATTGTATTCGAACATGGATGATTTTGCTACATGATGGTTTGGCCTTACAATTTTATATCCTAATGATTTTGCGACTCTAAAAAGAACGGTAGGAATTATACGCAAAACTGTCAATGAACAAAACACTCACCTTGGAATGCAATCGTAGCGGCAATTGAGTAAACAAATAGAAACCGGTTGTCTGGAAAAAGAATATTTACAAATAAAATATTTATAGCTCATTGGAATATTAATCTCAAGACCAGCAACCCCACAGACATGTGATTGGGGTGCTTGAACGATGAAAAAGCATAAAATAAAAAACTAAATCTAATAAGTTTATTCGTTCTGGTTGCAAGCACGTGAGGAATCGAATGGCATTTATAAGAAAAATCGATGAAATTATCGACGGGTTGTCAAGATTTTTTTATAAAGGAAACTTTTGTAAACTTTCAAGTTTTAAAGCAACTACGAAAGCTTTGTTTGTAGAATTTTTTTAATAAATTTTATAACAATCATAGTACCTAATAGGAATATTTAGCTTATGTCTTTTTATAATAAATAAAAGAAAAGCTTTTCATTTAATGGGAAAAGTTCGAAAGGAAATTGTATGGGAAGTAAACAGGAAGATAAAATTTAATACAAAAGGAAACATGCAAAGCCACCCAATGACATGCAAAGCGAAAGCTTTTAAAAAAATTTAATTAAAAAATTCTGAGTTTTTAATTTTATACAATTCGTACTTGTTTTTCCTTTTACGATATAATTCCTGATGATGCTGCATATATTTGTATTTAATTTCTCTGGAAAATTAAATTTTGTTTGCCATTAAATTTTTAACTGTCGAGATTTTCACAAAATGTCTTAAAACTCACCTAGATGTCGGAGTTTGCTTAAATTGGCAATTTTCATCATTTTCAATTAATGGATCACAAAGAATCGCAAACGATTTTGTAAGTTTTGCAAGTCCAAGCTCTGGTTTGCTTATACTCCAACTAAAATCTTCTTTCACTGATGTGGCATTATTATTAATTTCTACATTAGAAATTGTTTCACAGGTATCTGAAATCTCTTCAGATGAATTATTAGAACTTTTGTCAGTTATTGATGGTTTATCACAACTTGTTAAAATTTTCCCACTGCTTTTATTGTTGTATCGCATCGTGGAAATATTCATTGAATCGACTTTATTCATCAATTTATTTAATGTCTTCACGTTAACAAAACAACAGCATACGAAATAGACGAATGACACAGAATTTATTTACTAATAAATTTCACAATTTCAATCACTTCTCCAACATCCACAAAACTCTTTTGAAATTCTTCCTAATGATAATAAAATTTAGAATGAATTTTTCAAAGCTTTCTCTTGGTTTCCTAGTTTTCTGGTCAATTTTTTTTTCAAAACTACGAAAAGAAAGAATTTGACGAGAGAAAATCCAAAATCTCACACATAAATATTAATTTATTTTTTGTTTTATCAACTTGACACAGAAATAAAAAATAATCAATTTACTTCAATGCATTATTCATGTTTCGAAGTCCTTAATCCTTTTACATATTTTTATTCAAAGTTAATATCCGACAGTTCAAATATTTTATTTTCGAAAGCTTACGCTTTAGGGAGAACTCAATTCTGCACCCTGCCCTTGGATAACAAAAATTAACTAATATGAAAATTCACTTTCACTTGCACCAACAACAGCCTTGAAACAAGGATCAGAAATTTCGTTTCAGAATAAAACTTCCGCAATTAAAAATAGTTTACTTCTCCGAACTGAACTAAACAAGCGTCGAACATTAACTGAAAGCTCCTTCGCCGAATTTTTTTTCCCTTTTGCTTTGCCAATGAAACAACAAAATCTATTCAACTTTAACAACAGACGGAAAACTCAAAGGGAGAACTTTTTATGCGAAACAAGCATAAGTCGCCACGGTAGCAGAACCTTTAAGATTCTACGTGAATTTGACTTCTGATTTGTAGACGGTTTATTTTTTCTTCCTTTTTTATGGAAAACTATAATTGTTTCTTTGTTATAAAAGTAAAGTTTAACCCGAAAAACTTTTCTCTTTCTCCTAGGAAATAAGTTTTATTTTTGGCTAATCTATTCAACCAACCATTTTTTATGAAACTATAAATAAATAACTTGTACATTCGCAATTAAAATTAACAACCTGCTATTGCCTACATTAATAAATATTGCAGATTGCGACAGATTTTTCAAGGTTCTTAACTTGATGGTTAATGCTGGAGTTTTCAAGATTATTAAATGAAATTTTAATCTAATTTAAAGGAATTTAAGTTGTTTGAAAGCTTAAAAATCGATTAAAGATTAATTAAATCATAGTTATTGAATACTATTTAACCTAACAAGTATTATATCCACTAAATTAGTAATTTATTTGTCTGAATCTCAACTTATAATTAATTAGATCATTGTTCTATACTCAATAGTATATTTTATTCGAGTAAAACACGCAGAGAATTGACAACAGCAAAAGTTGTTATAGAAACATCGAATCAACACGACGTGACGCGACGATACATAAATATATTGAAAAGATTAATTCTATTTATTTTTTACATGTTGTACACGAAGCTTTTAAGGATTTAAAATTTTAATAAAGTTAAATACCGTGTAGTAGTAAAAATAATATTTTAAAAACGTAATTAAAAAAGTTTTGTGAACATTAAAGCAATTGTTTGAAAATTCAATAAAGCTTGTTTAAAAAAAGAAATTTTGTAAATTTACAAGCAAAAGTTTTTCTATTACAGCATGAAATCAGAATTTGATGGGGTTAAAAATAGAAGAACTGAAAGAACAGGAATACCAACATGTAGATATTTGAGTCACATCATGTGACTTATATGTGAGCTACCAACATAAAATATTAATAAAATTATTGAAGAACTGTTTGACTACTTGTAAGCATTTAAACCTCAAGACTTCTTTAAAGATGAGAATTGTAAATATTTAGATCTGTTATAGTTCATCTGTATAGAAGGTTCATTTGTTGAATTTGATTATGATTGTGTTGCTTATTATTACAGACATTCACTTGGTCATGTTGACAAGATTTTTGTTAATCAAATTGACTCATCCCTTAGATCATTAATTGGTATGAAATCTTGCAAAACAAATAATTTTATTTAAAAGTATTTTTCTTTGTAGTGTTTGAATGCCAAATAAATGATGATTCAACAATTCGATCCAAGCTGATAATAAATAGAAAAGAAATGATAATTGCATATAATGAAAAAAATTTAGTTCTTTACACGATTCATTTGTTTTCAAATTAAATTGGTGTGAGTTCTCGTTACGACTCTCAACTTAAAAGTATTGTTATGAGTTTTTATCATTCGAGTCATTCAGTTACAATTTCTCATTTTAAAGATTAGAACGTGTTTTTGATTCTTCAACAAAATTGAGCATTTTATTTTTCTCTGTGAAAGTTCATTCGAAAATAATTTGATAATAAATCGATGATCGCTACTTGTTCAATTATTTAAAGCACTTGAAGCTTTGTTTCTATTTTTGAATCATTTAATCAGTTGTAGACATTTGGAAGGTAGCCTTAAATAAGAACTTAATGTCGGACGTTGGAGATATTTAGATAACAAATAGAAGTAGGTAAAAATTTATGCCTCGAATAGCAACAAATTCACATTCACCTGATTTTATTTTGATACTCACCAAGTTAATTAAACTTCCACAGATAAGCGATTCAAATTTAAATATACTCAAAAGTAAATAAGATAAAAAATAAGTCAAGAACAACTGAAAACTTTTATATAGAAGGATAAAAGTTTAATTTATCTACAAATATGAATCCAGATGTTGCGAAAGTAGTCACGGCTATTGCACTTGGATTTGGAGCATTGATAATAGGATTGCTTCCAGCTGCTATAAGTCAATATAATTTTAGACGAAGTTTACTTCTTCAGACGATTCTTTTATGCTTTGGAGCTGGAATTTTATTAGCAACCTCGCTTGTTCACATACTGCCTGAAGTAAGAAAACATTCAAATAATTAAAAAAGTGGCCAAATATAAAAAAATAATTTTAACCATGCTTAAGGTTCGCGAAGATTTAGGAGGGGGAATTGCCGAGATCATTTTCTGTGTTGGATTTTTATTTGTCTATCTCGCTGATGAACTTTTACATTGTTGCTGTGGTGAAGCAATTCAGCATCATCATTCGCATGAATCTCCCGACAGTGAATATCAACCAATTGTTCATTCACATGATCATGGCCAGTCATCTTATGGAGCGATTAGAGACCAAAAAGATGCCAATAATGACTCAGCATGCGAAGAACATCAACACCAACATGACGTTGAAGATGAAAGAATTAACTCAAGAATATGTCACACAAATCATTTAGAACCATGTCGACAAACTCTTGCAGGAATCATAGGAATGTTAACAGCGTTGTCAATCCATTCTCTTCTTGAAGGATTAGCTATTGGAATTCAGGATACAACACCGAAAGTTATGATTCTTTTCATAGCTGTTGTGTCTCATAAATTAGTTGTTGCTTTTTGTTTGGGAGTGGAACTGACAGCAAATCAAGGAACTCAATTCAAACATCATTTCTTAGCTATTTTTGTATTTTCTGCTGGAAGTGCAATAGGAATTCTTATCGGCATGGGAATTGTCGATCTCAGTAGTGTTGAAGACTCAAAGCTCATTGCAATTCTTCAAGGTATCGCAGGTGGAACTCTTCTTTACGTGACTTTATGTGAAGTTCTACCTCGTGAAAAAGCGCGTTGGCATCAAAGCACACAAGCCAGATTCGCCGGATTGTCACAATTTTTATCGTTTGGAACAGGGTTTGGTGTTATGACACTCATGACCTGGTTTATTACAGATTGAGATTAAACATTTTTTAAACATCAGACACTGCCAATTAAACATCCAAAAATATTTTAATAATCAGACAAAAGTGAACATTTCGTAACTTATTTTTATATTATTTAGTCCAAAAGTTCAAAACAGTTTGTTAATGTCGTAAATATAGAACAAATATTCTCTTTATTACTAATTTATGAAAAAAACATATCAAATGAAACATTTACAAATAAATAAATCCTGGCACTTTAATTCCATGAGAATTTAATACAACAAAAATAAATAAAAGAAAAGTAAAAAAATTCAATTAAGTTGTTTAATTAATCTTCAAAGTTCAATTTCTTAGAAATTCTTTTAATTTCATTGTCTAAAGTTTTATCAAGAGATATGCAGATGAAATTTTGTTTGGAAGAACAATCATGACCGGTGTAGCCGTAACTGAAATGCGAAGGATTGTATGAGAGTCTCAAACATCTTCCATTTCCTGTTATTTCAGGAAAACTGGTTGACAGAGTAGAATTTTTCTGAGGTTTGGGTGATGTTTGATTAACAACTTTTACTGGCAATTTACTGATTGATTCAGTTTTGTTACTTAAAGAAGTTAGATTGGCGTTTGTGTTGATGGGACGAGCTGATGTTGACCAAATCCATAAGAGACCTGGATTTAAACCGCCAATCCAAAAGTCATGACCACGATAATTATGACTCAATATATATGCAACGACATCACGGAATTCGTCAATCTTCTCAAATTCAGCCAAGTTTGATCCAAGAGATTTACATTTTTGCGCAGCAGTTTTCCAATCAAATTTGTTCGAGTATTCAAATGAATAGCAATGAGTACCAATTTTCGTGAAGTTTGTCCGACAAGGTTCAGGTTCAAGTTTTTGATTATCCCCTGCCATAAGATAATAAACTAATTGTTCTGTTCTCTTTAACCGCTTTTCCATGTAATCGACTCGATATACGAGCTTCTCAATAGCACCGAGAAGATACAAATCGGTTTCAGACACTTCCCTAGGTGAATTTTGATATTGACGATGTTCTTGGAGTTTCAATGGAGTTGGCAGTTGATTGTTGAAGTTGAATTGTGCAGGTCTCTTCATATTAACTTCGCTATCAAATGATTCTCCAATGCGCTTTGTAAGATAAGCTTGAGACGTTGGAATATATTTCTGATAAGATTGTTGTTGATGACTTGAGAATTGCGGTGGAGCGACAGTTTGAATGATTCGAGCTTCTCTACCACGAGATGGTGAATTTCTACGAAATGATGAATCATAAGTCATAATAAATGTTGCGAAAGAAAGTTTCTCTCATGTGATGTTTGTGGGATTTTCCCTCAAGTTTTATAATTGTCATGTAATGAGTGAATGTTTCCTAGCAAATCTACTTACTTGTTACTTAAAACCCAATCCTCAAGAAGTGAACTCCACAAACCATCTTCATTCAACTCTGTCCATTCTGCTGGTGATAATTTCTTTTGTTCTTTTGCATTTATGTTTGTTTCATTTTGTAAGAAAATTCCAATCGTTGTTGATATAGAAAGGAATAAACTTACAAGAAAAACTAAAAATATTTGAAACTTCATTCTAAGAATGTGTAATTAGCAGAAATTTATTTTGCATCCGCTTTAAAAGAAAAATAAAAATTTCGATAAAGTTAACGATTTCACTGGTACAATACGAATGAGACAAGTTTCTCGAATTATTGCGCGTGCTACATGGCAATGGCTAAAAATTGAGAAACAGAGATTAAAGTAAAAAGAGAAAAGGCTAATAAGAGAAGTAACGATCAACCAGCGACTCTTCACGCTTACTAACTTTCTTTTACACTTCTCCACTGTTTACTTTTATTTATATTTGGATAACCATGCTGAAAAGCAAAGTCTCAATGCAGAAAATATTATTTGAAGCTCATTTTCGAGTAAGCATTTATAATGTTTAAAAATCAAAACAAAAATGTTCAACACTTAGCTGCATCTTTTGAAAGTTTATAAGAAATAAAATTAATAAGTTCACTCCTAGAAATTACGAAGAGTTTTTAAATAATTCTGTTCGTATTGACAGTGCACAGTTATGAATTCAAAGCATGTACGTGATTTCAGTTTGAAGATCATAAAATTCTATAACAAATCACTCTTGTAGAATTGTTACGAAATAATGTCAAACCTTTCACAAGTTTTAAGAATGTTATTAAGAAATATAAATTTATAAACATATATTAATAGAAACATTGATGTTTTATTTATTCAAATATTTCTCTTTATTAATATAAATTTGATTAAATCATTACTTCATTTTTGCGTTTTGAACATCAAACGAATCACAAATATTTAAGAAAATTGAGGGGAGTTTGATTTAATGAATGCTTGAGGAAATTCAACTTTTAATTTTCACTTTTGTAAAGCATTGCAAGGATGAAAATCAAGATTGGCTGACTGAAAATGGATGAAGAAGAGAAATTAAAGTTTTTTTTAAACTCCCCCTAAATCTTCTAATTCTTCACATCTTGCAACTGTTCTTCCGCATTGGTTCTCTCATCCATTAAACAATCAAAAATATCCATTTATAAATATTTACATTAACTCATTATCATTTATTATCTTAGGCAAACGTTGAATTCATATTTTCTCTTATTTCTTCTTATTGATTAACATTATCAGTTTTTAAAAATAGAATTTGGAAAAAAGATCGCTCTTTGAGTTTTAATTAACATCTTCAAAAATAACCACTTGGTTTTATGATTTTTAGGCACATTTACACACTTAACAATTCGGTGCTAAAGATTTTATATAACTTTATATATATCCAAAATATATTTTGTATAATTTTTATTTTTATTTCTTGGTTACTTATGTTCCTTCATCAAATATTGAACATATTCATGTAAATGTAGAAAATTATGATAAGATAAGAAAATTTTGAAAAAATAATTTTATGATCTCGTTTTGGAATTTTGATAATTGATTCAAGTTTCATAGGAAATTTCGCAGCTTTATCCAAGGCTTCTCTTGCTTATCATCAAATATGTTTCACTGCGATTTTCTATACAATAACCTGATTAACAATAATAAGTATCAGAATCGATTTCTAACACCACTTGTTAGAAATGTCATCATTATAGTTTTAACACCAAATACAGATATATCTTTATATAAGAAACAAAATGAAAACAAAATAAAATCAACAATTTAAACTGCCTAAGAAGCTCAAAATTTTATCAGAAATAAAGGAGTAAAACTTTTAAAAAACTGGTTCTTTTTCTTCTTCATAAATTTCTTAATTTTGTTTATGTGTATCACAGAATCAGGCACACGTAAAAATTATTTTCATCTTGTGATTTCTCAAAGCTCTTTCTTAATGCAATTATTTCTGCTTTTTGATGCTTCAATGAGGATTTCCAAGATTATTTCTAAATTTTGAAAGAGAAACAAAGTGAAAAACTTTTGAAAGTCAAGTTCAAATTAAAAGTTAATAATCAAATGATGGATTAATTTGATTCCTTATCGCTACACAAACAACCAAATGTTTCTTCTTCTTCTCTCAGCTTTGAAATTGAACCAAAAAGACATAAACATAAACATTTTTTGTTATCATTTAAATAAGCATTTTGTTTTGTTTTTACTTTAGATAAGCTTCAAACGAACATGCACACACATTTCAACAAAGAATAAAATTGGTTAGTAAGATCTGCTCTTGATTTACAATTAGACAAAGTTTATCCAAAAAAATTATTTTTTCTTTGACGTTCTTTTCTTCTTTTTGTTTCCATTTATAAATAAACAGTTGAAACGATATCCACATTGAATAAATTTAACATACATCTTCAATATTTTATCTTGATTCATTCCTTTTAATGTGTCTTTTTTTTAAGTGGCGCAACACTTGTTGAAATTGATGAAGCCACAAAGAAAATAAGATTAAATCTTCATTATTATTATCTTTTAAAAATAAAAACTTTTTATGATGCTGTGAATTATAAATTGCCAAAAAAAAAAAGATTTTAATTTAGCATCGACTTTGGAAATCTCAAACGAATCGAAAAATTTGTACAGAGGTCATTTGATTTGCTTTTTCCTTCTTCTTTTGAGTTAATATATTTAATAAGCCAGCAGACACTTCACAAGTTATTCAATAACGTTGTGTCTAAGTTTGATAATTCATCAATATCGCTCGACATGCTTTCGTTCTTAGATATTTTATTAGTATTGTTGTTCAAAATGCCGTTGTTGTTATTATTGTTATGATTATTGAAACCATTAATGAGAAAATCTCTTGTGCGTTGCAGTTCCGGACTATATCGGAAGGGATTTCCATTATTTGCACTAATTGGAGTTGTTGGTACAGATTTTCCAACGGGACAAAATGAATTGATGTTATTATTGTTATAATTTGTATTAAAAGGTAATGGTGTGTTGGGAACAGAACGACTATTTACAAAATTTTGACGCATAACTTGAATGTTGTCTGTGGTTTGATTTAAAATTTCATTATCGAGCATATCAATGACATTGTCGTTGGCTTCCAACTTTATGTTAGATGAAGGTGCTTGTTCACCATTAAAAATATCCAAAATATTAGAATCAGAAAACTCCTGGTAATCGGAAGGCACAGGCGTTGGTGCCATTGAACTGCAAGCAGACGAATAGCTTGAATAACTGTTGTTGAACATGTTTGTATTTGTACAATGAGGTGGAACACTTTGTGAGCGTGATTCAACTGGATAATTGTAATTTGTACCCTGATTTGACAACGTTTGAAACTGAAATTGATTTGATTGCTGGGCTTGTGGACTGTAGTTGTAATTTTGAAGCATTGAAGGACTTTGCGGTGCCGAAGCTGGTTCCATTTTGAATTGATGTGGCCGACAGAAAGCCGTGTTGCTTATACCCAAAACAGGAACTGATTTCGCATCAATCATATTAGGATTTCTAATATTTAATAAAGGATTCACTCGTCTGTTGAGTGGCGTTGCCCTTGGACTTACGAAAGGACTCGAAAGTGTGTCACCCTTGAATGCTGGATGTAAGTTAATATTTTTTGGTCGCATCGATTGAGATGGAATTGGAACGAAGCTGAAGTTCTTTCGACGAGTGTTTGGCGAATGTAATAAAATATTGTTGCCAAGTGTCGCATCACTTGAAACTGATCGGACACATTGAGGCATGTTGTTACTTGATGTTGTAGCATGACGTGTAACAACATTTGTTGATACTGAAGTCGTATTGTAAGCATTCATTTGATCGTTATCGTTCAAGTCATTTGAAGGTTGCTGATAACTTTTTTGTAATAAGCTTCTGATTACGGATTCACTGTTTGTTATATTGCAAGCGTTGTTATACTTTTCTTCTAACATCGAACGAAGCTGTGACAATTTCTCAGAATTTCTCTCAATGGGATTTTCTTCAGTGTTGTGATGATAAGAATTTTCCATCAAGGAAACATTCGCTGCTTCTTCGCCTCCCAAATCATCTTCAATGCAATTAGCAATTTTGTTCTTGTCTTCACCAAAATATTGCAACAGCTCGAGATCTTGCGAGTTCTCTTCGTTAGGATTTAAATATGTGTCAAGAGCATTTCTATCCATGTTGCAAATGCTAATAAAACGCTCACGTGGAAGAATAAAATCCTCTTTCAAATCATCTTTCTTTACAACAAGATCATTGGGCTCAACATTATTCAAAGGCGATGGCGTTGAATGTTCACTGATGTCAACTTTTTCTTGATATCTTCCCTTCTTCAAACTCATCAAGTTTTCTTCCTTTCTCGACTTTCTTTTCGCCGGAATCTTTGATGGCATAAGCATCTCATGTAAAATCTCAGAGCTGCTCACAATTGGCGATGCAACATTCACGTTATTATCATGCAATGAATTGCCAGGCATTGACGTTGTTGCTGTCATTTTAAGTTGTTGTGCTTGGCGAACTTTCTTACAAAGAACATATTGATTGTCATTATGTTCTTCGTCATTCAATTCTGACGACAATAACATTTTTGTTTTCGGTTCTTCTTTACTTTTGAATATATCATTGACATCATTTTGATATTGTACTGTGATGGGATTAATTTGTTGATCTCGTCGCGCTTGTTCTGAACTGAGGTTCATCGGCACATCGGATGATTCATCAGTAAAATTATTTTCCACGGCACTTCCATCTGTTTCTTTTTCTTGTTTAATTTGTAAGTTTGCATCAAAAAGTTCATCATTTTCTTGAAGAGTATCAGGTGATTCAGTTGACTGTCTTCGCTTTTTGCGACGCTTCTTTGATGGTTGACTCTGTAAAAAAAATTGAAATTTTAAATAAAAAATCTTAATTTGGGAATTTTTCTTAACTTACAGCTCTTCGTTTATCTTTGAGCTCGCGTTGCATGAGCTTCTTATGTAGAAGTTGTTTTGAGGTAGAAGTTGAATGCATGTTCAGATTGTGTTGCGATATGTGTGATGCAAGATCATCAGCAGACTCAAATTGAGCATTTAAAAGTTTTTCTGACCAGCTTTTAATGATATTCCAAGTTGCATGTTCACTTCCATGACCACTTCCATTTGATTCATTTGATGTCGATAAATCAGGAAGCAGTGGCGGTTGAAGCTTAGTTGCCTTTCTCATAGCGGCATAACAATACCGAGAATGTCCACGTGTACCCAAACGACGTGGTCTAATATCAGGAAAGACTTGCTTCATGACTTTTCCAAAGTCTGCTGTTGACAGAGGCTTAATGTTGATTTTTCCACAGAATTGCCTGGATATAAAAATACATAAATATTTCACTTCCTTTCAATGGCTAAATTCAGGGCACTTACACATAATCTTCATAAACTTCTTGCTTGGGTATGGACACTTTTTCATCGTGTTCCAAATGTGATCGTACCCAATTGATTGTATGTGATATTTCAGAACGTGATCCAAGAGGATTTTGAGACTGTTTTAATGGGTCTGTAAAAAGTAAATAAATAATTTTAATAACTTATAAAAACAAATTTATGTTCTCTCATTTGTTTTTCTAACGTTTACAAGATTGTGAATATTTTTGAATAGATAACAAGTAGATAATTAATGTTATCGCGTGAAATTTTCTTTCGCAGAGTATTTCTTTGTTTTTACATGACTTTCAAAACAGCTAACAGCTGATGGAATATTTTTGAATAACATTTTATCATCGATCTCAGTTCATATAGATATATGGATATATCTTTGTCTTTATTAAGAATACGAAGATTGTTTATTATGTATTTCTCCTCTATACATAGATGTTCTTTTTTTAAATAACTTTATGGGTTGATTTAAGGTTAATGATTCTGAGCTGATTAACATTACGCAAACAAACTTTGAACTCACAATTTTTCTCTTAAGTTACTGAAAATATTCGATTAATCTTCGATGTCAAGTTGCAGAAAAAAAATCAAAGATAATTTTCTTAACAACCTTACATACTAAAAGTCACAAAATTTTAATATCTTTTAAAGGTGATTTATTATTTATTTATCATATATGCTAGCAAAACGTGTGGGATGCTTAAACGGTTCACTTTTTATTTTATAATCATAACTTACATGATCAAAAGAAACTCATTTATCGCAACAATATATTTCGTAGCTATCGCATTAAATTCTGTGACATTACAGAATTGTGCAAAATAAGTCAATAAAAACATGAATTCGATTGAACATTCTGATGATAATCTATGAGTGAGTTGAGTCATTTATACAAGTGAAGCTTTTAGACAAATTTGACTTTAAGTATTTGTTGGAGATTTTTCATTTACGAGCATAATTTGTAAGCTCTTTCATGATGTCATTTAAAACTTTTTTTCACCTTATCTTTGAACATCCGACACATTTTATATTGCTCACATATTTATTAATATATTATTATTTGTTAGGAGCTTTGGTCATTTTTTAGTTCAATTCTTACGATCGTAAGGTACAAAGCAAAAAACTTCTTCCGTTCATTATGTTTACTAGAAAAGCTTCTTTATCACTTGTTTTTGTCTATAATACTTTGCCTGCTTCTTCTTCTTCCGTAAATTTAGGCGAAATATATTTTTGTGATTATTGTCATTGAAAATAAGTTAGATAAGTTTTTGCAAAACTGGTTTATGTGTCGATTTAGATTTAAAAGAAATTTAAATTTTTTTATCACTCACCAACTTCAGAATGTCCACCAGGCATTTTAAGATAGAGTAGTAATTTTTCAGTTGGTCGTAATGTCGATATTTTCTCCAAAATAAATGTAATTTGCTGTTTAGCTTCATCGCTGCTTCAATAAAGTTTTGAAAGGAAATTAAAATCGAATTTATTTGTTATTGTCAGATATTTATGTTGTTATTCTTCACTGCTCAGTTTCGCAAACAAACTAATTAGCAGAGAATTCAATGATCTACCATAAAATCCATGAAAAAAATTATACCTTATAGCTTGTTCCATTAATTTCCTGATTCCTCGACGCTTGTCATTGTTCAATTCCTCGTCGTCCAAACTGATTGAAGCATTCAGCAGCAAGTTATCGAACGCGTTTATTTTATTCAAATTTAATAATTGCGAAAAAATTGAAAATTTTGAGTTACACTGAGACGATTTATTCACTGGTTGCAGCTGATCTATCTCAGTCTGATGATTTATGTTGTTAGAAGAAGTGACAGATGTCTGATACGATTGCGAATCATTGCTCATGTCCAATTGCTGCGATAAAATACTCATGTTGGAAACTGATGGCCCAGCTTCATTAGCTTTCACCTTATTGAATGTCGACGAAGAGTCGGTGTCATTTTTGCGATAAAATTGATTAGAAAGAGTAAAATTTTGCTTCCAAGGTTGAAAAGGATTTTGTGTCATTTTTGCTTATTAAATGTTAGGTGATAACTTAAAACAACATTGAAATAATAGATCTTCAAGGGACAAAAACTTAAATCAAACTTCACTTGATTCTCTGACACTTCCGACTTTTTTTTCTTTTGAACATTGACTTATTATTCTGAGACTATTGGATGATTGAAGGTCTTTTTTTGAAATTAAAAATTATCGCAAATCAAACAATTTCCAAGAATATCTTTTGTCTAGAATTTATTTCCATCATCAAACCTTGATAAGTACCAACTCACTAAATGAACAACTTTAACACAACTCACTAATCCCCACAATGTTACATTGAATCAAAATTTTACATCTAAGTCTCTTTATTCAAGTCACTCGCCATTTTGCACCAGCTGATCATAGAGAATTAATGGGCTTCATTCATAAAATATGTAACTTTATAACTCTGATGTGCAATTCTGATTTTGCTTACCTTCAAATGACCAACTCAAATTCTTTCTTTTTAATTTAATCTTCAAGAACAACAGAACTAACAAATTTAAGAAACATTATGAAAGGCGACATTATTCATTATGGGGGTTTTAAAGCGACGCTTTATTTTTTAAAAATTTGAATTCTTACAGTTATTTTTTGATACATGTTTCTATTTGTGTGCTTTATAAAAGCTTAAATGAATTTGAAATCTAATAATTTCACTATTAAAATAAAGATGCTTCTCTATTTAATGAAAAATATTCTAGATTTTCATTATTATATACCTAATATGAAATGTTTGGAGGATTAACTTTCATATTTTTTCTACAGTGAATCTCCAAAGATTTTACACTAAATAAAAACCATGTTCAAGAAAATATCCTTTGAACTATTGCGCATGTTCATAGAATTTTCATTTTTGAATGAAACTTGCATATCTTGTGAGTCACTGTAAGGGATATTTTTTAATAGAGATTGCGCGATAAGTAGAAAGGAGCGGCAAGAAATCAAACTATTGCGTTCAGTATTTGTCTGAGGTTTCACATGTAAACGTCTGGAAAACCCGACGAAATATTTCTTCATTCAGAACTCTTTTTTTATATAAAGAAAAAGAAAGAAAAAAAGTTTTTTCAAAGTTATAAAAAGACATTGCCTTAAATTCCATTCGAATGATATGTTAAACTTTCAGAAAATGTTCACTACCAACAACATCATTTTCATTTAATTAAAAAGTGTTTCTTTGAAATTATAAAGAATTCACGAAATTGGATTTAAAAGTAACGAAATGAGTTGTCTGGAAATTTGCTATCATTAAAAATGTGTTAATTAATAATTGGAAACAGAAATTTATTGGAAAATCAAATTTTACGGAGACAATTTTAGAATAGAGAAGTCTCAATTTATTATCAAGTTTCTTAGTTCGAAAAAAGCAGAACAAGTGTTATGCAAGGATGAATGAAAATGATTTTTTTACATTAATATCTAGTTATTAAAATATAATCCACAAAGTGTGTTAACTCATTGACTTTTCTCAGACTTTGGGAAACATAAAATTACCAAATTTGTGAAAGTCTAAATCAAAGTAAGTGATAATTAATTTTTATGGGAAAAAAAATCAATCTAAACTTCGATAAAGGTTATTAAAAGATGGAGACATGAAAAATGAAGTCATTGCGAAAAAGTTTACGTGTTTTGAGAGGATATTAAATTAAATTGGTAAAATAATTAGATTAAACAAGAAGATTGGATAAATCTATTAAATATCTAAACACTCGTGTGAGCCACGACATATAAAATATTACATAATTGAGTTTTATTGTGTTATGTTTATCATATTGTTCTCATTTGGTGACTTCTATTGAATTTATTCAGAAAATTACAATTTATCCTTAACAAACTATTTTAGAGTTTTAATGAAAAATTATGAACCTCGAAGGAAAAATTTTTCATATCAACAAAGGAAAGTCAAGATTCCAAACGGATGTGAAAACTAAAATGTAATATCTAATAAAAAAATTGTTAAGGTGAGTTAAATTCACACACTCACAACACTTCTAATACATCTATAAAGTAAAACGGAAATTGTGAAACAAGAAGAACAAGAAAAAAAATCAATGATACATAACCAGACATCCTGCGAATTGTTGGTTCGAAAGTGCCATTTTTATGACTAAGATTGTGATGATATCGCTTCATACTATGTTGTGAACCCATCATTTTCTATTGCCATACTGTAACTTACATGTAACACATTTGGATTTAAGAAAATTATTTAAACGTCTTCAGTAAACTAGAAAAGAACTTTAAGGAGTGCAACAAGATATTAAAGGTTCAAGTGTTATAAATTATCGTGATTCCAATTAAATTTTGCCTTCTTAATGTTTCTACGATAAAAAAAAACTGGCAAACACCCATCTTCAGTATAATTAATTGTATTAAATTTTAAACAACATCCTTTTTTTCGTGTGAGACGAGACATCAATTATTATGTAAGAGATAATAATTAATTGAAAGGATAATTCTCGATTGGTGCAACAAACCGATGGGGATGTTGTTTGCCAAAATACGAGTAAAGCCATTAGAGTTACAGACGATAGCACAGCAGAAACGATACATTCGTAATGATGAGAAGTGGCACATCAGAGGTGAATGACTAATACATTTGACTTCATTTCTATTTTCTTTAACAAATTGTTTATTAATAGGAACAACTCCTTGAACATCAACAACAACAAGAGCTTGAATTAATTAGGATAGCAAAACTACGTGAATTAGAAAAACAGAAACAGAAATTTAGTGAAAGAAAATTTAAGGGAAAGAATATTCGCGAACATAGCATATTTTATACGACTGTAACGCTGGTGTTTTTCTCAGTGTCTGCTGGTGCTTCGATACTGTTTTTGGTTCCTTTATACGTGGGTAAGATTTCGAATGACTTCCAATTCATCTTGCATCTGAATTAATTATTTACATATCCTCATAAACCTTACAATAACTAAAAATTTCCTTTAGATCCAGCATTATCAACACTTGCAGGAGATTTCATTGAACGTCCTACTTTATGCGTTACAACTCGACGTGAAGATTTAACAGGATTACTGAATTGTTCTTGGAGTTCATGTCGAGAAGGATGCACATCTGATGTTTTTAAATGTACCCACATTTTTGTACAGTTTGTTGAGTTAATAGATGAAAATGTCAATTTTACGTTTCCATATAATGCCACAATACAAGAGCTAGCTAACTTTACTACCGAACTTGAGAAAGCTACCACCGAGTCTGTGCTTCAAGTCAATATTAAAGGATGTGGATGTAATTATTAATCTGAAGAATTAAATTTCTCTTGGACACTTTCACAATCATTCTAATTTTTTTATTGACAGATCCACCGACAGTTAAGTGTTCAGTGTTCACTGAAACTTATGGTTTTGAAGGAGCAGCTTTTCCTTGTTACTATTCGAAGAAGAATAAAACTGTCGTCATGACTTCTTATAATCGAGATACACAGCTGAATACAATTATACATTTTTTCATAGTGCCATTTATTATCACGGTGATATCTTCAATCGGAATTTGCATCATACATTGTAATTGTCAATGTAAGAAAGAGCGACCGAAATATCGACGTCCAAGGATAGAAAACATTAGGCAAGTTTCTTTACTTTTCTTTATTAAAAACATTTTAAGTTTTAATTGTTATAAATTGCGTGGATAAACGATCATATTTTACACTTAAACATTCAGCAGTTAAATAAGTTAAAGATTTTTCTTATTTATTGTTGTTGTGCAGGTACAATAGGGGTTAACCTTTTTTTTATGACCCGTGGGCTTTCTTTTATACTTTATCGATCTCTCTTTTTCCACTTAATACAACTTTATAAATAAATTTTTTATTTTGAAGCATAGTAGGGTGTCCAGATATAACACTCAAATTGATAAAAGTAATAGAAAATCAATAAACATTTTGAGAGAAAGCCGCTACTTTTAGGCCACACTTACCTTGTAATAAAAAGTTCACTTCCATTTACAATAAAAAAGAATTATTAGTCTTGTCATGCTCCTTTCATAAAACTCTGAAACAAATAAAAGTGTCTGAAGATAATTCGTTTAAAATACATCTAAACCTCAGTTAAAGTTCATGCAGATATTTAATTGTTATTGACTAAATGGTTCACTTACAATCAACTTAATTTTGTTATTCAAATGAGAATTACTGATACGCTACGTTAAAATTGATTATAGCTGAGGTTTACTCTGTTGCAGAACATCTGAAATCAAACAACTTTTAATTCGTTTCATTGAAATTGATTGTGTAATAACAATTGTTTTTAATAGCCAACAATGACTAATTCAGTAGCTTCTAGTCTTGGCTTTTAGGCGTACAGAAGAAAGTTTTGTACTTTAAAATTTCTAAATCAATACAATGAAGTAAGAAATGTTGAATTAAAATTCTACAAACGAATGAGATCAATAAAATGTGAACTTCCACTTCATAAAGCAAGGAGAATTCGAATATTCATTTATTCATGGTTAAGAGAAAGAATTTTGTACAATTTTCTTCAATGTTTTATTTTTAAGATTCAACAAACTAATATTTCCGTTTAGGTGAAATATTTTAGTAAAGAAAATTATGAATTAGATTCTCAAGTAGCATGTTTTTGGCACACAATACTTTTGAAAAATATTTCTTAATCGTGCTCAAAACTCTGTCATTTATTCCTTCCATCATGAGTAACAACAATGCAACAAAGCTTTACATCATTCATTTCTTAAATATGAAAAGTGACAAATGTGTTGTCATAAAATAAACATCACGAAATCATGTTTCCTAGAATGACTCACACCTGTCTCAATCTTTCTTTATTCGCATAAATGAAACAATGAAACTTATTCACAATGAATCGAGATATTGCGAAATCTCAATGTTTATAAATATTTGAAAAGTTGAAGTAATTGTTGGGAAATTCACTCCTAAAATTTAGTATTAATACTCACCTATAAAGCGAAGTTACATCACATAATTAATGTCATTATATTTTCTCAATTACAGCGATTCCTCAATTTCAACACGGGTTGATATGCTAACGACTCCGGTGAGTTGTGGGCAATCGGGTATATGACAAAAGGACGACACTCTGGAAAATTTCGGTATGAAGCCATCAACCAGTGATCTATGACGTGAGGCTAACGAGATGCCTGTGCAAAAAGAGATTTAGTGACGTTAAGCTCGCTTTTGATAAAATGTTATCATCACAATCATTCGATATTTCTGTAGCTGATACAGCCTTAAGAATGATTGAGATAAATGAATATAACAACGTCACAACAATTAGGCGTCAAATCAACTGAAAAACAAAAATCGAAACATAATTTAATTCCATGGGTGTCAACTAGAAACAAACGCAAATTAATTAAACTAATAGCATTAAGTTTCTCCAACAACTACATACATAAATGTATTTATAATGACGCATAATTAACTGACGAAAATCTACTATAAATCATGATAAACCGAGAAAAAATGAAAATTTATCCTTGTTGAAAATAACCAATTCTAATAAATGTTATTTTTGAACTTTGTTTCTCTCCAACCTTTTAACTTTAACTTATTTCAATTTCCTGAGTATTTGGCTTTCATTAAAACTTTTGTTGAGTCTTTGATATTCATTCATAGTGAGCTGAGCTGATTAAAAATAAACCTTTATAAGCTAACAGCCTTACCGTGCATGATAAGACTCAAAAGTATCACAAATATTTTCTGTAAGTCAATTGTTTGCAATCTGAATATAATCAAAGTTTAATTTATTAATTGGACTTTGACGTTATGTTTACGTAAATTGTAGAGAAACGATGAAAAATATTAATAAAGTGTTTCAATATAGGAAACTTCAGTAGTACTTATGTACAGTAGATGAACACCATGCGTCTTAAGTAATATTTAAACAGATTATTTTTTGCTTTTGTTTGTTGAACTGTGATTAGAATTGAACGAAAAAGCAATTTTCACTATTAATTGTCCCGAATGAATTGCTTCTACTTGTAATCTCAATAAATACTCTATTCAATTTTGTAAACTTAAATCTGTAGTCTCATTAATTTTGGCAAAAAAATTATAAAAAGCTTTTACCTTGTTTAACTTACATTGATTTTTAGATAATCTTTTATTAAAAACTTAATGTTTGTTTCATTTTTTAGAGTGCAAGTCTAATGAAAATTAAAAAATAAAAAACTCATAAAAGAAAAATGAATAACTAAAAAAATAGTAAAATGTGGACGACAATATGATTGAAAAAAAGTAATGGAAATTATATTGTTAAATTAATAGTGTTGAAAATTTGCTATTCATCGAAATTGTAACGATAAAGATGAGCCTTTTACGAAATATTGATCATTAGATACTCATTTTCTTGTTATAAAAATAAAATTAAAAGTTTATCTGCATATATGTTTATGGATACAATTTGAGGTGTGCGTGAACACAACAATCTCATTAGTCATAACTTCGAAAAATATGTTTATGTTATGTTAGGAAATGAATTTATTGGAAAATTAAAAGGAAAGATCGAAAGTTGGAGTCCATAATAAATTATCAAATAAACCATATCTTTATGAATGAAAATATGCTTCATTAAAAACTTTCATAAAATTTACTTTATTATCTGCAGTTTCTGTTCGGTGAATTTTTATATTTTATGAATATGAAAGAAAATATTTGAAAGTTTATACACGTTAGAAGTTTTGTTGCTGAAACACTGAAATTGTCAACGAAATTCTGTGACACAATATTTGTAATAAAGACGAATGAGAATAATGTAAAAATTGTTATCTTAATTATTTATTAGATATTCAGGCATATTCATTTGCTTGCCTTACTAATATTAACCATGAAGCTTTAATGATAGATCTGGAAAATTACTAAAACATTATTTTTCCGTAGATTTTCCTCTCTCCATTTGTTATTGGACAACGCATTTTAAATTGATGTATCGAATTGATGAGCTCGAGATATCATTTCTAATGCTCGTGTGTTCTTAAACTTCATTTGACCGAATAAACCTCAAATGCTTTTATTTATTATTCACCACAACTAGAACTCAATCATAAATATTTGATCACTATGAAGGGTATGAATGGTAAAATGTCAAGAATGAAAAAAATTAATGCTTTTTTTTGTTAACATATGGTTAAAACCGAGAATGAAACTATATTTAAAAAGTTAACTTCTCATGCTATGATAATTTCAATCTTCAGTTCGTAAAATTTATTCGGATTTGAATGCTTGTCTGTTGTTGGTCTTCAAACCCACAGATCAGAAGCATTTAATGACAATCTCGTAATGACATTTTTATCTCAATATAAATTATTTAATCAAATGAAAATTATCAATGATTTCGTACCACGTTTTCAATGAAAAATTAATTATCTACAGCCCAAGTAACACAATTAACTTAAATCTATGGTATTTAAACATTTGTAATTTATAATAAAATAAAATCACAAGCATACAAGCAGAGAAGTTGTGTTACTCGGGTAGACATTCAAATATATTTCCACAAGGAATTTAAATATTAAAGGGATATGTACACGTGTCCATACATACAATACATGTAATTAATGAAAAATCGATTTATTTTGAGTGTACATACTCAGGTCAAAAAGCAACCTCAGAAAACTTTTATTAAGTTCATCAAATCTATCAATGCGGCATTTCTGCTTTCAAGTTTATATTATTAATTCATTGAATGTAAGTACATGTGTACAGCTGATACTTTCAATAATTTCCTTTTTCAACTATTGTGATGCCGTAAAGTTCACGACAACAATTGAATGAATTATAATTCTGCTTATTTATGCATATTCAGCTTGATTTATGGATTCTGCTTTTCTCCTTGCTACTCTTTTCTTATGTCAACATTGAAAAACGAACATGAACTTTTATGAAAATGGAAAATATCAACAAAATAACTTTCAATATATTGGCATTTAACTATGCGCTCGAAACTTCTCCATTTCCAGTTATGTTCCCTTTCGTATCAATAATTTAATTGAAACCACCGTGGTTGAACACAAATGATTGGTGATCGGTGATTTGAAAACAACGAGAAACAACTTCACAAACTTGAACTGTGTTTGAAAATGCAAAAGCTTTTTTTATGTTTTGGTGATGAAATTTTAGATATTTGATTTTGATTTTTTTGTCTTTTATTTATTAAAAGGGTTTTAAGAATTCAAACAAACATGTTTTCGATGTTTATTTTATTTCACACTTGATTGATTCAATGACGTCAATGTGCCTTCAATCACAATTTTTTCATTTCCATGGCAGGAAATTAAAAGATAAATTATCGCATGGAATTTGTGGGTTCTGTGCACTCTCAAACAAGGACCAATCTCTTGGGACACTCTTTTCATTGGTGTTCTTACAGATTACATGATGAAATGAAAAAGATTCAATCGCATTTATCTGGGCTTCTGTGAATGGATAAGGACTTGTTTTGTGCTTGTAAAAGTAGGCATCACCTCCCATTGTTCTTCGGTACTGTTCCCCAATAATGCATCCATAAGTTTCACCCACAAGAACAGTGGTAAATAATGAAAACGTTTCCAAGAATGCACCAACATGAAGATCAATGTCGTCAACGTCATCATAAATTGCTTTCAACAAATCAACATTTTTCTGAGGGAAAATTGCAATCAAGTCATCGAATGATTTGAAGTCAGCATTGAATCCACATTTTCTTCTCGCATCAAGAAACGTTGGGTGTCCATGATCTCGACCTGAACAGAACAAATTAATTTCCTTATAGCTTATGTAAATGTTTTATAAATATTTTACCTCGTTGAATATCAATGGATAAAAGATCAAGTCCCATTCCATCTTCATTCTTTACATATTTATTGATAATCTAAATTAGGAATGTTGGACAAATATATTATTACAGACAATGTAAAGTATAATTTAAAATCTATTCACCTCATCAGAAAACTGATTAAAATTAAGCGGTTGCAACAAAACACCACGAATAGTCTCGTCAAAATTATTTTCGAATAAATCGATTCGTCCTAACGCATCAGAATGTAAAATTTTTTCAATTTTTTGTGGATCATTAACATCAACCAACCACATGTTGTCTTGAAGATAAAAATGACCTAAGCGATAAGAACCCGAGAACTCAAGAGAAATCGATGGATTAACAGCTTCATTATAATAAGTTTCGTCATTCCGTTTTTTGAAAATAATTCCCAGACCTGTAAATATTCCAGATTGGAAAATTGCAATATTTGTTCTCCGAGCTTCTTGGAAAATTCTTTCATCGTCCCATTGTGGATTGACACCAGCTAAGCCCTCAGCCAAGTAATTGTGGTTCCTTGCAAAAAGTGCTGGCCAGACAGCACCAATTGGTGCAACTGCCAACCTCAAACTGCTTCCCACATAATTTCCATTTTTATCAGTTGGCAAGACTTTATTTGAAGGGATTCTCAGCTTTCCATTAGAGAAAGTTCTGATTTTGTTTGTGTCAGATTCTTCAGTACCATAAATGGCTGAATGATCTATAAATGAGGTTGCCTTGTTGAGAATCTCACCAGATTGAAGAGTGTAAGGAGTTGTAGATTGTTGAGCACGAATCATGTTCAAACATCTGACATTTTTCGTCATATAAAATGGATCGTCATGGGGAACTGAAATCGGAAGACAAGCCGAATTTAAGAAATCCGATGATAAAACATTTTTATTATCCTTTGAACAACATCTGATATTTTCTCCATTTATTCCTTCAACAGGAGCTTGAAATGCCATGTCATGAGTTAAATAAAGAAAGATCAAATTGAGGAGCATATTTGGAGTCCGAGATGGTGGATTTGCTTTTTCAGCTTTCAACAAAACATCTGTCACGAGTTTTCTCGGACTCGGCAATTCTCTTCCCGTCACACTTTTTCTAATAGAATGAATTCCATCATCATAAGCTTTAGGAGCGAAACGACCAAATGAAACGCCACTGGAACCCCAATAGGGATTCTTCAAATTATTTCCATATCCATTTATAGAACGATATTTTGGATGAGAGGTCAGGTTTGATCTTCTCCCTAATAAACAGTCTTCATACTCTACAAGAGAGCTGAAATCATCATCAGTTTGATCGCGTATGAGTGTCTCAAACGCTGTTACATGTTCCGCGTCACTGTTAGCTTTCCCACTTCTGGGGGAAGTAGTTCCTGTTTCGGTGTAACCGATGTCACCTTCTTTCATTACAAATCCACTTGATTGTAAATTTAATTCATATGAATGACGATTTGACACGATTTCTTTGGCGATGTTGTAGTTAATAGAAAACTTCGTGCAGCTGAAAAATATTTGAAATTTTTTTATAAGACATTTTATGTCAGAGAAATTAAAATTTTCTGTCTCATACTTTTGAGATCCCACAAACTTCAAATAAATCAGAATTAATAAGACAAATCTTAGCAAAAAGTTTTTTAAAAACATTTTGAATAATTATTGAATTTCTCTTATATTTTAAAGATTTGAGTTTAGCCACGAATACCTTTTGACTGTTCCTGTCTATTGAACAAAATTATCACTCCAATGAAATTAACGCTGATATTTATATTAAAATAATGAAACTCATACAAATGCAGTTTGGAAGCTTCCGTTTATTATATAGTAAATATTAGTAAATTATATTATAAATATAATACTGCAGTTTATTACTCCATCACTCAAATAGTTATTCTTGTTTTTTATATTATTGTAGGCGATTCCGTGAGATTCTGCCCTGTAGCGTTGATTATACGAGCGGGTAGGATCTTAAGTAAGAGGAAAATTAAACGATTTTCAAGGTAATTTTTGCGGAATTTCCGCTTGTGCCACTCGGGATAGTGTGAGATGAATTTCAATTGATATTGTTAAATTAATTTCCACTTTGAAATTTTTCAAGAGCTGATTAGATAGCAATAAAAAATTTAATTTAAAGGCTTACTGCGATCGGAAAATTTGAGATTTTCCTTATGGATTGAAAGTTTTCTGAAAATGAAGATAACTTCGATCATATTTACATTTAAATTAGTCGTGAAAGTTTAAATGATTCAAATTTATGACAAATAAAGTCACGAAGAAATTATTTTCAATATAATTCTGAATATTTATACGTATTTATGCAACTCTTTTCTTATTGAAAAACGAATGAAAATGGATAATATGAACAATATGGACATTCTATACTTTGTTCAGCTTTTGTATGGGACTTTGAGGATGATTAACTCGATGATAAAAATATAAATATTTTCTTCGTAGAAATGAGAAAAAGTTTGATTTAAATTGCAATAAATAGCTTCTTTATTATAAAATTAAATACATAAATTTTCAGATTTTATGTGAATGCTTCATCAAATAAGCTACTAAGTACATTTTATGAAAGTTACAAACCTCTCCATTTCACTGGCTTATTAGCTAAGAAAATTATTTCATCTGACAGAGTTTAAATCTGAATAAGTAAAAGTTTTGAAATACAAAATACCTAAATATAAATAAAATTATTTAAGGTTCTGTGTTCATTGGCATTGAAATCGATATTGCTGGAATTGTTTATGTTGCAGAATTTACTATTGGTGGATTTGCTGCTGACGTTGGATCTCCTGGTGTGGGACTGGCTGGCGATGGATTTGCTGATGATGGACTGGCTGGCGATGGATTTACTGGCGATGGATTCACTGGTGATGGACTGGCCGGCGATGGATTCACTGGTGAAGGACTGGCTGGCGATGGATTAACTGGTGATGGACTGGCTGGTGATGGATTCACTGGTGATGGATTCACTGGTGATGGATTCACTGGTGATGGACTAGCTGACGATGGACTGGCTGACGGTGGATTGGCTGGTGATGGACTGGCTGGTGATGAACTTGGATTTGAAGATGCTTGGTTAGATGGAGCTGAAGTAGATGATGCTAGATTTGATGGTTGTAATGTTGTTGGTGCAGATGTGGTAGGGCTAGTTGAAATTGGTCTCGTTGAAGGCGATGCTAATTCAGTAGTTGGCTGTGAACTTGATGGTGATGCTGTTTCTATTTGTAGTGGTGGAAAGAAGAAAGGAAAAGAAGGAAAAGACGGAAAAAAAGGAAAATTTGGAAAAGGCGTTGTTGATGATATGAGTGGCATTGAAGTCACTTTAGTAGTTCCTAAAAATTCTCCATTTACAGCCACCGAACAGTTTTTGCAATGTACTTTAAGTTGAATAAGAAAGTTTAATTAAATACAATTTTCAATCCATTTTCTCGTCTTTTTTCTTACTTGTCACATTTTGATCTTCAAACGATAACTCTTCGCTAGAGTCTGAATCGAAAAGATCGAAAAAAATGTCAAAAAAGTCATAATAATCTTCACTAAATAGGGTTGGTTTGGCCAAAACGTTTGAGCTTTCCAAGAGAAAAACGAAAATACAAATTCTTAAGTATTTCATTGTTAACGAACTTGTTGAAGAAACTAACAAAGCTATGAATTGTATCCGAACTTATATACTAAAGTTTTGTTTTGTTATCAGTTAACTTGTCTAGTTGCAAATTCGAAATCACGAATTGAATTTTTTCTTATTGTAATTGGAATTTATTTAACATACCTAATTTAACAGATTCCACTTAAAAGTCGTAAAATGTGTAAAACAACAAGGTGAAATCAATTCAATACATGAACGGCGTTATCAAAGGTCAGCTATGCAGTAAATATCAGCAATTCAAGGGCATCGTCAGGACTTAAACGAGACATGTAAGGTCAACTGAACGCGTCAGATTATACTGGAATTTCACGACAGAATGGCAACCACTAAAATATCTTCTCACTGTCACCTGTTATGCACCCAACAATTGTCTATCATGTAGATTCAAGAAACACCAGCTTAAAATTGTTCAACATGAAATTATTCTAAAAGTATTGAAAATCATTTCGTAACAAAAATATGTAGAACAATAGTCAATAAATAGTAAAGATTTATGTTGTATACTTGAAATGAATATTTTCTTTTATTTCCTAATAGAAGAAGACTTCATTGATAATTTCATTTAGTTAGTAGTTGAAATTCTAAAAAGTTCTTTCGCAAGCATAAGAAATCATTCTTCACTTGATTCATTAATACGACGAAGATTTTAATTCTGACAATTTTCAAATTTATTTATTAAATTGTTATAACTCGTTGATACATTGTGTTGTTGGCAAACAGTTCCACCTCCCCTCAATTTTTGATGTTCCTAAAATATAATCAAAAATTTATTAACATAGATTTAACAAATAAAATTAGTTACTTGTCGATTGATATCTCCAACGCATAATAAATCATGTTGAATGCAAACCATCCATTTAGAATGATCGTGTAATGTTTTAAATTCAATTTTTGATGTTGAATCAAATAAAATTGTTTCGATATTATAAACTTTTGAAAGCTTCATGCAATCGCTTTTGATGTTTCCTGGCCCATGACGCCACGTTTCAACAAAATAATTGCCGGCACCGAAATGTGGTGCAACCCAATCTTCATAAAGTTCCTTTTTGAACTTCCGAGACTTTGCAAACGAGGTGAACATCGTTCCACCTATGGATTCTAACATTTCAATGTTATAAAAGGGAGGAACGTCGATAGTTTCCATTTTCAACGCATCCACAAGCGAAGGATAAATTCTATTCGTGCGAGAAACGCAATAAATCATCAACTTCATAACGATATTTGAAACTTTATTATGAAACTCACGTTTTTAAATGTTCTGGTACATGAGAAGAATAAAAGTGAGCTTCATTATATTTCAATTGCTTTCCAACTTTGTCAATCTGATTTCCATCTAAACTTATACAGAGAAAACTTTGCCCGTAGATTTCTCCACTCTTAGGAAAGCTGTAAGAATTTTCTTCCATTGCTGGTGGATATTTAGGAACAGAATGAACCATCCAAAATCCAGAAATGTCATTTGCGACGACAACACCTTTTGTATGACCTACATTTGTTATAAAGGTATTAAAATATATTTGGTAATTACTTGTAGATGTGCATGCAACTTAACTCTCGTTCCATCAGTTTCACCATTCGAAGGTTCATCGTTATAAATCATGACAATATTATTTTTCCGACTTTTTCCATCATAGATATTGGATAATGTCAATCCAGGCATAGAAAACTCGTCATTGATTGAATTGTTTGATGCAATCCACTGGGATGATGATGGAGTAATGAAAAGATATTTCTTCCCAGTGTTTAACGACTCAATGTTGTTATCAAGTTCGATTGAATTTGGCAACTTGTACAGATAAAACCAGTCAATCAAATTATTTTTCTCATCTCGACATCCAATATGATTTGAAATAACAAAAGAAATCTCCAATAAAATTAGAATGAAGTAAAGAAAATGATTCTTAAAAGAATTCATTGTGGTCTTCTCGATTTCTTCAGTCTCACTGATTATATTTAAGAATGTGAAGCCCTAAAAGAAATTTTGTTTTATAAATATGAGTCATTTTAACCACTCACTGCTTTAGAATACAAATACAAATATTTGCACGATAAATATTATTGTTCTAAATTGCTCTTATCGTTCTCATAAGCATGCATACATTTGTTCAAAATCAGAATTTGAAAATTGCTTTAAAAAATTAGATAATTTACAAATTCATAAAGTTACTCACTTATCACTCACAGAACAAATAAGATAAAAAGTTAAATACGATTTAATTGCTTGTACATATTTCATATCAAATCAAATTATTTGACTTCTCAATTGCTTATGTCATCAGAAATGTTAACAACATCAAATTACAAACTTAATTCAATAAAAAAAGAATAAAAACATTGTTTCATAAAAATGTTTTTCTTTATTTAAAACATTTTGATCTATTCAGTCCATCTAATTGTTATTAACTTTGTTTGTTGTTGATGAAATTATTATCAATTCATATTGTAAAATTATGCTAAAAATCTTTAGAATTAATTATGCAACCATTAAATATATCTGGTACAGAAGGTTGCTTATTTAATAAGATTTATTGACTGTAGCGTATTCTCAAATCTTCAATATCACGACGTCTAAGTTTAATTGTGAACATAAATTGAAGAAACGAGTGGCAGTTTACCATGCGTGGGTCTGTAAAAACATTACGAAACAGTTCATTGAGCTCGGTAATATCAGAAGTTTTCATAATATCCTCCTTTAATATTAAAATGATCGCGATGGCAGTTCGAAATATAACTTTGTAGCCTTCTGCAAACATTACATCCCAAATTCTGAGCACAGTTTCAACTGGAAGAACTTCTGCGAAAAGACAAATTAACCATTTGGTTAAAATCACAGCCCATGGAAGTCCAATCTCATTAATTTTCTCGTTAATAAGAGGTTCTCGCATCTTAATGATTTCTGTAATTACAAAGATGTCTCGTTGAAGTCCAAACATTGTCTTTGTGTGATATTCTGAAGCAACGTTCTCTATCAAATGCTTCAAAAGCCAAAATGTAGCATTTTCATCCTTAGTTACGATAAGAATAAGTCCACCTATGTAATTAAGACCTTGACAGTAACCAATACTTTTGTTTTGATGAGCAAAAGCCACAAGAACATTAAACAAAGCTCTGTGATGTGTTTCAAAGTAAATATTCTCGGGGAATGTTCTAGGAATATCAATTTTTACTACTTCAACGATCTCTTTTTGATATTGTGACTTCAATAAATGTTGATATAAATTCATGTTGTGTTCGAATGCTCGTTGAGCTCCGCTTATTTTCATCCAGATTTTCTTTCTGAGATTTAGTGGAATACCTGAGAATTACAAGGTCAGAACAATAGTTTTGAAATTGTTTAAAATTAACTTACCTTTTCTTATGAATCTGTTCAAACGTCGACCAGCTATTATTTGACCAGGAAATACCTTGTTCCATCTTAAAAACATATTGTGAAATCAGAAAATTATATTTTTCATAATTAAAAGTTTTACCTCAACGATCGCTTTGTTAACACTTCATAATATTTTGATTTTATTTCGTTTTCTTCTTTTGTCTTCTCGAAACCATACTCATCAACGTTACTCATAATCTGCTTATTTGTTTTATCATTCATTGTACATAGATATAAACTTGATTAATTTTTATTAGCAATGACACTTCTGAATATTATCAGTAAACTGTATTTCTTTATAAAGAATTTTTTCATAAGAATTAGGTATCTCGACTCGAATGTTTTGAATGCAAAACTGGCGGTTTCATGGGCGGTTTTTTGTTAGTTGAGTAATACCGTCCAACGGTGCACTTTACATTTTGTAAACAAACTCTCACGTGTTGAATTTAAATTTATTATTCTTCAATTGCTGTAAATATAAAAATCAAAGCATAATGGAACTTTTCCTAATTAACCGGTAATGTATAAAAATACATTTATAAAGAATATAAGTTATTAATTATCACAAATTTGTTCTATTTTTAAGATACGATGAAACTACAGTCAAAAATGAAGAATTAGCATCCAAAAATCTCGAAAAACTTAAAAAGAAAATTGAACTTAAGAGAATTGATAAAATTAAGAATGAAATTTCGGAAAAAACTGCAGAGAATTCTAGTGAACATGAAAACTCTTCTGATGAAGAGGAAATTGAAAATGAGGAACCCAAGAAAAAGAAGAAATGTTTTTCTTTGGAAACAGAAGGAGATTCAAATAAATCTGAGAATACAGAAATTGAAGATGAAACCAATGCACACAATAACGAAACAGTAGAAGACCACGGTTTTTCAATTATGCCGGAACATAAAATGGAAAAAGTTGCTCCGATTAAAATGCTTTTACCGTATTGGATGGCAAATCCTGATCTTATAAGTGGAGATTTAACAACAAAAGGTCCTGCAATCGCTTCATTCGATTATCTTTGCGAAACTCTTAAGAAGAACTTGAAGAGCATGAAAATAGTAAACTTATTTCCAGTTCAAGAAACTCTCATTCCTTGGATTCTTCATGTTAATAAAATGCCACCGCCTTTTCGACCAAGAGATGCTTGTGTGTCAGCAGTGACTGGAAGTGGAAAAACGTTGAGCTATGCTTTGCCAATTGTACAGCATATTTTTGATACTCGCACTAACTGTAAGCTCAGAGCACTTGTTATTCTACCAGTTCATGAATTAGCCAAGCAAGTTTTTAATGTGTTTGATAAATTGTGCAACAATTTAAAAATTCGCGTGATTCTACTGACAAAACGTCGAAATTTTGAACTTGAACAAAAGCTGATTTTAAATGATGACGGAGAATCAAAAGTAGACATTGTGGTGACTACTGGAGGTCGTTTAGTTGAACATCTTTTCTATACAAAACTTTTTAATTTGAAAGATTTGAAGTTTCTTGTGATTGATGAAGCAGATCACGCCATGTCACAAGTCCATAACGATTGGTATCATCATTACATTCAACATATTGGAGTTTCAAATGAATTGCAATCAAATCGGTTAAGTTTCCGTGACTTATTAATGCAAATGAAAGACGATGGAGGTTGTCGAATTCCTCAAAAATTACTCTTCTCAGCAACTTTGAGCCAAGATCCCGAGAAACTTAACATGTTCAACCTTTTCCAACCCAAACTATTCACAACAATGTATAGCAGCAATGAAGAATTATTGAAGGTCACTTTGGCTAATCAAAAAGAAGAGCACAGAGGAAACTTCCTGGGAAAATATACAACACCAGTCGAACTTTCAGAGTTTTATTGCATCACCGAATATAAACTCAAACCTTTGACCTTATATGGACTCATTAAGAAGAATAATTGGCGACGATTCCTTTGCTTTACAAACACTATAGAAACATCGCATCGTTTATCGTTTGTTTTGCAGACTCTTCTTGGAACTGATTTGGTAATTGAAGAACTTTCTTCTCTGCTACCAATAAAGATTCGTCAGAAAGTTCTCCAAAATTTTAACGATGGTAAAGTGAATGCCATTATTTGCAGTGATGCTCTAGCTCGTGGTATTGATGTTCCGAATATTGAAGCTGTTATATCGTATGACTTACCAAAACATTTGAAAACTTACATTCATAGAATTGGAAGAACTGCAAGAGCAGGAAATAAAGGAACTGCTGCTACAATCATTGCGCCTGATCAAATTAAAAGTTTTGAAAAACTTTTAGAAACAGCTAACAAAACTTCTGTTGCAGAAATGAAGCCTGATCATGAACTCGAGGAAGCAAATGCTTTGAAATATGCAAATACTTTAAAACAACTACAAAAAGCTTTGGAATTGGAAGAACGACAACTCAAAAAATCCAAGTCAAAGCCTACAAGCGTGTCACTATTTGAAAAGCTTCAACGGCAAGTGAAAGAAGACGACTTGCCATATGAAGCCCTTCCTGAATCTTGGAAACCAGAAAACCTTCAAGCATCATAAGAATCCAGTAAAGAATTATTTTTTTTTTATGGTTGATGATTGTAAAGTTCTGATTATTAATGGAAGAATAAATTTACTCGCTTTATTTAAGAATTCATAATTTTATTGTTTCAAGTTTTTCATTGATTTTGTTTAAGTCATCAGAAAGTGTTGAATTGAAGTTAAACAAAAATGTGTTTTTATTTTCACATTCTCGATGATTTGAATTTAAAACTTTCTTTTTAACAAATATTCCTTTATTAATATTACAAGCAGCATCTTTTAAGAAAACTGTTTTCGCTTCCTTTTCAAGAAATTCTTCTTCCTTTTGCATTTTACTTTTGTAGTCTTTGAAGTATTGTTTCATCAGTGCAATCTTTTGAATCTTTGAATTACTTTGCTTTCTTAAAATTCTGATTGCTTTTAAACTTTCTTGCTCTAAAATATTAGAAAAGATTTTACACAATTAATAACAACAAACATTGAAGTTTTTCAATTACCTTTAGCTTTTGAAAGATTTCCACTTTTGATTTGTTTGTCGAATTGGGAAATACACCAAAGGAGTTCTTTATCAAATTTTAATTCCTGACTTAAGTCAGTTTCCTTTTGCCCGTCTTTAATTTCATGGTTTGTCTGTTTTGATTCCAACTTCATTGGTGAAGTAGCTCCAATCTTCTCCGATCTCAGAGAATTACTTTTTATTCTTCTTGGAGGCATTAGAATTAGTAACACAAGGCAATTTTTACACGATATAAAAGTTTATCAAGTCAGTTTAGATAGAAAGATGTCAGGATTTCAACTTGTATCTTCAATCACGTTTTTAAATTAGATGTAAACCTAGGTAGTGTGACAACTTTGTATGAAAAACTGAATTTCCGGTCCGTGGAATAAATTAGCTTATCCGGGTCACACACACGTCCGGCCAAAAAAAAAATCTGTCAAAGATGTAAAAAATTTTAGTGTAAGCAGACGGCGCCGCTGAATAAACGTAAACAAAACAAAAAGAAACTCCAGAGTTGAGAAAAATACAAATTTAATCATAGCTAAAAATGGTCAGATTTAAGAACAGGTAAAATAATTACCAATTGTGAGATGATGAATATTTTCATATTTTCTTCACTCTTAATTTCAAGGTACATTCTGTTACAAATCAAAAGTGATAAGAAATTTAAGATTTCAACATCTGAACTTGCTGGTGATTTCCGAAGATCTATTCAAAAATATTATGGAGACTTTGGAGCAGCTTCAGTACAAAACTTAGCAGTAAAATATTTTAATGAGAAGCACAAACTGGTTATTGTAAGATTGTCTCATGGTCCACACAAGTTTCTGTCAAGTATTCTTCCTTTATCTACAAAGGCTGGAAAAGAACTTGCGAAATTTCAAATACTTTACATCGGAGCCACAATAAGACAATGTAAGAAATATATTGTTAAGCATCAAAATGAATTCATCCGACAAACAATTGGAGCTTTTAAAGATGACTCAGAAAGAAAAGAATTTTTAGACAATATTTATAAATCATTAGATCAATAGACTCGGATGTGTATGCTTATTTTAACTTTAATAGTTAATAAATAATTTTATTGTTTGTATAAATTTTGTATCAAAATTTTAACTTGTATAAAGTTTCATCATTTAAACATCTCAACTTTAGCTTAATAGTTTAATAATCTATCAAACTAAAGTGGAAGCACTGGGAATAGTAAATTCGTTGTCAAAATCTTGATTATTTTTGTTAGTAATTGTTGTCTCCTGGTGGGTTTGTCGAATTTCATGTTGATTCATAATTCGAAGCTGTTCTTGGTATGTTTGATTGAACTTTTTCCTTGCTTTAAGAAGTTGGTCAAGTAATACTAAATTTTTGTCATCTGAAGTTGCCTCCTTTGCTAGAAGATCGGACATTTCGGGAGAAAATATTCTGTCGCCATAATTTTCAATTTCGTTGATGTCAAGTGGCAGAGGATTTCGTGATCTTCCCTTTTGATTCCACACATCCTTACAATGGGAAACGTCGTCATGGCATAAAATTTGTCCATCTGAAGGTTGTCGTTGTTGTGATGAAACAGTTGAAACATTAGATGAGTTGATGATAGATGAATGAACCTTTGATATTAAATCTTCGATTCCATCAACTTCATCACCAACTTCGCTTCTCTTCTCATTTGTAAAAAAGCTATTCACATAAAGATCACCAGAAGTTAAAATTGTCGATGCTGTTGGCTTCGTGATGGCACTTTTGATCTTTTTTGTACTTCGTTTGGCACTATGATGAATGTGATCTTTAATGACGTCAGGATTTCTGTTGATCATCAAACAACTTCCGTCTGTTAACAATGATTTTGTGATCTTTTCCATTTCCATTTCAATGTTTTGATTGCTGTTGACACTCGGCGATGTTAACGACTCATTTTGATGAAAATTCTGTGCGATTTGTTGATCCTGAAAATTCTTTAGAAAACTCTCATCGTAGAGACAATTTCCATTGTTGCTGTTGATTGAACCATTTCCAGACTCATCTTCAGTCTCATTTGAAATGTCGGTGTAGTTTTCGTCATCTTCATCCTCATTGTTTGCTTGGTTTCCATTCTCATCGTAACTTGACATTACTTTCGCCGTTCTGCTTTGGCTAGTTTTCGAGTTACTGTAATTAAGTTCTTTGTGAACATCAATCGCAACTTCCTTCCTCCTATCATTTCCTTCTGATTCATTATCCGGATGGACTTTTGTCAGCCATTTCTTCAAGTGCATTTGTTTATTCTTATCCCCAACAATTTTGAGCAAAGGGTAAAGTGGATCTTCGCCACGTCTTTCTCTATTTCTGGAATTCTCGTGTCTCTCTTTGCTTCCTACATGTTTTGATATTGCTGCAGTCATTTCCTTGTTCAATATGAATTCATCGCTACCATCAATAAGTTTATGAACATTTCTAAAGGCATCTTCGGCATTGCTGTTGTTGTTATGTGAAGCACAGAAGCATTTGTTGCCTTTCCCTACTGGACCTTTTCGAATGTTGCCACCCAAGTCCAAGTAATATTGTTCACCTTTCTGAAGCGGTTCCTTGGGAAGTGTCTCGAGATTAGGTGTCGGGAAGTTTCTAGTGTCAGGATAATAATGGCAACCGTAAGGTGACCAATTACGAGTATTTTCTTCATTGTCTTTGTTATTGTACTTAATTTTACTGTTATGAGGCAAGAGATGTGCGTGAGTTTCATTTGGGGATTTTGTATTTCGAGGAGATTCTTGAGTTAATTGCTTATCTTCTCTCTTTGTGCAATTCCTCATGATTTCTAGAATCTCTTTAAGATTTTTCCTCTGGGCAATGTCTCGAGGCGTTTCGTGTTGCAAATTTTGAAATTGCATGGCACCAGCTTCAAGTAGAAGCTTCGTTAACTTTCTCCTTCCCATAGCACAAGTGATATGAAGTGGAGTGTCATGATTAAGATTTAAGGCATCAACATCACATTTAGCTGAGATGAGAATCCGAACCACACCCGCATGACCGTAGCGACAAGCAGTATGAAGTGGCGTGTCACCATAATCATTATGAATTGATGTACTACATCCAGCATAAAGCAATTCTCTCAATGTCTGATTATGTCCATTTTGTGCTGCAAGATGAAGTGCTGAGAATCCACAGAAGTTGACTCGATTCACGAAGTGAGTTTTTCTCCAATCCAACTTCTCCTTGTTTGAATTCTTATCAAAATCTTTCGGATAAACATTACAAAGTATTTTTACACAACGACTGTATCCTTTCCAAGATGCTTCGTGAAGTACTGTGTTCCCATGCTGAGGATTAAAAACGGGATTGATTATTATAATCTACTCATAAATATAAAATTAAAGATAAATTAATAACTTACAGCCAGGGTCGCGATATTTCTTTCTTCCTTACGCTCAAGCAACAACCTTTGAAGAGCAGCTTCATCACCTTGGGATACGACTTCAAATAAGTTGTTTGACTTTCGATCCATTAGAAGTATTTATTTTCATTATTAATTGTATAATTATTATCTCATTTCTTTCTGAACCATTGAACAAAAGTTTTGTTACTTTTTTATTCAGGTATTTGTTATCTTAGTTGTATTCATGATTTTTAGAAATATATCTCATTTATTACTTAAATAAAATTGTTACTAAACCGTAAATACTTATGAGCTTTACTATCTTTATTAAATAAATATGTTTGAAAAAGAAACTTTGTAAACTTGTTACTTTTGAAGACTGAACTAACTCTGAGGAGACATAATAATTAAACGTGCGTCTTCTACGTGGTACGTTATGTAAATCCTAACTAAAAGTACGTAACTACATGTGAGTACGTTAAGTTCGATGTAAAACTTTATTAAAAGCTTTGTTACGTTAATAAATTATTTACAGATTAAACAAAATGCACTTTTATTAAATTAAGATGAATTTTTGATAAAACCAATAACTGAAAAAAATTCTTTAACTNTGGGCAATGTCTCGAGGCGTTTCGTGTTGCAAATTTTGAAATTGCATGGCACCAGCTTCAAGTAGAAGCTTCGTTAACTTTCTCCTTCCCATAGCACAAGTGATATGAAGTGGAGTGTCATGATTAAGATTTAAGGCATCAACATCACATTTAGCTGAGATGAGAATCCGAACCACACCCGCATGACCGTAGCGACAAGCAGTATGAAGTGGCGTGTCACCATAATCATTATGAATTGATGTACTACATCCAGCATAAAGCAATTCTCTCAATGTCTGATTATGTCCATTTTGTGCTGCAAGATGAAGTGCTGAGAATCCACAGAAGTTGACTCGATTCACGAAGTGAGTTTTTTTCCAATCCAACTTCTCCTTGTTTGAATTCTCATCGAAATCTTTCGGATAAACATTACAAAGTATTTTCACACAACGACTGTATCCTTTCCAAGATGCTTCGTGAAGTACTGTGTTCCCATGCTGAGCATTAAAGGCGGGATTGATTATTATAATCTACTCATAAACATAAAATTAAAGATAAATTAATAACTTACAGCCAGGGTTGCGATATTTTTTTCTTCTTTGCGCTCAAGCAACAGCCTTTGAAGACCAGCTTCATCACCTTGGGATACGACTTCAAATAAGTTATTTGACTTTCGATCCATTGTTATTGTAAGTATTAAGACACTTTTTCATTATAATTGATTCAATTTCTCAACACTAAATTTTTTAACATTCTGCTTCTAGAAGCATAAGTAACTCTATTTTGAACACCACAAGCAAAGCAAGGTTTTTAATTCGTGAAATGTATGATTTTTAAAAGGGTTTTATGTTCTTATTTGATATGGTTTTTCTTAAAAATACAGAATTAAATTCTTGATATAAATATTAGATTCTGAGGAGACCAAATTGAATAAGTACGTCAACTTGTACGCAATAACATTACGTCTGCTACGTTTACTTAATTACGTAATTTACGTACGAACCTGATGAAAACATAAACAAAAATATAAAAATTTAGGAGAAAAGTAAAAAGTCAAATTGATTAAAAACTGAAAAGAAATATTTGATAAAGGTCTGTCAGAGACATTAGTACAACCTTCAATAACTTGGTAATTAAGACTGAAGACAATGTCAAAGATTGTGATTTTCAAATCAGAAAGTAATGGACCTGATAAATTTTCAAAAGAACTAAGGAAAGAAAACTTTGAAGTTCTTTCCGTGTCTTGCATAAGCTTCGAATTCAAAAATATGAATTCACTCAGAACAAGATTGAATGATGCTGAAAACTATAGTGGCATTATATTTACAAGTCCACGTACAGTTCAAGCAGTACAGCAAGCGATTCATGAAGAACCAAATATTATAAATAAATGGAAGAATAAAATAAATTATTCTGTAGGAGAAGCAACAGGTCAACTAGCAAATGAAAAGCTTCATCTAGAAACTCGTGGACAGCAATCAGGAAATGCACGAAATCTTGCTAAAGTCATAATTGAAGAGAAATATGAAGCAATGAAACCATTTATCTTTCCATCGGGAAATTTGAAGCAGGACATTCTTGAAAGCCTTTTGAACGAAGCAAATATTAATGTAGAAAATGTAGAAGTATATGAAACTATTGAACATCCAGAGCTAGATAATTCAATAGAGAAATTGAAAGATGTGAACGCCAATTTCTTAGTATTTTTCAGCCCTTCAGGGATTAAATTTTCTCTTCAACATTTAATAAAACATAGAATCGATTTAGAAAACTTTAAAATTATCGCAATTGGCCCTTCCACGGAAAAGGCTTTAATCCAAATGGGAGTGCAATGTTATCGTACCTGTAAAGAACCAACACCAGAAAGTTTAATTGATGCTTTGCGAAATTAAATAAATAAATAAATAAAATTAAACAAAATTTCAATATTTTATAGTTTTGCATTTATTCTTCATTTTAATATGTATAGTCTGTAAATATAAAGTTCATAACTACATAGATCTTTTTAGTTTTTCAATAACAATTTAAATAATTATGTAAGAAACATTTATCATGATAGCACATCAATTTCATTTGTAAATGTTTTTGAGATACATGACAATCATATTTTTTCTGGCCCCAAAACATTCTGGATTTTGTAAGAAACATTAGAAAATCTTACATGTATGCTCCAAAATCTTTTTTAAGCAACATATACGAACATTTATTTTAATTAAATTTCTTTGATATTTGGATGAATACAAATTAAAATTATATTTAGAAAATTAATAATTTAAGAAAGCTGAGTTTGACCATACACAAATTTAAATTAATGATCAAGATTATGTTTCATTAAGAAAGTAAAATATAAAAAAATGCAATAAAATTTATCTATCATCAATCATCTGTCGAGTTATTTAATCTATCAGTTTCAGCTCATTTTATCTTATGAAAAGTAAATCTTTTGTCATTATAAAACGATATTAGAGCATATAAAAATAATTTTATTATAAACATATAATCTGGTAGTTTATTCGATGCTTAAAATCATATAAATAAACAAAAGTTCGGAACAATTTATGATTATTATTATTACATCATAAGATACATTAAAGTGTGAATATTTTAACACACAATTTTCCTTAGCCTTGGGTCAACATCAAGGTAACATTAATTCCTTTAATTAACGCAAAAGCTTGTTATAACAGGTCATTTAAATATTTGATCAATGTACGACCCTGTTATATTTATACATTCATATCTGTTACTCTTAAAGAGATGAGAAAGCACCATCAAAGACATCCATTTTCATATAATTTTGCTCACAAATATTTTTAATACTTAAAATATAATTTCGTTTCATATCAACGAAAAGTAAAAAATTATATTGCATTTGTAAACAATTTACGTCAATGAACTGAGTTTATTTTAGTAGACAATAATAGTACGATTTATTTAGACGGATAATTGTGCTTTGATAAAAAAATAATTTCTTTTCGTTGAACCTTTTAATTTGTTTTAAATAAACACAAAGCGGACATTCTTAATAGAAAAGCCACAAATATAGTTTTTTAAACGAAATTCACTAAATTTACCGGATGTGGTTAACGTAAATGTTGATCAATTAACATTTAGAATATTATGCTTTGTAATGAGTTTACAATGATACGAATTGTGCTTTTGTTTATGATAATCTTTCTTGGAGAAAACTTTTAAATCTGTTGAAATAATAAATTACGTAGGCACTTTTAACATGACAAACTTTAAAATTGAAAACATTTAAATAAATATGTAGGTCATGTCAGTGATGATCTTAAACATCTTTACGATCAATATGCTTTCACTTTCTTCCTTTGTATTTTACTTTTATGACATCACGCAGCAAAGTAATTTTTCCCATGATGAAAATTTGATAACTTTTTTCTTGATTCACTTTCGATACGTGTCTTAGTTATTCAAATAATAACGAATGTGAATGAAAAGACATAATCAAACTTTTATCATGTGATGTCTTACTTCTTTTTAATAATGATTTTTTTCTTTGAATTTTTTCATTTTATTTTAATTTTCTTATTTTCCTTTTAATATTTCGATCAATAAAGAAAACCTTTTCTGTTGTTTTGTTATCTTATTTGAGATCCCTTTCATTTCTTAAACAAACATAAAAAAATAAACATGAGATTGCTTAATATGGGAAATGTACTTAGATAAATAGATCCAAACCGGAATTTCAATATTGAAAAGTTAATTTCTGTTGTTGTATTTTATCCTTGAAAATTCCCAATCATACATAAAATTTTTATTTCACATTACACTCATCTTAACTTATGAACGTTCTGTTATATAGCATCTTGAACGACATTAAATGAATGACCATCTAGGTAGCTTTTCGGTTTTAGGACTTTGCCATTGTCTCAGAAGTTTTGTAATACTTGAACCAAAAGTAGATCATAAATTTTAATTAAGAAAGTTTAGAACTAAATTTCAGAATGATTTCCAGATCGCTGTGGACTTGTATAGGAATACATGTTGTATCCTGGAATAATGTGTACTCTCACGTCTGATCTACCTGTTGTATCTTGCTGACGTCGTCTTGCTGTCGTTACAGTTGTTTTACAACAACAATAATTAAAAAGTTTCACATAAGCAGTTCGAAAATGACGATTCGTAAAGCAGTAAATGATATTGCTAACACAGGATTTTGATAATCCTAACCATGCGGTGCAATAAAATGTTTTGTCGCTGATATGATGAGTTGAGTTTGAGTTAGATATTCCGAAAACAATAGAATATGGTAACCAGCATAAAATAAAAAATATAAAACAATAAAAATTACTCCGAACTAATGAAACATCAGCTTTGTACATTGCAGTTGCTTTGAATGTTGGCTGACTCATAAATTTCTTAGCATCGATAATTACTCGAATGTGAACAAGTAATGTGATGAGAATTGGAAGTACAATTAGGATGACCATTAAACCTGAATTATAATTTGGTATGTTTAAAAAGAAAACTTCGTGAAATTATTTTTTGATTACCTGTTTCAAAGGGCAACAAAGGTTTGCTTCTTTTCCTATTGCAATAATCAAAGCTGACATTGTAAGTACAATGAATAATCGAGGCGACACATCCAATGAACCAAATCAGGATAATAATTGCGGTCACATTTGATCGACCAAACCATTGGGGGCCTTCTTGAGAAGTACAAAGTCTCATGTAGTTTTCTATCGATGTCACCTAGGGGTGTTCACAAGATTGAAACTAAGTTTATGCTTGAGAAATTCTTGTTCACGTACATATAAAAATATTTCAAACACAAAAATGATTTCAAAATTTTATCAATAATTTCAAAAGTGAAAAAGTTCTAAAATTGAGGAAAAAAATTTAGCATTGACGCAGTTTAACTAGCAAATATTTTTAACAACAAGAACAAAATTTAAAAAGTTAAAGGGAGGATATTTAATGTTTCTTAAAGTACTTAGATGAAGAAATTTATGCTACATTTGTAATTCAAAAGTCATACTTATGAAGAGTGTAAGATCAAGTCAATGCTAATTTATGATTTCTTTATTAAATACTTTTTTTGTTGTTTATCATGAACTACTTACAGCCAAAGTCAAAACGCTAATCAAAAACGTGCAAGCAGCTAAAAACCATTGAAATTTGCAAACTGATAATGGTGTCAATTCTTCACTTTTATTCATGGCTAGCAAGCTTACGATAGAAATGGGAATAATGACAATCGAAACAGTCAAATCACTCAGTCCAATATTAACTATGAGGCTATTTCCTGTTTTTTGATTTTGAGAGTTGGATGGTATGACATTAGCACGGCGATTGCATGGATGTGTGAATTAATGAATAAAATTTATTTTATGATCATTCAGTTTAGGTTGTCTAAAAACGTTAATAATCTAAAACAATTCTCTAGAATTTCGTATAAAATATGCAAAAAAGCATTAAATATTTCTAGGAAATACAAAGTTACGGTCGCAATTTTTAAATGTTACATGAGCAAGAAGAATTTGTTCATAAAATATTAAGAACCTAAATAGATTATACAAAAATAAAAGGAAAGTCAAAATAATGTAGAAATTTATGTAAAATTTTTAACTTTAACTAAATATCTGATTTATATTCTGAGATTTACAATGCGACTTTGTTCAAATGACATGATTCTTGAAATAGCTTTAAGATTTTATGATATCATAATAACGTGTAAAAAACTCATTCAATCATGTGTCGTTATGGAGAAAAAAATTCTTAAAACTTTTGTTGAAGATAAANTTACTGTCATCTGCTTGTGACCATTCCATATTACTTTGGAGGGTGAATGTTTCAAAAAGTGTTGAAACAATATTCGTCATGTTTCGTATTTATAAAAATATGTTTGATGAACTTGTAAAAAAGAGAAATTAAATCATTAATTAAATATACTTAAAATGGTGAGATTTTGTTAAAGAACGATTGAATATCAAACGATTGTGAATCATCACAACAAACAATGTTTAAACACTAAAATTAATTGTATACACAACTTAGTTATATTTATTTAGAAAGCTAATAAATATTATGTGCAACCTTTTTTCAATGTGATTCAAGATCAAGATAATCAATATTATTAACAAAAAGAAATCCTTGCGTAATTATTTTTCCATTATTTTTATTTTTTCGGCCGGATATCCGATTTCTTCTGTTTCTTTTCAAAGCTTACCAAAGGCAAGATTGATGACATCAATTTAAGGGAAACTCGTACTATTTATAACATTAATGTCTTCATAACTATAAGCTTTCGTTTATATATAAAATGCGACTAGAACTTTGATGTTTTAAATAGAATGAATGAACAAAAAGATCAATTAAAGAATGTTAGTTGGGAGTTAGTTTTAGCTTTCTTAACTATTTTAATCTAAAACTTGTGTTTAGAGTTGTTTAAGAAATGTTTTTATATTTACAGATTTTCAAATGTCTAACAAAAGATAAACAAGAGTATTTAGTTCCATTTTAAACATATCTAAGACATCACATAATCTAAATTGCTTCTTGCTATCAGCAATTGAAGAAGTAGCAAAATGACACAAGTACAAATAATTTTTATCAGAAATAACCACTTGATTAATCAGTAAATCGTACAATTGTTTTAATCAATATAATTAATCAAAAGCAATAACTTCAATCTTACAGATTATAATTGAAGGTAGTCAAAGTGTTTAATACCTCAATTAATACACGTCAAGATAGAAAATAATCAAATTCAATTCGGCACCAGTCATATAAATGACATTCAAAGTATAACAACAAAATCAGTTCTCCTTTTGTGAAGTAAGAAAGAATATGATGGCTAAGTGTTTTTTTAAATTATTTATCGCTTTGATAATTTGTGCGACAATTGAATGTCTTCCTACTAGTGAATATGAAGACCCAAGAGCTATGATCAAAGCGAATACTCCGGAAAATCGTAAGATTTGAACTTTTATGATCTTCAATTGTACTCAAAGTATTTTATTTTATTGCGATAGTTGAAAAACTTAAAACTCTCGGACCAAATGACTTGGCAGAAGAATTGAGTGGTCAATATCAAGGAGACATTGTCATGTCACCAGAAGAAGTTGCCGAGTATGAAAACAGTCGCAACACTAAAACTGGCTTGATTGCTACAAGATATAGTTGGGCTGGTGGAATTGTGCCTTACAGAATTGTTGAGTCTGACTTCAGTGAGTTTGATATTTCTTGGTTTTTTTCGACTATTTAATTTATTATATTTCTAACATAAACAGCTTTGGATCAAGTTTCGTATATTCATCGAGGAGCAAGGAGAATGGAAGAAGTTACATGTCTTAGATTCGTTCCCTACGATCCTAAAGTTCACAACGATTTTATTACTGTAACCGGAAGTGGCAGCGGATGTTTCAGTTCAGTTGGTCGTCGTGGAACTGGAGAACAAATCTTAAATTTGCAGCCAAATAACTTAGAAGTTGGATGCTTCCGTTTGCACACAATTATTCATGAGTTTATGCATGCTGTTGGATTTTATCACATGCAATCTGCGGCAGAACGTGATGAGTGGGTGGAGATAGTTTGGGATAAGATTCAAGCTGGTACTGAAGGCAATTTTGCGAAGCAGTCAGAAACTGTTGTGTCAAACTATGGTGTGGATTATGATTATGGGTATTTATGATTAAAATATTTATCAGAATTTTCTGACTCATTTTGAATAACTTTTTGTACCAGTTCCGTGATGCATTACCCATCAGTATCATTTTCAATCGATGGAAGTCCCACCATTATTCCACTCAAAGATTTAAACGGCGAAACCATGGGACAAAGAGTTCGAATGAGTGAGAAGGATATTTTGAGATTGAACAGTGCTTATTGTTCTGACGTTGTTTCTACTGAGGTGCCCATAGTTAACCCTGGGTTAGCTGGGTTGATTATAAATTTCATTAACAATATTATCAATAATATTATGAATGCAAGGAATTGAAACAAATTTTTTTTTAACGCATAATAATTGAAGTGATAATTATTAAATAAACGAAGATTTGAAAAAAAAAAA